GAGTCTTCTTCATTTTCTAGATCTTGTTCCTCTATATTTACTTCTTCATCATTATTGTCTTCTTCTTCACTTTCTTCATCATCATCATCTTCTTCTTTACCTTCCTTTTCTTCTAGAGATTTGTCCAGTATAAGTAAATTTTTCATGTCTTCATTCATATTTTTATATCTTTCTGAACATTCTTTATAAAAGTTACTAATAAATGGATCGGAGCTCAGTAATAGTCTTTTAAATAAATCTTCATTTGTTTGAAGTCTACCACATTTTCTTGTGTGACACTCTCTAAATCTGCGTACTTGTTTGTTTTTTGCTTCTTGATAAATAAGATCCACAATTATGTGTTAAGTAATCTTTGACTGCCAATTTTTTGGTTAAGGCGCACGTTGGCGCAAGATTTCTTTCTTATGCTATGTACACCATACCTTCAGCAATAAAAAAATGTTAGCTACAATTGTTCGATTTTGTTCGCTCGCAAGATATTTAATTTAAAAGATTGAATGGTCAAAAAATATAAGTATTTCTTTTGGAATCTTTTGAAATTTGGAAAGGCGTAAAATGAAGACCTTTCTGTACTTTATAAGAAACCAACGACACAATATTTTCAAGTAGTGATATACCATCTATTTTGTTTTCTAAAGTTGTGTCGTTTTCTAAAAAATTTCCTTATACAAAATAAGATAATATTGTAATAGCAATTTATTTCGCGCAGTAGCTATCATAAAACATCAAAGACTTCATAAACTTCACTAAGAGTCTATTAATAGTTAAAATATAGGTAACATTTAAAAAAACAACACTATAAAATTTTTTTTTTAATTGATTTTCGATCGGGTTTTGAGTGTTTTCGGACCACTGTGCCATGTGGACTATCTAGCTCATATATATACTATCTCCTATATCGCTGACTAAAGCAGCAAAAGAGTGTAAACACTAGAGTGCAGATATATATATATCTGTCTCTGTCGTGCCCCCGTCTACACAAGAGACATGCGTGAACACGTGGTGAGTACGCTTTTATCTTATTGGACGGTGAATTAAAAATTATTAGCAGCTGATGACCTTGATGTTTATAAAACACCAAATAAATGTTTGACATAAACATAACCTAAAATCTAATACAATAATGGCTTCTTGTTTTATTTATAACCTTTGAAATCGACAAAATTGTCATGGTTACATAAAATTTGGTTTGTTATTTGGGTTGCCTAAACAAAAGTAAAGAATATAATGTTTAATGAACAACCTACATAAAGTTGATATTTAAAGCAATATTCAACGTCAATTTCACACAAAAGTACATATATTCTAATTTATTTGATGCATCTACGATAATTTATAATTAAAGTCAACTATCTACAATAATTGCATTTCAAAGCTGCATAAAATACGCGCGAAACACTTCAAACTCTTAAAAATTTACGATTCGCGCAAGCGCCTTCGCGATATGGGGGCACGACAAAGACAAAACATATATCATTCCGTCTGCTTTTGATGGAAACGCTCGCCACTCATTGCTTAGATAGGGAGTCAGCGATATAGGAGATAGTATATATATGATCTAGCTCAATAGCAAGATTGAGCAAGATAAAGCTAAAATAGCACCATCTATATAATTTTGTGTAAACTAAACTATGAATCATTAAAATTTTAATGAAGTAATTAACAAGGTCGACGAAAGATGTCGCTACATAGAGATATAAAAGTAGTATCGATTACATCTTGATTATCTTTTAAATAATGTTGTAAAACTAAATATAATGACATTTAAAACGTTATTAGTGTCAATTAGCGTGCTGTCGTTAAAAAGTACGGTTTTTTCATACTTTATGTTATAAAATTAATAAAGAAAAAAGAAACGGTGGCACTTTTTTGCGATTGCGTCGCTCCTCGCGGAGTGAGACAGACTAAGCGACGACGGAGAACCACTAGGAAAACCGCGCAGTCGCTTTCTTAAAACGTTCGAGGGCTGGTCAAGGGCTGCTGTTGCTGCTGGTTGCGAACACCCGAACATAAAAACCCAAACGTTCGTTAGCCGCCGAAAAGAAAGCAAAATGTTCGCCAATATACCGCGTTGTTGCATGTAAGTTTTTATTTTTATAAACTTACACATTCACCTAGTATAAACGCACCTATTAAATGAATCATTTTCATACATCGTTAAGGTGAAAATGTTAAAACCACCGAGAGTTATGTGATCAAACGAAACGCGACTAAAATAGAGACGAGCTGCAAGATCGATATCACTATGTTGGATTAATAACTATATATACACATATATGTGAATACAGAATGTTGTGCGGAACATTAAAAGGATTTCATTCTTTAACCAGGTGGTTATTTATTGAGTTTAACCTTTTAAAAATGAGCTATTCGCGTAACACAACAGTGATGCAACGCTAAGAAATTAACGAGACCAGTGGTTATAAAAATGTGTTGAATTCGACGTCGTGCTGAGAGAAACGGTTTTGTCGCGGAAAATGAAAATAAATAAAAGACCCGCGATGCCAAAAATATTTTTATCGAACAACTGCATAAGATAAAAATACAATTCTTTTATATAATCAAAAAATTGTTCCAAAAAAATAATTTTAATCTAAAAACTAATTAATTTATCAATCAATACGGGACATAATCTAATTTTTTAATTATTTATTTAACTTGTTAGATTATCGCATTCCTAGAACAAATCGTTTCAAGGTCCTTTATACTCGTATTATTTTTATTTAAAATGTCGTAAAAAACGTAAAAAACCCATAACCACAAAAAAAAACAAAGCGTTTTTAATAGTAGTTTTTTAAAACGACACATTAATTCCTTACTTAATAGGTTATCAACATAATAATGCGCAATTATTTAATTGAAATTGCATGCGACACCCTGCATTTGTTTCAAAATAAATTGGTGTAATATTTCGAAATGAATTGTACAATGTAAATACTTTTTTATCTTCTTACACAAATACGATTGTTTAAAAATTAGGAACGTTGCAGTAAAAATCATTTCGTTATTTACAGAATTAAAAAGAAGTTTTAAAATTATACAGGATGTTTAAAAAAATCCGAATCTTATTAAGATTAAGATGAAGTTGTATTTGTTTAAACATCACCTGTCCACATCGCCTGATGTTCTATTTTTATTTTCTAAAAATAAATTCGAAAATAATTATTCAACAACAATCATTTCATTAATTGAAATTAACCAGAAGCGAGTACGTAAAGATATATTTTTGTCATCTTTTTATCTTAATTAATAAGGTTAAAAATGTAAAGTTTTGATTCCAAGTGATTTTGACTTTATTCTCGGAACACACGCACGGCTAAACACGAATGTTTCTAGTTCTAGGTCTAGTGCTAGTTTTAGTTTTACACTAACACTATTATTATGTAGAACTAACACTATACCTAGAACTAGAATCATTTGGGTTTAGCCGCACGTGTCTCAAGACGGCTAAACCCGAATGATTCTAGTTCTAGGTCTAGTGTTATCTAGTTTTAGTTTAATAAAAATATGTAACATAGTGATAGTGATATACAGGGTGATTCACATAAGAACCGACACACAGCAGGGACATATAGAGGACAATAAATTAAGATGATTTAACGTAACTTACCTCTATACTAAGTTGTACACCTGAGGAGTTATAGGCCTTCAAAGTTGGCTCTTAAATTTTTAAAAAGTTCAATATCTTCGTAATACATTAAGCTTGAAAAACCAAATTTGGTATACGTTATGAGTGTACCAAGGGTATTAATTGGTAGCAAATTGAATTTAATTGAGGCAGGGTTGATTAAGGGTGATGGTACCCTAAATTTTGACATTTTTTTTTAACCTTTTGGCGGATTTAATACATTACTACTTCATTTCATGTGGAATTTAATTCTAAAACTTTTCTTATTTTTATTATTTTTTAAAAAACTTTGTCGTTTTCATAAAAAACTTAAATAACTAAAGACACGTATTTCGTAATGTTACTGAAAATAAGAGAAAATTTAGTAGTCGGCTATGAAATTGTACGTCAAACTTGATAAATAGGTTATAAAGTTATTTGACGACTTATTTCTAGTTATTTCTCTGACGACTAGTTATTCTCCATCTTTTCTCCATCACCTTTCATTCTTGAGTTATGATCTATTTTAACAGCAAAAGTAACCAATTTTGACATTTTGGGGATTTTCTCTTTATCACCTGAAAATCATTACATCTAAACTAAATTTGTTTATGGATGATATCTTCTTAGTTGACAATAAACAACTTATTCCTAAAAAACTTTTCTCCATCACCTTTCATCCTTGAGTTATGATCAATTTTAATACCAAAAGTACTCAATTTTGATATGTCGATGATTTTCTCTTTATCATTAGAAAATCATTATAACTAAACCAAATCTGTTTATGAGTAATGTCCTTTTAGTTCGTAATAAACAATTTATTTGAAATATACTTTTCTCCATCACCTTTAATTTTTGAGTTATGATCTATTTTAATACCAAAAGTACTCAATTTTGACATTTTGGTGATTTTTTCTTTATTACTAGAAAATCATTATAACTAAACCAAATCTGTTTATGGATGATGTCTTTTTAGTTCATAATAAACAATTTATTTCAAAAAAAGTTGTCTCCATCACAATTAATTTTTGAGTAATGATCGATTTTGATAACAAAAGTACTCAATTTTGACATTATGGGGATTTTCTCTTTATCACTAGAAAATCATTACATCTAAACAAAATCTGTTTATCAATAATATCTTTTTAGTTCATAATAAACAATTTATTCCTAAAAAACTTTTCGTCATCACCTTTCATTCTTGAGTTATGATCAAATTCAAAACCAAAAGTACTTAATTTTGACATTTTGGGGATTTTCTCTTTATCACTAGAAAATTATTATGCCTAAACTAAATTGGTTTATGGATGATGTCTTTTTAGCTCATAATAAACAGTTTATTTCTCAAATTACGTACAATTTCACAGCCGACTACTGAATTTTCGATGATTTTAAGTAGCATTAACAAGATACGCTTCTTTAGTTTTTTGATTTTTTTATGAAAACGACAATGTTTTTTAAAAAATAGTAAGAGTAAAAAAAGTTTTAGAATTAAATTCCACATGAAATGACGTAATAACGTATTAAATCCACAAAAAGGTTAAAAAAATCTGCCAACATTTAGGGAACCATCACCCTTAATCAACCCTATGAAATGCCTCAATTAAGTTCAATTTGCTACCAATTAATACCCTTGGTACACTCATAACGTATACCAAATTTGGTTTTTCTAGCTTAATGTATTACGAAGATATTTAATGTTTTAAAAATTTAAGACCCAACTTTGAAGGCCTATAACTCCGCAGGGGTACAACTAGGTATAGAGATAAGTTGCGTTAAATCATCTTAATTTATTGTCCTCTACATGTCCCTGCTCTGTGTCGGTTCTTATGTGAATCACCCTGTATAGTCACTAGAACTAACATTAGACCTAGAATTAGAAACATAACAACAATAGAAACATGAACAAATAACACAAGTGATCAGAATAGACGAGACTACAAGCTCCAAATAAACTAGAAAGCGACAAATAACCGAAATTACTTGCAGCCGAGTTAGAACAATTGACACCTTTAAAGGCAAAATCCAAAACCTCTAGTGCCTCGGCTGCAAGCAACTTCGGCTTTATTATAACTAAAATTGTTTGCGACCAAAGGACAACAACTGACAACACTTTTAATGATAATATTCGAAAGCACTATTGCCTCGGCCGCAAGCGACCTCGGCTTTATTATAACTGAAACTATTTACGGCAGAGACACAACTGACACTGTTAATGATAAAATCGAAAAGCTCTAGTGCCTCGGTCGCAAGCGACCTCGGCTTTATTATAACTGAAACTATTTACGGCAGAGACACAACTGACACTGTTAATAATAAAATCGTAAAGCTCTAGTGCCTCGGTCGCAAGCGACCTCGGCTTCGTTATCTCATGCAGCTAAGCTACGAACGAATGAATTTGGTGATGGTGAGAGATAATCAATCTTTTAATTCTAGATCTAGAGGAACGTTTCAACAGTTCTGCAAGAAAACCCGTCTGTTAGGAAACAATGAAACGACATCGAATTTCGACATTGAAAAACGTGATGTATCCCAAGTAACAGGCGACATCGTCTCACCTGGTACCGTAATGGGAATTGAACATCTTCGCGACCCCCGTTTAAACAAAGTAACCCCTCAAAAATAAATAAACACTTTTAAATTTTGGCAATTTCAATTTGCGGCAATTTTTTATTTCTTTACGTCGCTATTAGCAATATAATTGTAGGGACTCGCCTTTACGTTGGAGGAGAGACAAGCGTTGGGAATCCACGGTCTTCAACCACCACGCATTAAAACCCAGGAAGAGCAGTTGGAACTGTGTCGGATATCGGTCGAAAGATATCAGGAAGACTTAAATAAGTATCTTTACCTTACCGAACTTGCCGATCGTAACGAAAAACTTTTCTTTCGTTTATTGAGCGAAAATGTTGACAAATTAATGCCAATTGTTTATACACCAACAGTTGGGTTGGCTTGCCAAAAGTTTGGATTAATTTATCGACGTCCCAGAGGGTTATTTATCACACTAAATGATAAAGGACATATTTTTGATGTTATGAAAAATTGGTATGTAACAAATTTTAAATTAATTTATGATTTTTAAAATGATTTTTTAGGCCTGAACCTAACGTAAGAGCCATCGTTGTCACCGATGGTGAACGTATTCTTGGTCTTGGTGACTTGGGAGCATGCGGAATGGGTATTCCCGTTGGGAAATTATCTTTATACACCGCTTTAGCAGGAATTAAACCCCATCAATGTTTACCAATACTATTAGATGTTGGTACAAACAATAAGGTAATTAAATGTTTTTATCTTAATAAGGATATTAACCTTTTCCAGTTCTTTGTCTTTCTTTTGAGTGCTAAGTATTAAGTCAATATTTAATAGGTGATTATGAGATATGAGAATTTCTAATAATAACTTCTATATGTACTCTATTTTTTAATTCGGAGGAGTATTTTCAAATTTAAGCGCCAAAAAGAAGGGTTGTTATTAGTCAGTTTTAAACAAAAATTACACTAGGAAAATTCGAGATGTTGCCGCCGCCTAGAAACATTCGGATTTAACAGCACGTCTCTGAAGACTGCTAAACCCGAATGATTCTTGTTCTAGGTCTTGTGTTAGTTCTAGTGATAGTGCTAGTGTAAAACTAGAGCTAGCACTAGACCTAGAACTAGAAAGTATCGGATTTAGCCGTGCATCTTCAGTTTTGTAAGTGATAGTTACCTAGAATTAATCTTTTGTGACTGTACAGGGTGTTCAAATTTCGATGGGTTTGCAGGGTATCTCAGTTATTATGAAAGATAGAAAGTTGCGGTTTTCGCGAACCTGAACTACGTTTTTGTGAAACTTACAATGCCGCAAACCAAATTTTCATAGACCTCTTCGTTTTTGATATACAGGGAGTATTTCAAAATTTACGATTTTCAGACATCCCCCGTATCTCGGCTATCCGGAAACTTAGTAAAAAAGTGAAAACTTGTTCTAATAGATTTTTTCACGTAGAATCCAATGATCCACGTAGAATTTTTCTAGACATTACAGTTTTTGAGTTATAAACACAACTTAGGTTTTTTTAAATGGAACCACCTATATTTTATTTTTTTATTGAACTAGAATTTTTTCAAGCTTTTGAATGATATATAATACTCTAACTTACCTTTATAATTAACCTCGAAATTAAAAAAACCACATTATTTTATAAGTAGGCTATGATAAATTAAGTGATCGCGTTGCTAGGATACCAGGATAAACAAAGAATTTTGAAAATACTATAAAATTAATTATTGACTTATTAAAAAAATGTATCTATTAAATTTTGTTTGCTAAAAACGAAAAATTATTAAAAACTAAACATTATGCAAATATGGCTTCAAGTTACAAGAATTGTTCAAAGTTAATGCGGTTAATTGCATTTTGAATAGTTATGGGATGTTGCTGTAAATGTGAAAAAGCATCAGTTACAGCAATTTTCAATTCCAATTTTGTTCGATTCTGGGTACTATATACCCGATTCTTGATATATCCCCATAAAAAGAAGTCCAAAATAGATAAATCAGGTGATCTTGCTGGCCATCGCGTTGGACCATGTGTGCCTATCCACCTACCAGGAAATTCTGCAGTTAGGTAGCGACTCACTAACTGCGCATTATGAGCGGGAGCTCCGTCCTGCTGAAAATAAATATTATTTAGCCGAATAAGAGGAATATCATCCAAAATCTCTGGCAAAACCTCTTGCAAGATTTTTTGAAGGAGCTTTTCGTTTTTTGGATAAAATGCATGGCTAACTAGATATCTCGAAAAAACCGTTGTTTTGTTATATCGTTAGATACCTATGGCTCCGCTATTATTGATTTTAGGAAAAATGTGTAAAGGAAAAATGTGTACGGTATTACATGTTTAATAAAGCTTTAATATCGCTAATTCTCTACCTACTTTGAAGAGGCTGATAATTTAGGCGAGTATGGTTCTTCTATAAACCAACTAAAGATGCAACACAGAAGTAAATGTATTAGCACGAATCCATCAAGATACATCAGTTTCAACACAAGTTGCATCTGAAGCAGGCACGTCACAACGTACTGTCGTAAGAGAACTAAAAAAGCATAGATTTCATTCACATAAATGGCAGTTCCACAAACACTACCCCAGATGACTACAATAAGCATGTAGAAGATTATACGTGGTTTACTAACATGTGTGGAGCTGATCATAGCTTAGAGTAAAGTTTTGTGGACAGTTGAAACACGATTTACAAACTGCGGTATGTTTAATAGACATAATCAACATTTATGGATGCAGGAAAATCCGCACCATGTTCAAGAGAGGAGACCTCAAGTTAAGTTTGGATTAATGTTTGGTACGGTGTCATTTGTTCAAGAATTCTTTTCCGTACATTTTTAATGATACGTTCAACGGAGATCGTTATCTTCACTTTCTACAGAACGAGTTCGATAATATGTTGTATGAATTGCTCCTGTAGACACGTCATTTGCTTAAATGGTTTCAACACGATGGGGCACCACCACTTAATAAGCTAGCGATACGAAATCATGGAAACTTACGTTTGCAAACGTATCTATCAATTGTTTCCATAGCATACTACCTGAACAGGTTGCAAATTAAAAGAATAAATGGCCATAATTTATTTATTAATAAAAATATCCATGTCAAGTGGTATATCATTAGAATCGTTGAGAAAAGGCCTTTTTTATAAAGTCATGGCCTACTATGGTTTCCATTAGAAAAATTACAAGTTTGTGTCATAACTCAAAAATTATTGCTTAAATAAAAAAAATCAGTTAGACTACTTTATTAAACATGTAATACCCTACAAATTTTTTTCTTTACACATTTTTCCTAAAATCAATAATAGCGGAGCCATAGGTATCTAATGATATAACAAAAAAACGGTTTTCTCGAGATATCTAGTTAGCCATGCATTTCATCTAAAAAACAAAAAGGTCATTAAATTGAGATCATGAAACTGCAATTCTTTCCCTATTTAATCGTCTTTCTATCTCCGCTAGTTTTCGAGGTCTCCATACTAATCATGGAAAAACACTCACCCTGTATAGCTATCTTATAATTTTGTTCTATACATGTTTATATAATATATAAAGTTTCCTTCAAACATTTTGTAAACAATTCGTGGCCCAATAATTTTGAATTTGGTTGCGCTCTTTCTGGATATCTGAAGTGAAACAATCTGCTAATAAAATGTTATTGCTGATAAATGTTGCATTCTACCTATTTATGTATAATTCAGCAGCTTGATTAACATTTTCATTTGCATGAATGTAACATGCTAGCATGTCATATTTTTCATAATTTTCATAGCGCTCCATTTCAAGAAAAAGATAATTAAGTTAAGTTAATTAAAGGTAATTAAGTAACACACGACTTATTGTTAGCACAAAATTCAAAATTAAGTTTGACAGTAATTAACTATATTTACTTTGTTTATTCCGGTATCCTAGCAACGCGATCACTTAATAGACAACCTAAGCCTTGACGTAACAGAGATGGGCGGAGCTTATATCGACTCCAAACATTTTCATAGCTAAGTGTGTTGCTAACGGTAAATCACCATATGCAATTTTTTAATTAGTGTTAAAATAAAATAAACTAAGTGACTTTTTATGACATTTCAAATGACATTTTTATTACGGTTTATCATTAACAACTGTGGTTAGCAACGAAATTGTTTGGAGTCGATATAAGCTCCGCCCATCTCTGTGACGTCAGGTTAGGCAGTCTGTTTATCATTGCCTACTTATAAAATAATGTAATTTATTCAATTTCGAGGTTAATAAATTATAAAGGTAAGTATAGAGTATTATATATCATTGAAAAGCTTGAAAAAAATCCAGTTCAATAAAAAAATAAAATATAGGTGGTTCCATTTAAAAAAACCTATGTTGTGTTTATAACTCAAAAACCGTGATGACTAGAAAAATTCTACGTGCACCATTGGATTCTCCGTGAAAAAATCTATTAGAACCCGTTTTTACTTTTTTATTAAGTTTCCGGATAGTCGAGATACGGGGGTGTCTGAAAATCGTAAATTTTGAAATACTCCCTGTATATCAAAAACGAAGAGGTCTATGAAAATTTGGTTTGCGGCATTATAAGTTTCACAAAAAAGTAGCTCAGGTTCGCGAAAACCGCAACTTTCTATCTTTCATAATAACTGAGATATCCTGCAAACCCATCGAAATTTGGACACCCTGTACACTAAATCGCAATTTTGACATAAATTGCAATTTCAAACATAACCTAATTCCACTTAATTCCTTTTAAAGAACTTTTTTTACAAATTTTTATCATTAACACGACAATTTTTATATCGTACCTTACAATATCGTCTTTTATCTTCAATTTGTGATATAAATCGTTTCTTACTTCCAATAAATAGAGTCAATGAGGTTTTTTAAATTTTGGCGTATTCGAACGTATCCTAATTCAACTAATTAAGACTTTTTCTCTACAAATTTTTATTATTAACACAGCAATTTTTATATGATATTCTAGTTCTAGGTCTTGTGTTAGTTCTAGTTTTAGTTCAATAAAAATATAGTAACATTTTATAGTAACTAGCGCTACCTACCACCTACCAGTCGTCTTAAGAGAGGTACAGCTAAACGGAATGTTTTTAGTTCTAGGTCTAGAGTTAGTTCTAGTACTAGTATGAGTCTAGTTTTATTTGTTATTCAGTGCTAAATTGTAGTATATTTTTATTGAGCTATAACGGACGCTACCTTTCCCGTATTAATCCGTTATATCGAGGTTTTAGTGTACATAATGTCAAATTATATTGACATATTGCATTTTATGTGGAACAAAGTAAGTAGATACGCCCTGGTTTTTATTATGTTTAAACAAATAAGTAATTAATTTCGTAACTACAGTTTACTTAAAATCCTCTCTGGACTTAAAACTCCCACCAAAAAATAGCTTTGAAAAGCTTAAATTAAAGGTTGATAAAAAAGCATCCTATACTTCAAATACGAGAAATGTCAAAAACGTCAAAAGTGACAGTTTTGAATCAACACATTAAAAATCAATATTAATTAAGCATTTTTTTAACAAATATATTTAATGAATTCTTTTAGACTCTCTTAGAAGATCCGTTATACATAGGACTTCGTCAACCCCGTGCGAAAGGAGAATGTTACGATGAGTTTATCGATGAATTTATGGAGGCGTGCGTAAAACGTTACGGTCAAAACGTACTAATTCAATTCGAAGATTTTGGAAATCACAACGCTTTCCGTTTCCTCGACAAATACAAATCGAGATATTGCACTTTTAACGATGACATTCAAGGAACGGCAAGTGTTGCCGTAGCCGGATTGTTAGCATCACAACGTGTGACGAAGAAATCAATTGGGGAATACAAATTCCTTTTCTTAGGAGCCGGTGAAGCGGCAATTGGGATTGCGAATTTGACGTGTCGAGCGATGAGAAAACATGGGCTGTCCGTTCAAGAAGCTCGCGATAGAATTTGGATGTTTGATATTGATGGTTTATTGGCTAAAGGTCGCCCGGAAGGGAAATTGGATGGTCACAAAGCGCATTATGCTAAAGAGCATGCTCCGTCTAAAAGCTTAGAAGAGATCGTTGACGAACAAAAACCTTCGGTTATTATTGGAGCTGCCGCTGCTCCGGGAGCTTTTACCCCTCAAATTTTACAAAAAATGGGGAAATATAATGAAAGACCTATTATTTTCGCTTTAAGTAATCCTACACACAAAGCTGAATGTACGTCGGAACAAGCTTACACCAACACCGATGGGAGATGTATTTTTTCAAGCGGTTCTCCGTTCCCTCCTGTTCAATATAAAGGAAAAACTTATAGACCCGGTCAAGGAAATAACGCATATATCTTCCCGGGTGTTGCTTTGGGTGTTATTTTATCGGGAATTCATCACATTCAAAATGAAATATTTTTATTGGCATCAGAATCAGTAGCAGATTGCGTTACTGATGAGTCTCTTGAATTAGGCAGCTTATATCCACCGCTAAAGAGTGTTAAAGATGTTTCGATAGATATTGCAGCTAAATTAATCCAATATGCATATGATAAAGGTTAAGAAACCAAGTGAATTAATAATGATTTATTAATTTTATTTTTTTTTAGGTATTGCATCAGTTTATCCCGAACCTGTAGATAAAAGAGCTTTCATTGAAAGCAAAATGTATAATTTCAACTATAAAAATGCGTTGCCGAATCAATGGTGTTGGCCAGAACCTGAACCCATCAAAACCAGACCATTAGAACCCACGCAACTTGGCGCTAAGTAATAATTTTTATTGATTTAAAAACGACTTAAATAACAAACTTAAAGAACTCAATAACGTTATTTGTTAAGAAAAATAAGCAATTTTATATTATGTGATTATTATCGTCACTTGTTGCTCTGTTAACTCCTATTTTAATTTATTCTCGTTCGTTATTTATTTAGAAAATTAATGTTATTTCTCCAGATATCGAAAATCGACCGATTTTAATTCCATTTTAACTAATATCATGTCGATAACACTTTTTTAGAGGAGAAACTCGATTTGATGAACGTAAGCAGCATACTGATTGAAACACCATTTAAATTGAGATTGGCAGTAACCCGACGACGAACCCTAGTATAATTTATTTATTCTATTTTTTAAAATCGTACATAAATGCATGAAATCGTTTTAAAAGTGAAGTCGAAGCAGTATTTAAAACAAAATCTGGTCATATTTTAAACAAATGTACATGTTATATCATTTTTTCTTTGTGATTGAATTAATAATAAAGAAAATAATTGTTATTAAGTTGTTTCATTTGAAATTAAAACATTTAAACTTAAAACCAACATAACCTAAAAAAACGTTTTGTAAACGATAAAGATGGCGCCACTAATAGTAAAATTAAAATTATTAAAAATGTTACTTATTTCATATTTTTGCAGATTTTTTTTAATAATTAATATTAATATAATTAAAAATAAAAACTTACCGGTTGTTTTATTATGTGTTGAAGATATTAAAACATTTTTAACTAAAAACGAATTTTAAACACAAAGTGACATTCATCCATTAAAAATAAGAACTTCATGTCAATCATCAATGATTTGTACCAACCTATTTTCTTATTATCAAAAAAATACAACAATTAAGATAAATAAACATTAATTTTTAATAAAGTCTTATTAAATCATTAATTCTTCGTAGTAATTTTGACTAATTAACTCATATTATTTCTAATTATATTTTAGTAACACTGAATCGCGACCTAACCTTGAAAATAACATCACAATGGTTCAATAAGGGGCAATTTTTATCAGCGTTTTAAGTGGTTCTCGTGATTATAACAAGTAGTTGAATTCATTAAGAAGTTATGTCTGAAAGTGAAGAAAATCAGGAAAAGCAATTTTGCGTGGACGTGGCAAAACAATCTCGTGCAACATGCAAAAAGTGTAAAGAAAAATGTTTAACCGGTCAGGTGAGAATTGCGAAGTTAGCTCCGAGTCCGTTTGGCGCGGGAAATATGAAAAACTGGCATCACCCACAATGTATTTTCGAACAAATTCTAAAACAACGTGTTACAACTAAAAGAATTGAAAAGCCGGATGATTTAGATGGATGGAATGAATTAGATGATGATAATAAGGAAAAAATATTTAAATTAATCGATGAAAGTAACAAAAATGTTGCCAATAAATATAACTTAAAATATGAACCATTAAAAAAATTGGATGGAAACGTGGAAAAAATTAATAAAAAGGAAATTTCTAATTCAATTAATAATAATCGTGATATGTCTTTTAGAGAATTTCGTAGATTAATAGCTGATATAACAAACGTAAATAGTTATAATGATAAAACTAATTTAGTAAAAGAATTTTTAAAGAAAGGTTCTGATAAAAACGGGTTTAAAGGTGATATTAAACTATGGGTAAGATTATTATTACCAGGTGTAATCAAACGGGTTTATAACCTCCAAAGTAAACAATTAATTAAATTATTTGCACGAATTTTAAACAGCTCCCAAGAAGAAATGTTGGAACATTTGGAACAAGGTGATATTTCAGTTACTATTTCACATTTTTACACAATTAATAAAGCCCCACCAAAAAAAAGTTGTTTAAATTTATCAGAAATCGATCAATTTTTAAACGATTTATCCAAGCTAACGAAAGAAGAAGATCAAATGGGGCATTTCGAAGGTATTTTACCGAAATGCACCGAAAACGATTTAAAAACATTAATTCGATTAATAAAAGGTGATTTAAGAATGAATGCCGGAGCTAAACATATTTTAGACGGAGTCCACAATGACGCTTATGAAATGTATAAAGCTTCGAAAGACATTGATTCAGTGTTAAATCGATGCTTAGAAGGAGAATCATCAAAAGCAAACTTAAAAGCAACAATATCCTTGTTAACACCGGTTCAGCCAATGTTAGCTGAAGCTTGTAAATCCATCGAACAAGCTTTTAAAAAATGCCCAAATGGAATGTACTCTGAAATAAAATATGATGGTGAAAGAGTACAAATTCATAAACGTGGAAATGAATTCAAATACTTCTCGAGAGCATTAAAACCTGTTGTACCACATAAAGTGGTTCATTTAAAAAATTACATTTCCAAGGCTTTTCCAAAAGGTGAAGATTTAATTTTAGATAGTGAAATATTAATGGTTGAACATGAAACGGGGAAACCACTTCCATTTGGAACGCTTGGAATTCACAAAAAAACCGAATTTAAAGATGCTAATGTTTGCCTTTTCGTTTTCGATTGTATCTATTACAACGGGGAAGATTTAATGTCGAAGCCATTAAAATTTAGGAAAAACGTTTTAAGAGACAATATGAAAGAAATAAAAAATCACGTTGTTTTTTCTGAAATGGAAGAGATTTATAAAGTCGATGATTTAAAAGCGATGATCTCAAAAACTTTATCTTTAGGTTTAGAGGGATTGGTTTTGAAAGATTTAAAAAGTATTTATGAACCGGGTAAAAGACATTGGTTGAAAGTCAAAAAAGACTATTTATTTGATGGGGCGATGGCTGATAGTGCAGATTTAATTGTTTTAGGGGCCTGGTATGTAAATTTCTTGGAATAAGTAATTTAAAATTGTTAGGTTATGTTTGAAGTTGTCAAAAAATTTTTGAGTTACATTTTTTTATCGTACATATAGTATAAGTATAGTTATTAAAGAAAATCTTATTTATAATCATTATTTTAAAAAATAGTACTAAAAATGTTAACACTTTACAATTAATTAATTTAAAATGATGATTGCATTAACTTTTACTAGTCGTCATAAGATGGCGCTTTTTAATCAAAAGGAAAGTTATAATAATAAATAGAAATAATATCTTATTCAAAACAACTTTTAGCTAAATTTATCTGTTTTATTAAATTTCTTTTAATTGCAATTTTTCATTTAACTTTTTAATTTTAACTACAATTAATTTATGTTTCAACTAATAGATGGCTCTCTAATTGTTATATAAAATGACGTTTGTTAAATTAATTTGAATTTTAAATAATTAATATTTTTACAGGTATGGTACTGGTAAAAAAGGTGGAATGATGTCGATTTTTCTAATGGGTTGTTACGATCCAAATCGTGATTATTTTTGTACTGTTACCAAGGTTCATACAGGACACGATGATAAAACATTAGAACGGCTTCAAAATGAACTCGATATGATAAAAATAAGTGGAGATATCAATAAAATACCTAAATGGTTACGTTGTACGAAAACAATGATCCCCGATTTAGTAGCAAAAGACCCCAAAAACCAACCTGTTTGGGAAATTACGGGCGCGGAATTCACTCAACACGAAGTTCACACCGCAAATGGAATTTCAATTCGTTTCCCAAGGGTTACAAAGATTCGAGAAGAAAAGACTTGGAAAGAGGCAACTAATTTAAATGAATTAGAAAAATTGATGGAAGAATCTAAAACGAAAACTGATTATTCGTTATTAATGAATTCATCCACATCATCAATAACGTCTGTGAATACATCACCATGTAGTAGTAGTAGCAGTAGTAAAGAAAAGAATAGTCCAAAGAAACGTAAATTAGAAAACATAGATAATAATAATAAAAAGAAAATTAACACCGTAAGCTTAGATTCTAACCTTTTTGAAAACGTTAAATTATTGTGTGTTCCTGAAGCATTTAAGTTTCGAATTGAGATTATTGAGAGATTTAAGAAAAACGGTGGTGTTATTCTCGATGAGGATAATTGGAAGCAAGCAACACATGTTTTGCATCACTATGATCATGACATAAATGATCCTGAGAATATGTTGTATCCAAAAACTGCCAAACATGTTATTTCTGAGTGGTTGGAAGATAGTTTATACGAAAATAAATTGGTTGATGTTCGCGAATATTATGTTCGGTGGAAATCTACCATTCACCGAAATGATGATTCCGATCAAGAATTTCATTTGAAATAATTATTGAACTTATTAATTTATTAAAAACTATTACCCAGATGAAGCTCACATTAATTAAGAAATTAATAAATAAATTTAATAAAAATTACTTTTGATTTTTTTTAAATATTGCGCCATCTATCGAATTTAAGTGACACTTATATTAGCTTTATTAATTACTTTATTATTAAAAATTTTATTAATAAATTCAATCTATTACGCACATGAGGCTTGTTTTATATCTCACTTCAATTAAGAAATTAAAAATAAATTTAACAAAAATTCATTTTAATTTATTAAAAATATTGCGCCATCTATCAAATTTAAGTAACACTTTAATTCGGTTTATTAATTACTTTATTATTAAAAATTAAATTTATATTAATTTACGAATAAAAAATTAAATTGAATCGATTTAGGTATTGTTGAAATAATTAATTGTAACTTTTTTATATTTATATTCGACAAAATAAAATAAATATGTCGCCATCTATTGAATTTTATTGGAACTTAAATTATTAATTGTTTTAATTGATTTATTTATTAATTTTATAAATTATTTATTTTAACAGGGTTCATTTGATTCATAAATTAATTTTTAATTGAAATTTTATATATTTAATAATAAATAAAATTAATTTTGTTGACTCAGTGCTTGACAGTTTCAAAATAACGTAAAGTGTTACGCACTGCTTCTTGCAATAAAAAGTTCAAGTAAACAAGAAAAAACAGCGCCGGAAGTACCCATTCTGTTTTCAGTCTTTGTATAAACATTTAGGCGAGTCTCCTTCTCGCTGTGTGCATCCGGTTTTAAAGAAGCCCCATCCAACGTCTTCCGGTTTCATATTTACACTTTATAGATCTTTTAGGCATCAAATAATTAATTAACTTTTATCGCGATCTGATTTAAAGATAAAAGAATATCAAGATTTCTTAAAAATAATTGATGAATTATCTAATAAATTAAATGATTGAACTAAAAAGTCTAAAACTAAGCAGTTTTTTAATTTTTTAATTGAATGAGTGGGTAATATGTTCATGTGAGCATGTAATAACGGCACTCCTAGAAAAAGCAAAGAAAATTCATTTACAACATTGTCGTCGTCATCGTGTCGTTTAGCCCAGCCTATAATTTATTGATTCGTCTCAAATAGGCTGTAAATAAACGACCCACAAACAAGATATAAAGAAAAAAACGTTTTGTCGAAGAATTTCCAATCGACAAAACTAACATTTTTATGATTTTCATGTTACAACAAAAAAATTATTTAAATTTTGTAAGATTTATAAGAAATTAGAATAAGAAATTATAAAAAAAAGAATTTGTTTATTTATTACAGTGATCTCAACAATAACAATTTGTGTCATGCGCTTTACCCCACCAAAGTGTATCGGCCCTTTGCAAAGCTTTAAAAGCTGAGGAAGAACTCCGCGACGTTTAATGTAGACTCACTGGTGTTCATCGACAACATCGCGTGACCTTCTAAATCCACACGTTTTAAATTGCAAGAAACTAAAGAAAAACTAAAATGGTAAGTTAAAAAAATTGGTACAAATTATTTTATTGAAATTTAATCGTTGTGTGAAACATTAAACTCGAAATTATATTGCGTGACTTTGATGAAGGATATTCAAAGAATTAGATAACATTTTTTTTGTTATATGTACATAGAAACAAATTAATATGTAAAAGGAAATTAGAACGTTTACTTTAAAAAAATAATAATCTTAAACGGTAATTGTAGCTATAATAGTATTTTTTTTTGCTTTTTGCTTTGAAAGGTTTTATTAGAACGTTCTACTTCTATCTTACAACTTCCTTTGCGAACGGTTTTGCGGTTTTTTTAATGGAAAAAGACGGGATGAGTCATAATTATTATCTACAATGTTATGGTTACAAAATAATAATAATCGATCTTTTTCTTTGTTATTTTATTAAGATTTATCTTAAAATAATTAGTTAATAAACCGTTAATTAATTTTTCATTATTTTCAAAACGTCAAAAAGTTTAGTATTACAATGTTGGTACTTTCGGTATAAAAATCCATTTTATGACTTGACATTTCTGACAATGTCAGTTCTTAGTATGTTTTGGCACTAACCAATTAATAATTTATAACATTAAAGTTATATTAATTAAAATTATTTTCGATTTATCTTATATTTCTTCTTTAAACAATAATTAAGTATCAAATTAAAATATTTGATTATTTTGGACTAACCCTAGCGTCATCTATTAAATGAATTCGAAAAAAAATCGCTGTCAAATTTTTTTTCTTGACGTTTGACATTACTGGTGATGAGATTAACAACAAATTAAATTTATATTGTTTAATTTTAGGTACAGAGAATGTTTTTCTTATTACAGTTACCAAAATTTTAACGTAATTGTTAAGAATAATATTTGTAAATTATATTGATCACAGCTTATTTGGTACAGTTTAGAGGTGCAATGACGTCATTTGTTGCTATGTATACTAAATAATATCATCAAGTGCGGTATTGCCTAATTTTTAGAGTGAACTACTAACAATTAAAAAAATGGGTCGCCGAGCAACCGTTGAACAGCGAGAACTGGTTTTAAAACATTTCAAAAGTGGGCAATCCATTAGAAAAACTGTCAAAATGGTATATTTAAGTGCATCCACGATACAGCACATTACAGAAAGATTTGTGCATTAGAAATGTATAGTAAATAAGGGAAGAATTGCACCAAATAAGATTTTGAATACAAATGAGGAGCGATTGAGTATGTTACAACGGATATTTTACATAATCTAGAAGCAAAAAGTTTTCAAAAATTGAAATTGCAAACTTAGAGCTAGGGAAATAACTTTTTGCAATCGCGTAATCTTTTTTGCTACTGCCAAAGACGCACGGCTAAACACGAAAGTTCCTAGTTCTATGTCTAATGTTAGTTCTAGTTTTATATCATTAGAACTAACACTAGACCTAGAACTAGAATACTAAACCCGAATGTTTCTAGTTCTTGGTCTAATTTTAGTTCTAATGATATAAAGTCTAGTGTTAAATTAAATAAGCTGTGAGCCACTGTATTTATACTTAATTTTGTGTTATGATAAAATATTGACTTTTTTAATGAAATCCCGTTATAAAAAACACCACCCTGCGGGTAACGATGATTCATATCGTCTGCTTTACCGCAGTCATCAATTAGGTCCGTAGCAAGTTCATCAACCTTATTCTTCATCATAAAACGTGTGTGGGCGCTTTTCCACAAACTTACAAATTTAAAAAAAAAATTAATGTCAATGCAAACAATAAAGTTTCATTAGAAATTTCTAAGAAATCATTTATTAGCTCGATTTGCACTAATCAATACCCTCAATTTGATTTCAATCTCAATTCTACCTCTAATAGGAAGAAAAAGAAATTTTATTGTGATATCATTATCGTTTCAATTAATCGAATTAGTTTTTCTAATCAACGTTAACATTACGGAACTGTATCGGAATTGAAAAGGAATCCAACCGGTAACGATTTAATATGCGAAATGAGACGATTGTGCTGTTGGAATAAGATTTCCGTGTTACTCTGTTCCGTGCACAAAGAAGAAAATCAATCGTTTGCTTTGAAAAAGGAAAATAACACGAAAATCGGAAACGAAGTGGGGGCTTTGACCTGTTTATTATCTTTACTTTGTGTTAATCGAAAACGTTTTTGTAAAGTAATATTCACAAAGAAATTTATTGAGTTGTTAATGTTGAAGAAGTTAATTTTGTATTCATGATTTTACGTGAAATCAATTTAAAACGTAATCCAATTTAAATTTCCTCCTCTCTTTAAACTAAATGTTTGTATTAAACTTTGAGAATATCGATCTCTTCAGCATTCGCATTAAAGTAAACGCAAATGGCTAAAACTGTAAAATTATCCTTTAATTTCTTTTGTATCTTATTGTTTTCTTTCTTTGTTTTAGAGGGAGTGTATTTCCGTTCATATCGGCCAAGCTGGTGTACAAATCGGCAATGCTTGTTGGGAATTGTACTGCTTAGAACATGGAATCCAACCCGATGGGCAAATGCCTTCAGATAAAACTATTGGTGGAGGAGATGATAGCTTCAACACATTTTTCAGCGAAACAGGAGCTGGAAAACACGTTCCTCGAGCTGTTTTCGTCGATTTAGAACCAACGGTCGTTGGTAAGAATTTACTATTGGGTGCGGTTGTTCTAAAAGTGATTGTAAGAAAATTTATTTTTTTTATTGCTTGTTTTGGTGTTAACAATAGCCGTTGGTAAGTTTACGCTTCAGGAATTCAATGAGTCACCGTGTAATATTCTAAGAATACAACAGCAATTCCTCTAATTACACCAACGAGGGATTTAAGAATATTTCGGGATTCAAGGACGAATTTAAAAGATTCCAATTTATTTTGTACGCTTCAATTAAATTCGAAAAGCTTAAAAATTAATTTTTTTTTAGATGAAGTTAGAACCGGAACTTATCGCCAACTCTTTCACCCCGAACAATTAATCACCGGCAAAGAAGACGCCGCTAATAACTACGCAAGAGGTCATTACACGATTGGAAAAGAAATTGTCGATGTCGTTTTGGATCGTATTCGAAAATTAGCGGATCAATGCACAGGATTACAAGTTAGAATTAAATTCAATTTTTTAAATCATTTTTATATGGCGCCATCTCTTAACTATTTTAATAACTTTATACGTTAAAATTTATAAGTATCTTTTTTAATTTATAATTAATTATTTATTTTGTATTATTATCCTACATTAAAGTTTATTCATATTATTATTTTATTATTATTATTTAATTTTTCAAAATTTAATATTTGATATTTCAATATGTAGCGCCATCTATTAATATCTTTACGATTTATTTAACTCAAATTAATTATTAACAATGTTTTTTTTTATAATTTTAGGGATTTTTAGTATTCCATTCATTCGGTGGAGGAACCGGATCCGGATTTACCAGTTTATTAATGGAAAGATTAAGCGTTGACTACGGAAAAAAATCTAAACTAGAATTTTCGATTTATCCAGCACCACAAGTAATTTTCCCCTCAATAAAACATCAATAACCTCATTAACCATCATTTTAGGTGTCCACGGCTGTTGTTGAGCCTTACAACTCAATCTTAACAACTCATACAACACTAGAACACTCCGATTGTGCCTTTATGGTTGACAACGAAGCGATTTACGATATTTGCCGTAGAAATCTCGATATTGAGCGGCCAACGTACACCAATTTGAATCGTTTAATCGGGCAAATCGTTTCGTCGATCACAGCCTCTTTGCGGTTTGATGGTGCCTTAAACGTTGATCTTACCGAATTCCAAACAAATCTTGTTCCATATCCTAGAATTCATTTCCCATTAGCAACTTATGCCCCGGTTATTTCCGCTGAAAAAGCTTACCACGAACAATTAACCGTTGCCGAAATTACCAATGCTTGTTTCGAACCAGCCAATCAAATGGTGAAATGTGATCCTCGTCACGGAAAATACATGGCTTGTTGTATGTTGTATCGAGGCGATGTTGTCCCTAAAGATGTTAACGCAGCGATTGCAACGATTAAAACAAAAAGAACGATTCAATTCGTTGATTGGTGTCCAACTGGATTTAAAGTTGGGATTAATTATCAACCCCCAACTGTAGTTCCTGGTGGGGATTTGGCTAAAGTACAACGAGCGGTTTGTATGTTATCGAACACAACTGCTATAGCGGAAGCTTGGGCTCGATTGGATCATAAATTTGATTTAATGTACGCTAAAAGAGCTTTTGTACATTGGTATGTAGGTGAAGGGATGGAAGAAGGTGAATTTTCGGAAGCTCGTGAAGATTTGGCTGCTTTAGAGAAAGATTATGAAGAGGTTGCTGTTGATTCAGTTGAAGGAGAAGCCGATGAAGGCGACGAGTATTAAAAAAAGCAATTTCAATTTGATACGCTTTTATACTAACAAACAGCTTTTTTGGGGGAATTTTATATTTTTCTCTTAATGTTTTTTTTTTATTTTATTTCGTATTTTATTCTGTATTTTATATAGCACTTTTTGCAAAAAGATTGAATAATAATATATACAACAATAAAAAAGTTTTGTATTTTAAAAATTATTTCAACTGAATTTTTATTTTATGATAAGCATTATTAAGTACCCCCCTTAAATTCCATATATTTTTAAACGATTCCGGTTGAGTATTATAAGAAGAATCCACTGCTTTAGCCCAAACCTCAATCTAAAAAGTTATAATTAATTTAAAATCAAAAATAATAGGATAACCTCACATTTCCTGATTTATTTTCAACCGGCACTTTAACCGTCCATAAAGTCCATGCCCAATGGTGTGGTGGGACAGCTTCTTCTTGATGATCAAACCCTGCTACATACCAATTTTCACCACCATCAATCGTTACATCAACCCTAACAATTTTTTTTCCACCCCCAGACCAAGCATAACCCCTCACCGTGATCATCCCATCATCATCAACTTTAACAATTTCATTTTCAATCGGTTTACAAATCGCAGAAATAACGGGAAGTTCTTGAATCGCCGGCGAACTATTCCAATCGATGTTATCGTAAGTGGTGCTCGGAGAGAAACCTTTATAATCAAATTGTTGCCAATGCGATTCACTTTCATTTTGTGTAACGATTATTTTCGATAACCACTTTACATTTCGCGCACCTACAGTTCCCGGTACAACGACGCGTATCGGAAAACCATGATCTCTCGGTAAAACTTGACCGTTCATTTCATAAGCTAAAATAACGTCTCCTCGACGATCCGTTCCCTTTAAAAATGGAATGGAAGCTCCGTAGGGTACGTTTGAAGTGTTTACATCTAATCCTTCAAACTATAATTAAAAATATAAATTAATTAAGTTTTTTTTTGAGATTATGATTTAATACTTGATAGTCTCCGATCAAAACTCAATTTTGAACCGAAACCGAAACTTTTCATTGAACAGAAGGAATAATAAAATAACAAGATAGAAACAAATAATTTAAAATAAATAATACTCTACTATACCATATTTTTTAATTCGGAGGAGTGTTTTCAAACACTACTCCGTGTGCCGCATGTCTTTTAGCATGGCTAGTACAGGGTGTCCAAATTTCGATGGGTTTGCAGGGTATCTCAGTTATTATGAAAGATAGAAAGTTGCGGTTTTCGCGAACCTGAGCTACTTCTTTGTGAAACTTACAATGCCGCAAACCAAATTTTCATAGACCTCTTCGTTTTTGATATACAGGGAGTATCACAGAGTAAGGCAGAGAGTTAGCTCACCGGGAAAATGATAGGCCATTCTCTATCTCTTATTATCACATCATAATACCGATATTTTCTCTTTGTCATCTTGATAGAAATCCTTAGTAGATGGCGTACATGTCGTTAGTAATATTACAGAAAGCTGTTGACTTTGTTTAAGCGGTTTTGACATTTTATGTATGTCACATGTCACACAGTCCTTTTGCGTTTATTGTCTTATTTGTGCTTATTATCTATTTTTGCGTTGTATTTTTTACGAATAATTTTCGAGAATAATTATTGTAAAAATGTTTTGCATTGTGTGTGGATGTAGCGAAGATGAAGTTGGAAAATTATTTTGTTTTCCCAAGAATAAGGACAGGTTAGTATTTTAATTATATTAATTTTTAATTTCAATAGTATTCAAATTAAGTATTCAAATTTTTGATAACACCGTGTCACTTAGGGTAAGAAGCAGTTGGTGGTTGATAACCAACATTTATTTGTTATAATGCTTTTTTGTTATATGTACTTTATCAATTGAAAACCACAGACAAAAACGGCCAACCCAACCCAACCTGTGAGGGTCATCCCGGAGAAGACGAGGACAGGGGTTTTTAGTGTAATTATATTGTAATTTAAATATAAAATTTTAAATCGCCAATGGATTTCTCTTTATTTTGCATTGAAATTATAAAATTATAACTTTTTGATTTGAGGTGCTTTTTATTGGTCTATTAAGCTGTAATTATTTTGGCTTACGCAAGCTAAATATAGCTTAATAGATCCACAAAAAGCACATTAGATCAAAAATATTTCTGTATTCAAATTTTAAATTAAATAAAAGATTTGAATTTGGCGCCAATTGCATTTTTGCTTCTCACTGCCATCTACATAAGTGTTACATGATGAGTGAGAGAGACCGGTATATATTGGATCTCGCTTTCACAATGGAGTTGGCCGTCTGGTAGTAGTCTGTGGGGAGTATTTCAAAATTTACGATTTTCAGACACCCCCGTATCTCGGCTATCCGGAAACTTAATAAAAAAGTAAAAACGGGTTCTAATAGATTGTTTCACGTAGAATCCAATGATGCACGTAGAATTTTTCTAGACATTACAGTTTTTGAGTTATAAACACAACTTAGGTTTTTTTAACTAGAACCACCTATATTTTATTTTTTTATTGAACTGGATTTTTTTCAAGCTTTTCAATGATATACAGGGTGTTCCGGTGACTCGGGGAATAAAATTAACCTCATATACTAGAGCAAAAATGATGACGATTGGTGAAAAAAAATTTATTATAAAAGTCTTCAAATGGCCAAGATATGGGCCATCAAAGTTCAAAAATTTTAACACATTTTTCTAAATATTTTCAATACCATTTATGGTAGAGCGTTGAAATTTGGTACAGGGTAAACAAATATCAAGCAAAATCATTGAACCAATTTTTACTTTGATCGGGCGGCGGCAACCATGCTATACAGGGAGTCCCTAAAATTTGTTTGCTCAGAACTTTTTTGTTCGATCGTAATCCTACATTTATTTTTGCAGTTTCTAATAGAAAATTTATTTTAGAAGCTTTTATTACTCTTAGATAATATTGATAAAAATCACCGTTTTCGTGTTAAATGCAAAAATGTTAGGTTCCGATTTCAATAACACTAAAAAAAAAAATCTAAGTCGGCCATGACAAGTGAAAATCGAACTGAGCCGCCATAAATATTATGTATGTAACATTTCCAAGTGTAGATTAGGTAAATCCCTTTTTAATTTGTTTTAGTTGATTTAATAAAAGATAATACAAAACAATAAATTTAATTTTAACGACAACGCTAACAGGAAAAATAAAACAAATACATAAAATAACAAGACAAGTAATAAAAAATACTATAGGAAATGTTCAAAAAGACCTCCGTTAGCATCAATACATGCCTGATATCGTCGCTTTAAATTAAATCATACTCTAGGCAGTACATTTATCTCCGTTCGAATTTGGTCGAATGAATCGACGATTCGTAGCCTGAGCTGATTGATTTAACTCGCCCCCATTAATAAAAGTCCATAGGTGTAAGGTCTGGTGACCGGGCCGGCCAAGTTATCGATGCTTCCGCTCCTCGTCCGATCCACCGTCCCGGAAAACGGTTCCCTAGAAATTCCTTCACTGCATTTGTGCTGTGCGCAGGGGCACCATCATGTAAATACCACATGTCCCTTCTGGTATTTAACGGAACGTCACCTAAGAACTCGTCCAATCCTTCCAAATGTTGATGGTATGTAGGGCCATCAAGTCTTGACGGCAAGAAAACGGGACCAACAATGACATCCCCCACAATCCCAGCCCAAACATTGAGAGAAAATCTCCATTGAGATTTCCAAGTTTTGAAAAATTTTGGATTTTCTTCAGCCCAACTATGTAAATTCCTTAAATTAATTATTCCATCTTTGGAAAAAGTAGATTCATCGGTGAAAAGTATTTTTTCTAAAAACTGATTATCAATTTGTATTTTCTGTTGCATTTTCTGGCAATATTCCAATCTAATTGGATAATCGGTAAGCTGTACTTCCTGAACCTTACAGCAGTGAAATGGGTAAAGCTGCTGCTCTCGAAGAATACGCCACACAGTCGTTTTTGACGTCCCAAATCGCCTAGCCATGTCCGAAGTACTAGTGGTACTATTTTCTTCTGCATGTTCTAAAATTAACTCTTCCAATTGAGGAGTTCGAACAGATCTAGGGTTGCCGTTGTTCAGAAAGATATGTTTTAGTGATCCATTTTCTCTTAATCGGGCTTCAATTCGAGAAAACGTTTTTCTGTTGGGGGTTCTACGATTCGGGAATTTTTGCCGATAACGGTTAGCGGCTGCTACGGAATTTCCAAGACATTCACCCAATGTTAAAAGCATATCGGTTTGTTCTCCAAACGTGTAATTTTCCATTTCGAACACTACAAGGTTTTTAGTATTTGTTTAAACGACTAAGCGTGTTTACAACTGTCAATGAATTCGTTTGTTAATTGTCATGGCAGACTTAGACTTTTTTTTTAGTGTTATTGAAATGGGAGCCTACCATTTTTGCATTTAACACGAAAACGGTGATTTTTATCAATATTATCTAAGAGTGATAAAAGCTTCTAAAATAAATTTTCTATTAGAAACTGCAAAAATAAATGTAGGGTTACGATCGAACAAAAAAGTTCTGAGCAAACAAATTTTAGGGACTCCCTGTATAGCATGGTTGCCGCCGCCCGATCAAAGTCAAAATTGGTTCAATGATTTTGCTTGATATTTGTTTACCCTGTACCAAATTTCAGCGCTCTACCATAAATGGTATTGAAAATATTTAGAAAAATGTGTTAAAATTTTTGAACTTTGATGGCCCATATCTTGGCGATTTGAAGACTTTTATAATAAATTTTTTTCACCAATCGTCATTTTTGCTCTAGTATATGAGGTTAATTTTATTCCCCGAGTCACCGGAACACCCTGTATAATACTCTATACTTACCTTTATAATTAACCTCGAAATTAAAAAAACCACATTACTTTATAAGTAGGCTATGATAAATTAAGTGATCGCGTTGCTAGGATACCAGGATAAACAAAGAATTTTGAAAATACTATAATATTAATTATTGACTTATTAAAAAAATGTATCTATTAAATTTTGTTTGCTAAAAACGAAAAATTATTAAAAACTAAACATTATGCAAATATGGCTTCAAGTTACAAGAATTGTTCAAAGTTGTTACCATTTTGATGCACACATTGTTCACAAAGTTTAGTAATGCGTTTAATTGCATTTAGAATAGTTATGGGATGTTGCTGTAAATGTGAAAAAGCATCAGTTACAGCAATTTTCAATTCCAATTTTGTTCGATTCTGGGTACTATATACCCGATTCTTGATATATCCCCATAAAAAGAAGTCCAAAATAGATAAATCAGGTGATCTTGCTGGCCATCGCGTTGGACCATGTGTGCCTATCCACCTACCAGGAAATTCTGCAGTTAGGTAGCGACTCACTAACTGCGCATTATGAGCGGGAGCTCCGTCCTGCTGAAAATAAATATTATTTAGCCGAATAAGAGGAATATCATCCAAAATCTCTGGCAAAGCCNCATATGCAATTTTTCAATTAGTGTTAAAATAAAATAAACTAAGTGACTTTTTATGACATTTTTATTACGGTTTATCATTAGCAACTGTGGTTAGCAACGAAATTGTTTGGAGTCGATATAAGCTCCGCCCATCTCTGTGATGTCAGGTTAGGCAGTCTGTTTATCATTGCCTACTTATAAAATAATGTATTTTATTCAATTTCGAGGTTAATAAATTATAAAGGTAAGTGTAGAGTATTATATATCATTGAAAAGCTTGAAAAAAATCCAGTTCAATAAAAAAATAAAATATAGGTGGTTCCATTTAAAAAAACCTAAGTTGTGTTTATAACTCAAAAACCGTGATGACTAGAAAAATTCTACGTGCACCATTGGATTCTCCGTGAAAAAATCTATTAGAACCCGTTTTTACTTTTTTATTAAGTTTCCGGATAGCCGAGATACGGGGGTGGTCTGAAAATCGTAAATTTTGAAATACTCCCTGTATATCAAAACCGAAGAGGTCTATGAAAATTTGGTTTGCGGCATTATAAGTTTCACAAAAAAGTAGCTCAGGTTCGCGAAAACCGCAACTTTCTATCTTTCATAATAACTGAGATATCTTGCAAACCCATCGAAATTTGGAGACCCTGTACAGTGTAGCTACTAATGTTAGTTCTAGGTTTACACTAGCACTATCACTAGAACTAACACAAGACCTAGGACTAAAAACATTCGGGTTTAGCCGCACGTCTTTCAAGACGGCTAAACCCGAATGATTCTAGTTCTAGGTCTTGTGTTCGTCATGTTACGTCATCAAAACGATTTTACGTAACCCACGTCTAGAACAACATGTATAATTCGCTCTGATGAAGATTGCAATAGATAATCGAAATACATTAGCAATTAAAAAAGTTGTTCCTGCTTTTATTGACCATTCCCAACCCAAACCCGATTAAATCGTCTCCATTGCTTCCCACGGTTATCGGTCATAGATACTCTTTCCAGGTATTGAAGGACGTCAAAATGTTGTTTCAGCTCAGAATATTATCGTAGTTAATCACGTAAGTTGCTAGTTTGTGATTTCTAAACGAGTAACACTGAAGAAGTGAGTTTATTAATGTATCACAGTGATGGGCGCTGGGCAAATACCCGGCGGGTAAGTATTTCTAAAACGGGTATTTATCCGGGTATTTACCCCGGCCCAGGGTAAATACCGAAACAGTGTGTATAAAAATGATACCGGTAAAAAAATATCAAATTCCAAAAAAAATGAAGAGGAAGATGATGAAATGGACGTTGAAGACGAGGAATTGTCAACAATCAGAAACGTATTATCATCAGACGAATCTGTCGTAATTTAGATTACATCAAGTTATTGTAATTATTATCATCAAGCAGCCCTCTGCGTCCATTGTTGTACATAGACATAGACGATTCTATTCTGTGCTGTCTGAATCCAATTGTTGGTCATTCTTTTGACGCCTACTTCGTCTATTCGCTCGCCCCCACTCAAGCAACCGTTTTGTCCACACTCATTCTTCATTCGCGTGACATGACCCGCCCAGTTTCACTTAAGCTTTGCTACAATGTTGACCACATCATTTACGCCAGTACTTCTTCATAGGTCTTCATTTCGCATGTAGTCCCTGAGAGTTACACCCATGATCGATATGTCCATCTATCTTTGCGTTACTTGGACCCTACTGGCAGTGGCTACCGTTAATGTTAATGTTTCGGAGCCGTATGTCATAACCGGAAACACGCATTAGTGGAAAGCCTTTTCTCTTGAAGATGTCTCTAAGTTTCCCGTAGGCTGCCCATACGAGTGTAATCCTTCTGTTTAGTTCGCTTGTTTGATTATCTCTCGTTACACGAACCTCATAGTCAAGATATACAGAGCAGTCAATCCTCTCATTATCCCCAATGTTGATGTTAGAGCTGGGAACAAGATTTGTCATAAATTTTGATTTCTCCTCGTTGATATTATTATTAGATACCCGACTCTTGCACACGCCTCCTTTAAGTCGTTCAGCATTAGTTTAATCTCTCCAAGGCTATCCAAAATAAGAACTATATCGTCCGCGTAGTGCAAATTACTTAAGCATTTGCCATCAATGTTTATAGAAAAAATTTGAAAAAACGATGAAAATATATTTATTAAAAAATATTTAAAATCAGTGCTACTAGTTTCGGGAGTAACTTCTCCCTTCTTCTGGCACGACGTCAAATTACGAGATTTTAATCGGAGAGTAGAATTTAATTAACATCTTAAACGATCCACGAGAAAAAGTATACAAAATACGACACATTGAACAACCTCTAAAGTTTAAATTCCAAATTATTAACAAAGTTAAAAGCCTGATGGGCAAGATATAATAAAAGAAATTAAGAATTGAATCTTAAAACATGATTTTCATCGTTAAAGAAAAGCCAAAAAAGTGTGAACGTTCTAAAATTAAAGTAATATAAAATTCTGAAATTGTTGAAAAACTAAAAAATTATTGAGAGTCCATCTGGTGTGTAAGAACATCTATCGAGAACTGATAGATGTTCTTATTGTCGTAAGAAATACTGACTAAATGTCAAAATACATATCGTATTTTGTATACTTTTTCTCGTGGATCGTTTAAGATGTTAATTAAATTCTACTCTCCGATTAAAATCTCGTAATTTGACGTCGTGCCAGAAAAAGGGAGAAGTTACTCCCGAAACTAGTAGCACTGATTTTAAATATTTTTTAATAAATATATTTTCATCGTTCTTTCAAATTTTTTCTTTCGACGATTACGATGAACCTCGAATCAAAGATCGCAAGATCAATGTTTATGCCTTTTTGGGTCCAATCCAGTTGTTTAAATGTACTCCAGGGCTCTTATGAACAATTTGGGTTCAACAGTGTAACGCCTTGTTTTACTCACAATCAGTACTTTACTACTTCTAATCTCTTCAGTACTTTCATGCAATTTTACCGTCATTGTAGTATTCTTGTAGATGTTATAAATAAGTTTGGTATATCGATAATCGACTCTGCATTCTTGGAGTATTTGCAAAACTGCCATCAACTCAATTTAAATCAGATTTTATAAATACCTCTATTTAGAGGTATATATTTACCCATCTTGGGTAAATACCCCCGGGTATATATCCAGGAAATTTACCCTTGAAAATAAATACCCGGGTATTTAACAACACTGTCTTTAGAGCGTCAGTGGTACATCTATCACAATCTTCACAGCTTAGTTTCGGATACAAGTAAAGCAGATATCGTAGCTCCATTACCGAAGAAAGAGTTGGCATCGAAGAAACGATAGGCGAACGTCTTCAGATACTAGCACTAACACTAGAACTAATACAAGACCTAGAACTAGAATCATTCGGGTTTAGCCGTCTTGAGAGATGTGCGGCTAAATCCGAATGATTCTAGTTCTAGGTGTTGTGTTAGTTCCAGTGATAGTATTAGTGTAAAACTAGAACTGACACTAGACCGAAAACTAGAAACATTCGGGTTTAGCCATGCGTTTCTCAAGGCGGCTAAACCTGAATGATTCTAGTTCTAGGTCTTGTGTTAGTTCCAGTATTAGTGTAAAACTAGAACTAACACTAGACCTAGGACTAGAAAGTACCTTCTAGTTTTAGATTTAGTGTTAGTTCTAGTATTAATTGTTACTCAGCGCTAGATTGTTGTACATTTCTATTGAACAAAAACTAAACCAAAAACTAGAAACATTCGAGTTTAGCCGTCCTTAAAGACGTGCTGCTAAACCCGAATGTTTCTAGTTTTAGTGGTAGTTCCAGTGATAATGCTAAGCAGAACTAGTTAGCATTAGATAGCGCTAGGTTATTGTATATTTCTATTGAACTAAAACTAGACCTACAACTAGAAAAATTCGGGTTTAGCCGTCTTTAGAGGCGTGCAGCTAAATCCAAAAGATTCAAGTTCTAGGACTAGTGTTAATTCTAGATTTAATTGTTATTCAGTGTTAGATTTTGGTATATATTGTAATGTTTTTCCAAATGGACCGCAAATAGTCCCTCTTCTTTTGAAAAGAATTATTTTAATGAAAACATTACTAAATTTTATAATAATTTGTTTTTTTATTAAATTGAAAAAAATTTAAATGTTTAAACAGAATTGTCGAATTATCTCAGGGTTAAGGCAGGTTCTGGTAATACTGTCAAGACAAACATGTGCACAACTTAAGGTGCAATCAAATTGAGATGTTGTCGACAAAATTAACAAAATATACTGATTATATAAACAAATATTCTAAATTAGTTGATTCGAAGTAATATTTATCAACTCAGATATGTTATGGTCTTAAACAACTCGTCAAATATTAAATTAATTAGGAAATTGTAATCGTAATCTCAAAATTTATATTGGACTTATCAAGAACTTCTCGTATTGAAGGTAAAAAGAGTCTTTTTCTTTAAAAAATGTATCAACTAAAACAATAAATTATAAAAAAAAATAACTTAGCCAATTTGTTTCTATGGGAACCTTGGAGGTCAAACTCAGAATAATATTTTCTTCGTGACAGGAACAGTTGGATTCAGGATTGAGAACCAATTTATCTCTTCACTAGTGATGATGGAACCAATTGCTTTACTTGATCAGGAGCGAATTTAATCGTTTCTTCGAAATTATTGAACAGGAACGGATATTTTTCTTTAATAGGAACAGGATGAATTGTTTTTTCAAAGTTGAACAGGAACGGACATAATTTTTTTAACTCGTTGACACGTTGATTTAATTAATTTTCAGCAGAGCAAAAAAAAATGTGTGTGTTTCTTTAGACAACAGGAAGCACACTCTTTTTGTTGATAAATTCCGTTTTTCGGATGTTAAATTTCCAAATAACCTCTCCTGATTGGTTAAATTTATGGATTTGGAATTTGTGTCTTAGTTTTTTCAATGTAGCCAACTTTGACATTTGAAATGTCTCTAATTCAATTTGTCAAATTATTATTTAAATTTTTAAAATTATTTATAATTATGCGTGATATTTCGTAATTTTGGTGCTCTTTTAAATCAATTTTCAAATATCCATTCATTTTCTTCTGATCTCAACGATAAATTTTCCAATATGTTCAAATTAATTTTGTAAATTTTCATCCAAATTTCATTATTCCATACAAATATTAATTATTTTCTTTGTTAACCAAGTTAAGTTTATCGTTCTAAATAGGTTTAATCCGGGTAGATAAAGATTTAAATAAATAATTTCGAAAAATTTAAATTGAGGTTATCTGGTATCGAATCTTTAAAATTACTTCGCATCGACATTAAAGAACAATAAAATGTACCGAAATTCACTAGCATATAGTATCTAACATTATTTTATAATTGTTTAAATTTTTTAGTTTTATTATTACAATATATAGACTTACTTGAATATGTTGATATCCTTGGGATTCATCCGTAATTCCAACTAATTTTAAAACATCGCTTAATCTAGCACCACCCCATTGAGCATTACCTACAGAAGCTTGCCCCCAACTTAACCCTTTCACTTCTTTGATCCGATTCATTTCACTCCGACGATTTCCAGCGCACATAATCGTCGCGTTTATCGTGTGTTTGGGTAATTTTTTTAAATCTTCTAATTTTAAAGTTTTCTTAATGTTATTGGTCCCATTATCGACCTCAATTTCCAGTTCATAAGTTTCTGGGTCAACGTAAGGTACCGGTAAATGATTTCGTACATAAAAAATTTCACTAAAATCAATTAAATTGTTATAAATTCTTTTTTTATTAATTTTTAACACTGACTTTGGTGTTAAAAAGTGCTCTACTAATAAAGTTGATGGTGGCTCGGCATTATAAGGCTTTTCTGATGCCGGTTTTAAAACCGTGTGCCTTAAAGGTTCCCCTGAATATGGATCGTCCATGTCTTGTATAACAAAACGAGTTTCATCTTCGGATATGTTCCCTATGCGCATTTCTTCGAGGATTTTGTATATTTGTGGGGTTTTATGGATGCCGTAAAGTAACCAAAACGGTTCGATTGAGCTTCCCGCAGCCATTAAGATTTGATCACCACCTGGGTGTTCGTTAATAAAGTTCGTAATATCGTAAACTCCTTGTTTGTAAGTGACCCAAATTCCAGTTTCTCTTTAAAAATAAAAAAATCTAATTTATGATTTTATTTATAACCTAAAATATTAACTTTGTAGCGTGTTTATTTACTTCTTCCATCGTGTATTTAGGAAGATTTTCTTTATATTTTCCCGCTGACGACAAATCTTCCAAGTAAACATTCCTTTTTTTCTTATAAACGCCATAACCCACATAACCAACAATCGTAGATGCGATTAATACGGATTTGTAACTAAAATTCCAATTGGAATTGGTTCCTTTATATTCATTTTTAATCCTATTTACTTTATAACTAAGACAACGAGTTGTATTTAACTTTAAAGCCTGATTAAATAAAGTTTTAGATAAAACCAACCTAAAAAGCAACTTGTTTATGTTACAATAAAGTTTTATCTAGTTTCATTTACCTTTGTGGCATAAAACTCATCGTAATCGTAACGCACAAAACAACTTTAAGACCGTTTTTAAGTTAACAAATTTATTGTTTATTTAAATCTTTTGCGAAGATTTTGGGTCCTGCAAAAATTTCAACCTGTTTTGTGTCAATAACATGTGAAAGTGATTTTATTTAAACGTAAATTGATAAATTTTAAAATTTAACTAGAAATTTATAGTATTATGACAAATTTATTGTAACCTAACTTTTTATCATGTTGTTTGGTAATAATTCTAACGCAATAATTGCTAATAATAGAAATGTTGATAAAATAACACTACAGATAATACAAATTAATGATATTTTATTGAAATTATAAATAAAACTTTTGAGAAATAGTGATAACTGATTAAAACAACTTTGGTTACTTAATTTAGTTAGGTTAGGGATTAAACTTAGGTGTTAATTTTTAAACAATTTTTCTTACGTAATTTAAAAAGTTCACGTGGTTTTAAAATAGTACAAAATTAACGTGTTAAGTTAATAAATTTAAAATAATATTTTTTTAAAGTAATTAAAACGAAAAAAAAGTGGGGACTTTTATCTTCATAAATTGGTAAACATTACAAAAACAGTAATAAAGCGACATCTACATGAAACCCTCCTGTCATATCTGTCATTCTGTTACGGACAAGAACGAATAATGGGCAGAAAATGGATAATTTGACGGGGATATTCGCAGCGGAGGATCGCGGATCGTGTGAGATGCCCGTACGGGTGCCCCCGTTGGGACAATGGGCGGCTGCATAGGTGTTTCCCGCGGTCGAAGCGGGGCTATCGAGGACTCCGGGTCTAATTCCAGGCCATACACAGGTATTTATCCCAAAAAAAAAATTAATTAATTTTTTAACCTTCATCCACGACAATTTCGTACGTGATTCGCATGTTAATTAACTTAATTCAATTCGTTAATTATTCACAAGTACAAAGATTAAATTAAACATTGAAAAAAATTATTTGACATTTCCTTTAGAGGTTATGTGTTAATTTTTTTATTGATGTCAAAAATTTTTTATAGGTAGTACTCGAAAAAATCATCCTTTATGTCACGAAACAATTCGTTGGAAATCCGATGTGCCATTAACGGAAGGTCAACTTCGTAGTAAACGAGACGAATTTTGGGATACAGCACCGGCGTTTGACGGTCGCAAAGAAATTTGGGATGCACTTAGAGCCGCAGCGGTAGCTGCCGAATCAAAAGATTACGAATTAGCCCAAGCAATTTTAGATGGAGCGAGCGTTTCAGTACCGAACGGCTACTTAACAGAATGTTATGATGAATTAGGTTCAAGATACCAAGTCCCCATTTATTGTCTCTCTTATCCTATTAACATTGTAAAAGAAGATAATGGAAGAGATTCCCCAGCTGAATGTTCAGAACCGGTCGAAGGTGGTTCAGAAACTGTATTAAAATTGAGATTATCTCATAATTGCATGGATGTAAAACTGGCTGTGTACTCGACTGATACAATTGGAGTGTGCAAAAAGAAATTACAAAGTCAGGAAGGAATTGAATCGTCGAGACAAAGATGGTTTTACGGTGGAAAATTGTTGGGGGATAAATTACATGTGGAAGAAGCGAAAATTCCTAACGGATATGTTGTTCAGGTTATTGTTAATATTGAAGGTTTAAAAATGGGATCATGAAAGCCTTAATGAACAAAAAAAATGTAGTTTGGGGTTGTATTTAATAATAATTATAATAATAAAAGACTATTCATATCAAAAAAAAAATTGTGAAGTGATTTTAATGATGTGAATGTGGAAGTGATTTTTTTTGTATAAAAAATTAAATTCTTCAGCTTGTAATATATAATTTAACTCGCTTATCGCATAAAAGAATTAGTGTTTAATAAGAACTGGTTGTGTACTTTTGCTGATTACTTTAATTGAGATAGTTTTTCGATATATCATTTTTTTGTAAATAATCTGTCAATTAATTCATTATATTTAAATTATTCCCTGGGACGAGGGGTGTGAAAAATTCAATTTATTAATTATTAATTAATAAAAATCATGTCCTGATGTACCTGAGAACAATAATTAATGAGAATTAAAAAAATATAAATAAATAATGAAAATATAAAAATAATAAAACGCTTATTGTAAATAAAATAGTTCTTTGGCCGAAAATTAAGTGGGACAAATTTGTTGATTGCCCCGTTTTTGCAATTTTAACAAAGGCAATAGGTATTTTTCAAAATAAATATAATCGTCCGTCACACTTTGTAATACACCTACGTTTTTTTTCTCGTCTGTGGTGGGTTTAAAACGTTTTTTTTTTATGAACGTCGTCGACCGATGCCTGTGTGTTGATTTTTAAGACATGATTCAATAAAGAGTTGTTATAAATGTTGGTTGTTTTAATTATTTAACAAAAATTAATAAGTCACATATTAATCGCCAAACAATTCGCTTTTTTGGTTTCAAGAGGCCAGACACGGTGACGATTTGGTGTGCAGTCTCAGGAAATGGTGTGCTATTTCATTGAAGATAATGATGGTACACCTCTGACTGTTACTCAGAAACGAAAGATTTTTCATGCCAGGAACATTTGGATGAATAAACAGTGGGCAAAAAAACTCTGACAACGTTTCCAAATCACTTCAATGTCGTGTAAAATCGAATGGTTCGTTCAGCCGTAAGCTCAAAATAACTTTCCAACTCATAAAAGCATTCAGCTACTTGGCTTAACCTTGGTTTGTCTCCTTCTAGTTGGGTTATGTATTTAACATTAGTGTTTGTTAGGTGATAAAAGTTTGAAATTTTTACCCAAAAAATATCCTCATTTAATATCAACTTTGAAACTCGTTCACTGACAATGAGTTTATCTTCTGCTTCATAAACTGCTAATTCTTCTAATGCATATTTCGTATCAAGAAGACTTTTTAAATTATGAATAATTGATCCCCATCGCGTTTTCACAGGTAATTTTAAGGAAATGGCAGGAAATGATTTTCATTTTTGAAATGTCTCCAATTATCAAATTTAGCGTATGAGCAATGTATTCATAAACAGAAATATGTTTATACTTTTCATGAAGTATATTTCTTGCTTTAATCAATGCACCGACATTGTCGGTTACTATAGCAAAGAGTTGGTCTGTTACCTTGTGATGTTGATGTATCATCCTCAACCATTTCATCATCATCTAAAGATAAAATTTAAGAAAATAATTCGTTATGAACACTGTCTAGACTGCTAATAACAATAATAAAATATTTTGGCGCATACTGTATTTGAAAAGGTAGAACGTCAACGTCAAAAATTTGATTGAAACGTCAAATCTCCATAGCAACACGAATTAAATTTTTAATAAACAGAATAATTAGAAAAAATATGAAATTTTTCGAAATAACCGTTATATACATGAAAAAATTTAATCTTAATCCAAATTTACTTAAAAATAATTTTAATTTAAATTTCATTTAAGTTTTTGAGGTTATTTTGTAATATGACGTTTTTTAATTCGGGTAACGAAAGAAAGATGGTGCTAATTACCATATGAACGTTTAAATGGTATTAAAAATCCACAACATTTTTAAATTATTACCAATGTTAATAAAGAATGTGGTAAGGTTAGGATATTATATGTATTAATCGGCGATATCATCAAATTCGAATTTCAATATATTTTTAATCAATTATTAATTCGGTAATGACGAATCGATCAACTAATTGTGGTGCTGAAGCTAACTTTACAATCATTCTTTGACAAGTTCTACTTGTTAATAGATGGCGTAACGTGTTTAACCTAAATTTAAAATTTTAGGTTATAAAGATTATTTTTAAGTTTTAATTTCTAATCATTTTCTTATTTGAATTCACTACAAACAAATTTAAGGCGCCATAAAATTTCTGAAACGTAAATAAATCACTCGAAAAGATAAACACGATTATGTCAAGATTGTGAAATATTTCCGGGAATTTTAGCGCCGGCAGGTATAAAATATCAATTTCTAGGAAGGTCGGAAAGAACCAGGCTAAATCCCAAGTTTTCCCGCCTATTTCGCCCCTATTAACTTTTTTTTGTAGAAAATTAAATGAAAGGAAAAAAATTAAAAATAATTTTAACAATAAATCTATATTATCAATCATCATTACAACTAAACTAGTCTATTTTGGAGACAAAAGTATAGGAATTATGTACAGTTTTAGTTCTTTTTATCTTGTTATTCACATTTTCATCTGTACGCAATCATCCTTCATTAAAAAAACTTAAATTTTTACATCACACAAAGTTTACTTCACCACACAAACAGGCAAAGAAAAGATTTATTTTTGTACTAAATCAAAAAAGGTCTCGAATGATCCATAACGTTCAATCTAAAATTAAAAAAAACTTTTTCACTCTCCCATATTTTTCATAAATACATCTTATTAAAAAACCCACAGTTCGCAATAAATATTATTACCAAAAACTCACTCATCTCGCTTTTACACATTTCTATTTCAGGCGATTACATTAATAATAATAATTAAATTGTTCCTTTTTTAATAATAATATTATTATCAAAAATCGAATACGAAATTGGGTAAAAATCAGTGCGTGTTCTGTGTGTGTATTTGTGGTTACCACTTATAAAGAGTCATTAGTTAACATTCAATATACAAATAGTAGTAGTTTAAAAAAATCGTTAGAACGTGATATGAGATTCCTAAAAAAGCTCTTGTTCTTTGACTAGGAGGACAAAATACATTATTATCTGGAGTACAGGATAAGGAAAAACGTAATACGCGTGTTCTCTTATTATTTCTTTTAACCAAAAGTATAAAATCAAAGTCTCTTTTAAGCCATGAAAGCTTTAACGCAAGCGCGTACTTCTTGTCTACAAACCGGGCACGTTGTAGCAGTCGCCGCACAATCGACACACGCTATCATGTGCCTACAAGGCAGATTTACTATTGAACGTTCATTAACGTAGCAAATACCGCATAGAGGAACACTTTTATTACTCGATGATGAAGAAGAAGAAGAAGACGCTGCGGTTACAGCTTCTTTGGTATCATTAATAATGCCGTTTTGAGTTTGAACTGAAGAATTTCTTCGTTTTGTGATATCGATATTTAAACTTGCACACATTTCTTGTGCTTGTACACTACTTGTCGGTGAAGAAGGAATCGAATTCTCCATAAATCCGGAATGATGTTTCTCTTTGATTTCTTTAATATACTCAACGCCTTTTTGTAATCTTAAAAACACACATTTTTCAGACCATAAAGCGTGTTGTTCCCATGGATCATCGTCTTCTTGCCATGCTTTTAAACCCAACCCGCAATGGAAACATACAGTTTGATCACCATATCCTGTATAATAATAACCGGCCGAAGCTAAATCTTTCGGTTTTTGCTTTATCGAAACGGGCCAATGTTCAAAAGAAGCTAACCTCTTATCAAAAAGTGCATAATTCGGATGTGAAACCGTTATGTTCGTTTCAATCCCCAAATTATTTAATAAAACCGATAAATTTCTTTCTTCACCCTCTTCCTTTCTAAACCGATTATCATCCATTTTATAACCACAATCGTCAACACCTATACACAAATTAAGCCGTACGCTGTTGTTCAAAAGCGGACAATTTGGATTCCAACGACGATGTTCGGCGTTTGGAACGTCTCCGCGCTCCCAACGACCAATTTCTACGCCGCAAAATGCACAACGAACTTTATCGCCTTCACCGAAATAATAAAAACCATCTTCGGCTAACGTTTCCTTACCAATGAACGAAACAGACCAACCTTCAAACGTATTTAAACGTTGAATATAATTTTGCATTAATAAATTTGCTGCTATTTCATCCTTTATCGATGTAAGGAGGTTATGGTTGTTTGCGTACGAACCCAACAGTGAGGACGTCATGTTGCGGATATGACTAAATTTAACCTGAAACAAGAGAAAATAGTATTTAAGTAAATTTAAATAAAAAATGTATTAAAAGTTAATTTACTTTTTTTTAGGTTATGTCATTGTGACGTTTTAATGCCTTTTAGGTTAGGTTGTCGATTGATTATTTTAGAATTGATTAATATAAAACTAATTAATAAATTAGTATCAATAAATACGAAAGTATTTTTAATTAATTCATTTAATTAATGAAGATGTTAATTATTTATAATTTTAATTAGTTTTAAAATAAGATTCAAATTTTAAATCGGTTGGTATCTTGGAATATGCTTGACTAATTTCATGGGTGTTTACAACGAAAATGTCGAAGTAAATTTAAACCAAATCGGATTTATATTTTATTAATAACTGTAAAATTAATAATTTTGTTTAAAATCAAAGAAATTAAGGAAAAAATGGTGAGTATTTTTTATATTTATTATTTCTTTAAAGTAAAATGAAATTTCTTTAATAAATTTGAGGTTATTTTTGGTTGCCAGGCAACGAAATAAATATGGAAGAATTGTCATTGTCATTATTGAAAAATGGAATGGAATTTTAGTCTTGTGGAATGGAATTGGTCGTGTTAGTTATAGTTTTAGTTCAATGAAAATATACAACAATGTAACACTGAATAACAGTTAAAACTAGAAGTAACACTAGACCTAGAACTAGAAACAATCGGGTTTAGCCATGCATCTTCAGTTAAACCCGAAAAAATAAGATTCAAATTTTAAATTTGTTGGTATCTTGGAATATGCTTGACTAATTTCATGGGTGTTTACAACGAAAATGTCAAAATAAATTTAAACCAAATTGGATTTAAATTTTATTAATAATTATAAAATAAACAATTTTGTTTAAAATCAAAGAAATAAAGGTAAAATAAGTGAGTATTTTTTATATTTATTATTGTTTAAAGTAAAATGAAATTTCTTTAATAAATTTGACGTTATTTTTGGTTGCTAGGCAACGAAATAAATATGGAAGAATGGTCATTATTGAAAAATGGAATGGAACTTTATTGATAAAAATAATGTTGGGAACGTTTTAATTAAACACAAGAAGAACTGTGAATAAAGGAGTAACTGTTTTAAAAATTCTTCATCTCAAAAAGAACGGTTTTTCTGAGAAGGCTGAAGAAGGAAAGATTAAAAGAGAAAAAAGGGGCAACGTCGCAAATGAACCAACCGCGTAGAATGTGACTATATGCGGATAGGAATCGGAGAGTCGGGCGGCGGCCCCAGCCTCCGGGGAGACTGTAACAGCCGTCGCCGTCGTCGAGAGAGAGGCTGAGCTCATGGATTTTTCTAGCGAGCAATCCGTGGGAACGGCGGCAACGACGGCAACACCGCTCGATCGGCTCCATTCATAGTTTTCAACATTCCAAAGACCCCCCCACTCCACTACCCCTCGCACCCGGGGGGGCCACCCAGCGTCTCAAGACCCGTCCGACTACATTCCATACCAATCGCTGAATGACCGTATACTTTTTCAAAAAAATCCACATTCCTCAAACGAAATAATGATACAAAAAAAAAACATGAAAAAAATATAGTTTTAGAACCGCCATTTTAAAACAAAAAAGAAAATAAAAGAAACCATATGGGTCAAAGATATCTATGGGTTACGATCTAGTTTTTTTGATTACATGAATCGTTTAATTATAAAAAATATAATAATTGTAACAAACGATTATTTATTTTGTTGAAATAATAAAAGGAAAAAGAATGACCGGTACGTGTCTTATGAATGGGAAAATAATCGTCCTTCACGTCACCATCACGTGAACATATTCGTCGCCACCTTTTATAATCTATTGACCGTATCAAAAACAACCGTTTTTATCATTCAATCAAAGGATACTTACATGAGATGATAAAACCCGTGATGACCGTAAAAAACTTGTATATAACTAAGGTTGTGTAAGCGTATTTTAAGCGCACTGTATCGTCGCAAACGCGAGACTAGAAAATCTTAAACTAGCAGGCGGTGGGCGCCATTTGTAAATTCCCTCTTCATTCGTTTCGGTTTTATCCCCACCAGTTTTTAGTTGAAAGCAACGCGCCGCCGCCGTCGATCTCGTTCACAACAACGCGACGTGGCGCTAGCGAGCAACGGGGACGAAGCGAGTTCACCGACTATGACCGTTTTACACGACCTTCTGTCTGGTACACAACAGAATAAAATGATGCAAAATGACGATGATGAGCGAGAGAGAGATACAAAGTTCAATTTGTATTTATAAATACGGGTTTTTAAAGGGAAAACAAAGACGACTTTGAGTTCATCAAAGAAAAAGATCGGGTCAACTCGAAGTCCAGATGGTTTATTTTTTTTTTTGTTATATTTACTTCTGTTCTTTGTTTATGACTTTATAACTATAAAATAATTTTTGTTTAAACATTTTGTTTTAAAATAAAATTTAATTTGGTTGGTACCTGTGAGTATACTTGACTAATTTCACGGATATTTACAGCGAAAATATCGAGGAAAATTAATCCAAATTGATTTCAATTATTAATCATAACTATAAAATAAACGATTTTTGTTTAAAAATAAAGAAATTAGGAAAAATGATTCATATTTATTACTTTTTTATATAAAATAAAATTTTGATGAATTTGAGGTTATTTTTGGTTGCTAAGCAACGAATATGTGAGAAACGTCAAGGTGGTTATTAAAAATCGAATGAAATTGGAAATATTTTAATTAAATACAATAAGAAATAAAGATAAATTGTAAATAAGGAATAACCTAAATCAAATAAAAATAATTTGTAAGTATATTTTTAAATAAATATTTTTTTAATTTGACGTTTCAATGTCTTTTAGGTTAGGTTATTAATTGATTTTGGTAGCTAGGAATATAACAGACTAATTTCATGGGTATTTACAACGGAAATGTCAAATAAAATTTAATCTAAATTGGATTTAAATATTCATGATTATAAAATAAACTATTTTTGTTGAAAATTGAAGAAATTCAAGAAAAAAGGGAGTATTTTTAAATTTATTACTATTTTATGTAAAATAAAATTTCTTTGATTAATTTGAGGTTATTCTTGGTTGCTAAGCAACGAATATGTGAGAAACGTCAAGGCGATTATTAAAATTGATTAAAATTGGATATATTTGCATTAAATATAATAAGAAATAAAGATAAACTATAAATAAAGGATAACCTAAAACAAGCAAAAATAATTTGTAAGTACATTTATCTTTAAATAAATATTTTTTAATTTGACGCTTCAATGTCTTTTAGGTTAGGTTATCGATGTGGACATCTACAGGGAGTTTTACACAAAGCTAGATTATCTTTGTGGACTTTCCGTAATCTTTGTGGAAAAAAATTGTGGATTGAAAGAAATTGCAAATTCGGCTCTAGAATCAATTTGGTACGAAATCTGTTGAGTTGTGTTTCGAATTCACCTAGTTACACAATTTATAGAGCTTATTATGGTAAACTTTTTACTACTCGAGATCTTATTGCTAATTTGTATAATATCATAAATCTATTTCCATTAGATAGACTAGATCATTGTGTTGCTTAAATATATTTCTATTCAGTGCTAGCACTGGATTCATCAATTGAACTGTGATCAGAAGTAACAGAACTAACATTAAACCTAGAACTAGAATCATTTGGATTTAGCCGCACGTCATAATGATCTATATAAGATCTTTGTTGGTCGGCCTACCAACCAACTTTGCTGGTTATCGATTGATTTTGGTACCTAGGAACATACTTGACTGATTTCATGGATATTTATAACAGAAATGTCAAATAAAATTTAATCCAAATTTAATTATTCATAATTATTTAGATTTAGTCATATAACTCGAAAAAGATCTGTTCAACTCGAAGTCCAGATGGTGTATTTTATTTTTGTTATTTTTACTCCTCTTCTTTGTTTATGATGATTAAGTTTGGTTATTTTCCGTGATTATCTCAAAAAGTGATTAAATAAGAATTAAATTTTAATTTATTTAATTCTAAATTTGTTTTGTAAATAGTTATATTGTTATTAAAAAAAAATAAATTTGAAAAGAAGTAAAGTTTGTTTTATAATCCAGTACATGTGAACGGAATTTGTATCGTCTACGCCAAGCTTTATACCCATAAACTTTTGCTCTTTTGTACCATGGGAACGTAACCTCTTAAAAAAGAAGAACCAAACCGACGTCGTCGTCGAGGACGGTGGTAACAAGAAAGAGAGAGAACCGGCCCCGAAATATTTCGGCCCGTTTTATACAGTTTACCTTTTATGGTTCGTTCTCCGCTTTTCTCGGATTAAATAAAGCAGGTGGATACAAAAAAAGGGAAGCCGATTTTTAAGTTTTGCTTTGAAGGTACCGCTTTAAAAAATTAACAACTACTTGGTTACGTTATAAATAAATAAAAAGGGTTTTACGCGTTTTATTAAGCGTTACTCCCACGCAACGTGGGACGACGACGACGTCGATTCTTCGGAATCAAACTACTTCTCGTGGTGTGTATGTGGGGGTATTGTGTGGGCCCCATTCCCACGGGTTTATCTTTATATCCTTTTGTTTTCGTACATTTTTTTTGCGATTTCAAACAGGAAATGGTTACCGATTGTTGATTTCTAGGTTTTAATTTGAGATTAAAAATTTTAAATTAAATAAATTTTAGTCATAGTGACGAATCATTTCCTATCACAATTAGTAATAAAAGTTCTATGAACCCGCACATTTTCTAATTCCTTCATTTTAAAAAATAAATTAACCCCCCATAAAAAAAAATAAAAATGGATTTAATTCGATATCTCCGACCTTCCCAAAAATGATCTCATGGTTCCAAATAAAGTTGACGTAATATCACCTACAAAAAAAACCATTCTGCGCAATAATTTTTCGATAAATTACGTAATGCTTTTAAAGACCGGACGCGCAATTCGTGTAACAATTAGCATTTAGCAAACCATTCGACCTTGGTATACAAATACCGATTTTTTGAATGCGTTTTAACGACATCTACGCAGCAATACAAAGAGAGGTGCCTAAGAAAACCTTTCGAGACATTTTTTCCGACTCACGTGGAGCGTAGGCCGTTAAAAAAACCACTCTAAATATTTATGAGAGAATATTTATGTGTGTGTATGCAAGTTGAAGCCGGCGCGTGATGGTATGCGGTTGAATCATTTTTCTTTTCAAAATAATAATACAGGGTTAGTGTGTTTGTATTTTTTTCTTTTGCTAAATCACACTTTGAAATGTTTTTGTTGTTATTTAACCTCACTTTTAAGAAACGTCAAAATCGATTTGAAATGTTTTTTCCACTAACTCTGACGTTAGCAACGAAACTTTTTAGGGTTATAAAAGTCATTTTTGACGTTTAATTGTCAATTTTAAAAATGAATGACGTTTAAACTATATTATATTATAGAGTTGCTCACAAAATTGAGTATAGATATAGTTAAGCAAAAGTGATTAAGTTTAGGTTCACTAACTTTTTGCTTATTATTTTTTAACTGAACCTTAACTTTTCCCCATAAATGTTCAATAGGATTTATATCCGGAGGCTGTGGTGGTTGGAGCCAGAACACAGTCGGTAGGTTGAGTTTTTGAGAGCTTTGACATAAATTACGTTTTAAAATATCCCAATAACTAGATTTTGTCATATTTCTCTCAATAAACTCCATAGTTCCAGTGCCGCTGGCTGCACCATTGTTCCCCACAGCATTATTGAATTAAATTGTTCCCACCAAATTCATGATTTTGAGCTAACAATTTGGTTTCCTCCAAAGTATTTGTCTTTCGTCTGAACCCCTAAGATTAATTTTAGTCTCATCAGTGAACAACACATTTTCTAGTTCTAGGTCTAGTGTTAGTTCTAGTTTTACATTAGCACTATCACTAGAACTAACACAAGACCTACAACTAGAATCATTCGGATTTAGCCGTCTTGAGAGACGTGCGGCTAAATCCGAATGTTTCTAGTTCTAGGTCTAGTGTTAGTTCTAGTTTTACACTAGGACTATTACTAGAACTAACACAAGACCTACAACTAGAATCATTCGGATTTAGCCGTCTTGAGAGACGTGCGGCTAAATCCGAATGATTCTAGTTCTAGGTCTAGTGTTAGTTCTAGTTTTACACTAGGACTATTACTAGAACTAACACAAGACCTACAACTAGAATCATTCGGATTTAGCCGTCTTGAGAGACGTGCGGCTAAATCCGAATGATTCTAGTTCTAGGTCTAATGTTAGTTCTAGTATTGCACTAGCACTATCATTAGCACGTGATGAGTAGTTTCGTAACTATGGTTAGTGTATTCTATATTGCGAGTTATATGAAATTCCCGGTATATAATTTATCACAAACTTTAAAATAAATTAATAATTATTTGAAATATTCACAATTATCTTCCATTACCCTGTATAATCAATTTTGTGAGCAACTATACATACATAAATATAAAAATAAAGGAATTTAATAAAGATTAAAGTTTCTTAGAAAAAAACATTACAAATCTAGGCTATTTAAAATTCCCAACTATTTGAAGAAGATAAAATCATCAAACATTGGTCACGAATTGTTCCAATAACAGTACAATAATATTATCTGTATTTATAATTTGAATTGATTAGAAACTAGAAACACTTGTTAGAAACAAGCCGGATAAATAGTATTTTTTTTAAATTGGAGGCAGCTGTGCTAAAGATTTCTTAACACACAACATATAATATCTTTTCTCGTTTAACAATAATTATTAAAACAAAGTTTGTATTTGCGGAAGCAATAAAATTTTCTTATTCTTCAATAATTGAACGTCCTATTAAAGAAGAAGACAAGAATCGTACGGTACTAGAACGGCGCGGCGAGGGTAATTCCGCTTTCTAATCTGGTGAACTCGGCGATTGCACTTTGAAATTACAGGAAACGGAATCACCGGAGTGAATAACCGCTTTGAAATTCAAAACGAACAATTTATTTATTTTTCAAAAACACTATTGATAAGATAAATAAGAATTGCCTTAATCAAATTTTTTGGTAAACATTAATTTAAACATTAATTTCGATTTTAACTAATGAGGTTATGTTACGTTGTTATTTATAAACGTCTCTTTTGAGTTTCTTTTTATTTGAATTTTTTATTACGTAAAAATTAGAAATCTTACCTTTTGCAATCCAATGATTCTTGTCTCCTTATAAAGCCTGGAAATCGTTCTTGCAACCTCCAACTCCAATTTAAATTCTTTATTTTTAGATTCTTTTCTTCTTTTCAACTTTTCTCTTTTTTTTTGTTATCAAAAATTATTCTTATCAACGTAAAAAAAATAAAAATAAAGAACAATAGCGATTGTTCCTATTTTTTAAACACTTCTTTTAACGAAATTATTAATTTTGTGCTTCAAATTTGATGCGATTAATAAAAATTAATAGAATTTCTCTTCTGATCACACCTTTTTGAGACTTCTCTCAAAGTAGAAAGCGGTGCGGCGTTGTCGAAGCTTTGAGAAACCGCTTCTCTCCACTCGGTTTACTTTTGAATTCCGTTCCTTTACGATGGAAAACCGCGGTGGAGAGGAGAAGGATCGGTCACCGTCGGCCGTTCCCGTCCTACTTAAGAAATTCCATTCACGGCTTCCGTGGTAATCCTTTTCTATCCTTTTAGGTGTTGTTTAAAACGTAGGAAACTCCCCCTCTTGCATCAATAACATCCGGTCTGAAAATAATTGACAATAAGAGAAACTTAATAAAAAGAATTATCGAAAGCGGTCGATTTTTTTTATGAAACTTAAAAATTTTATTTTATGGAATTGTAAATATTACTTAAAAAAGAAATTGTTTGGGTTTTCGATTTGTATTCGACAGCTGCTGGATGTGAGACGATGTTTCAGGCACCAGGTGATCGCAACAGCTGCTATTGCAGCCGTTTCGTTGGGTTCTTTTGCACGGAAAGAAGCAGAAGGCAACCATCAGAAGTGCATCAACGTGGGCCACGTGTACAGTAAGCACGTGCTGTAATGTACCTGCGATTTCCGTTCTTAAATTCCACAAAGATATTTTTACCTAAAACAAAACCTATCTTTTAGTACCCATTAAAAATAAACAATAAATAAATAGTACTTACTTTTATATCGATGTTATTCTATAAATACAAAGTTAAATTAGATTAATTAACTTAAAATTGACGTTTCCAATTTCTAATTTATTTAGAAATGTCAAATCACATTAATTACCAACTTAAATCTAGTAATTTTTTATCGATATAATTCAAAACTAACTTCATATTGTATTAAAATTAAATTAATTTTTAGGTTATGTTGTAATTATTCTTTTTTTAACTGTCTCATAAGAAAGAATAATTCTTTGTCTTTCTTCACGTCCACAAACCGTACACAAACACAACTCATCATTACACTCTTCACAGGTCGTTAAATGTCTACAAGGAATCGACAAAACATTTCTTGTTCGTTCCCGGCAAATAACACACAGTAAATTATCGGTTTCCTCATCTCCATCGATTTTTTTAACTTCAATCTCTTCCTCTTTGCTTTCTCTTAATTCCAAAAACGCTTTAACTCCCCCGTTTTTTATAAACATACAATTAGGTGAGAATTTTTTGTGTTCCAACCAAGCGTCGTCGTCGGGTTCCCAATCATTTAAACCAAGCCCGCATTCGAAACAAACCACTTTATCTGCATCTTGGGTGTAAAAAAAACCCGCTTGGGCTAAATCCTTTGGTTTTGGGCGAAGGTGTTTTGGGTAACTTTTAAAAGTTTCTAAACGCGATTTGATGGTATCGTTTGGAAACATCTCGATGTGATGTGGTGTTCTTTCTGGATAAGCACGAGATCTAATAAAGAAATGGATATGTTAAATTTAGCGAAAATTTAGCGGTGGGATCAAACCTTGTGTGATATAGATGATCATCGTTTAAACCCAACATTTTAAGAATTCTATAAGTAAAACACAACTTTGAAATAAACTGGAATGCGTTATAAAAAACTATTCACCTCAAATTTGCACTAAATCTGATTAATCAAAACTATCGTTTTGGTTGCAATATAAATACTCATTTAATTTCTTCATAATTTTAGTGTCATCACGGTTTTTAGTAAGGAATTTATTTTCTATATTAAAACTTATTGATCAAAAAGAAATTGTTGATTGTGTTCGAGATAACTACATTATCTAGAGAGAGATAATTTCAAAGATAGTGCAACAAAATAAAAAAAAATTATGTGTAAAGCAAATTTACTAATATATTTATATTTCTCAATATTTGTATCTTTTATTTATATTGATTTAACCCATTTTTCCCTCAACCCAACACCTTTAGCAAATACGAATTACAACTCACTTCCTAATCAAAAACATTTCCTGTTTAAACACACATCACTTTTTCCTGGACTATAATAAACGTATTTTTGTAGAAATCGATAAGTCCAATCCACATTTTCTAATAACACACACATTAATGTGCCGTAGTTTAACTGGAACTTAACCGGTATCAGATAAAAGATAACATTTTGTGTACTTACTTACGAGCCAACGAATAGCAATTTCATTTTTCCCATACAATGCAGAGGGGTAAGTTAAAAATGTTTTATTTAAAACAAAAATCCTATTTTTTTCTTTTTACAGCAGAAGGAATTAAATCAAACCAAAGTATAGAAATGAACACAGCTGTAATTCCAATTGAAAGCTACTCTAATCGGGCAGGAGTTCCAGAACGATACTCACCGTTTCGAAGTGACACATTAACAAGTCGTCTGCAAACATTTAAAGATTGGCCAAAGCAACTAAATCAGAAACCGAAAGATTTAGCTCAAGCCGGATTTTATTACGTCGGTGAAGGTGATAAGGTGACATGTTTTAGCTGCGGAGTTGGTTTAAATGATTGGGAGGTCGACGATAATCCGTGGAGCGAACATCAGCGTTGGTCCCCAAATTGTCCCTTTTTAAATCTCGGCGGAAACAAGGAGTTTTTACAAACATACCACACGTCTAAAGAACACGAATCCAAAGAACAGGTTCCTAATAATATACAATGCGTTATATGTTGTGATAGAATACGAAACATTTTATCCCTACCTTGTAAACATCTTAGCACTTGCGAAGAATGCAACGATAAACTTCCTAATTGTCCGATTTGTAAAAAAGAGGAAAGTTATCGTATTAAAATTTATATTCCATAAAATGAATTAGTTTTTAAATTATTTAATAAATAATTAATAAAAATTAATTACGTAATTGTACGGTTTTGACGTTATCGTTAAACGTCAAAAAAAATATTAGGTTGTCATTTTTAGACGTTTTTGATGTATTATTTTATTAAGTATTTAAAAAGAAATAATTAATAAATACGCTATAAATAAATTATTGTAAATAAATTTGTGTTTGTTTTATTTAAATCGTGTGGAAAAAAATTGGAAAACCATTTTAAAGTTGGACGTGACAGCGTCAATTTGGCGGGGAATTTGAAATTTGCACGATTGAATTAAAAATCACTCGAAATAAATGCAATTATTTTTAATTGATATCGATATTAATCTAATATCGATAAAAATTGACGCCAGAGTTATTGATTTATGAAACAAAGGTCAATAAATGCAAAAAATTTAAAAAGAATTAGCAAAAGATAAAGTAAATTAAATTAATTAAACCTACACTCAACGTTTTCGCATTCCTATATCAAGTTTTAAAAAAGATTGGAATAAATTATTATTAAATTATTAATAAGAAATAAAACTTTGAGGTTATAACTTATAACCTGTCTAATTTGACGTTTATAGAAAGGATGGAATTTGAAGGTTATGTTATAATTCTTTTTTAAACACTTATTTAAAATAATAAGCGTATATTTGAAGTTAAAAAAATCAACAGAAAAAAAAACATCACCAATCAACAAAAAAAGCGAAAGAAAACTAAGAAAAAAACGTTCTGACGGTAGCCTTAATCGGAGCCCTACACAAGGGACAATCTTTTAAATTTGGTGCACACTGAACGCACGAAGTCAAATGTCCACACGGCAATAAAACAATTCCAACCTCAGCGTCCATACAAATCTTACACATCCTCGCTTCTTTTAATTGTCGATTTTCTTCTTCGAGACTCATCTGTTCCCCATTTTTTCGTTGATAATCATTTTTCGGAATTTCTTTTTTAACGACCCCTCCATCGGTGGATTTCGGTTGTCCGGAAACCGCTGAATGTAAAACATCTTCTAAAATAATTGAAACGGTCTTCGATAAATTCGAATTACTCGTGTTTGGACTATCGAAGTCTTCGTCGTCGATTTGAAGGTTTAAAGCAGCTTCAATGAGGGCGTCGCTCGAGGAAAAACCCACCCCGGTTTCTTCAAGTTTATTTTTAATCGCTCGTTTTACACGATCTAATTGAAGGCCAACGCTTAAAGCGGATCTAGCTTGATCGGAATCGAGGTATGTTTGAAGTTGTTGATCGGTTGGGGTTTCACCACGTCTAGAAGATGGTCTTGATGATGCTGTAGGGATCGTTACTGCATTATCCTAAAAAGAAATAAAATAATTAACTATTTAAGTTGAATAAAACTCTTTTAATTCTTGTTATGACTAATCTAATCGCTAATGAATAATTAAAAAGGATAAAGTTATATAAAGGAGAGCTGGAGGCCGAATGCTGGATGCAACGAACGCTCACTTATGCCGTTTGTGCAAGCTACAAGAAGCGGTTTGGAAGGAACGAGAAAGAGAGATTCTTAGTCATGTCGATGGAATGCAACGTAACCTCTGTGACCTTCGCGTCTTGACATCGTTTTGCTGTTGCGGCCGTCAATGGACCTCAACAGCGACGTCGACTTCGCTTGAACGGACGAAACCCAACCGCCTTTTAAGTTATTTTAACTTCTTTCATTACTCAAACATTGTTTTAATTCGAAAACACCCTGTATTTAATATTTTTCCAATTCAAGTGTTGTAATCTACGGAATTTACGTCGTGTAATCATAGTCTGGCGCCGAATAATGACGCGGTAAAGTATATTTCTTGGAACACTTATTCAGTGGATTATTTTAATAATGATGAAAAGAAATTGCACATTGTGTTGCGTTAATTAATCGTTTTTTATACATTTCTGATCGTTTCAAAACGAATAATGACAACACAACATTCAGATTTTGCTTCATCAAAATATTGTTATTTTGTCGATAAAATGTAATAAACAAGGCATTGCAAAAATATTCCTATATCTTTATAATACTTTTCAATAACTACGCCTTATTCGTTCAAGTACGCAAAAACAAATATAAATTGGATTAAAAATAAGAAAATTAAATGAAATTAAATTTGTTGTTTTAGAAAGTTATTGATTGAATATTTTCAACCTTCGAGAACACGGATTTTTTTGTTGTTTGTTCGGTTGAGACAAATCTTCTCGAATATACTAATTATATTTTGCATTCTTTTGATGACAACTGTCTGATGGACTCTGTCTACACTGATTTTAGTAAAGCTTTTGATAAAGTTTCTCAGAAATCTAGTACACAACAGTCTTGCTCTAACTTTAATAGATGTTTCACCTGCTTCAATCGTTAACGCATTTGTTGAGGAAGATCTCAAGACACCCAATATAGCTCTATAGGCTTCATAGCACGTTATCTTAAGTTTATTCATCATAATTTTAGGAATAGGCATTAGTATCCACAAACCATATTCAATTCTGGATCTGATACATAGATAATGATCTGATAATTGCTATTTACAGAGTCAACTGAGGTTATGTTTTTTTACTTGTCAAAGTCAAAATAAAAAGAGCTAATTTTTTACAAATTATCTAACATAGCAAATTATCTAATATTGCAAGTCACCTAACATTGTGAAATAAATTTAAGATAGATTTAAGCTTACAATAAAATATACTTAGAGATGCATTGATGATCTATTTAAAAACAATAGATTAGAAAACAAACAATAGAAAATTTTAATTTTCCAAGAATTTTTATTTTAATTATCTGGATTACTTTGTTTTGAACAACCATCAATGTCATCTTATCGATAATCGTTAAGATATAAAAATTAAAAATAATAAAGATTAAACCCTTTTCTTGCATTTTTTAATACCTATTTTTTTTAAATGTTTTAGTTCATGAATAATTTATTAGATGGCGCTGTAAAAGTATGCAAACTACATTATCAACACTTACAAATATAACCTAACAAAAAAATTTTAAAACTAAAATTAAATCAAATCTTTATAATACTTACATTAACCGGTGATGATTGTTGAATAAATTCTTGTCCTTTCATTAAAAGTATGTAACAGCACCTGGGAAACCAATGAGCGTGTTGAGACCAAGGTTCATCATCGGGATCCCAATGATTCAATCCCCCGTCACAATGAAAACAGCGAACGCGATCCCCAAATCCTTCATAATAAAACCCTGCGGAAGCTAAATCTTCCGGTTTTTGTGGTACCGAATTAGGCCACTTTGCAAAAGATCTTATCCTGGCTTCGTAAGTTGCAAAATCGGGATGTTTCGGTAATTTATGTTCTTGCACCCCTAAATTACTTAAGTTTCCGTCTCCTTCGATTAATAACAGATTTGAATTGCTGTTACTGGTGGTAACATTTCTTTCATTATTCATAAGTTTTAAATAACTACAATTCGGAGAACAACGGTAATGTTCTGTGTTCGGGTTATCTCCTTGTTCCCACGAAATTAAAACGACGTCGCAAAAGGCGCATTTAACGTAATCTTTAACCTTGAGTGAGTAAAATCCGGATTTGGCGAGTGCCTCCGGTGCCACAACATCTAATTTCGGCCAATTAGCAAAGGTTTGTAATCGAGCAGATTCAGTTTTGTAATCTTCTGTGTTGTTTGTGATGTTATTCGTTGGAACTGAATACGAGTGGGGTATGTGAGGAATATTCCCGCATGTTGACTGATTTAAAACAAACGGACACTGCGGGCTAGATGATCGATGTTTTCCCATAACCTGAACTGGATCACCAAACTCCCATCCGGATATTTCAATCTCGCACGAGAAACATTTCACCGTTTCATTTCTTCCCGTATAATAAAATCCTGCTTTAGCAAGTTTCACGAGTGAAACCGGCACGTAAGGCGGCCAATTTCTGTAGGTTTTTAGTCGGTTTTTCTCGATATTCATTGCGTATTTGTAAGGTTATGTTTTTAAGATGAAATACGTCAGTTACGAATATATTAAATTAAAAGGAAACGAAGTAAACTAACTTACATTGCGTAACATATTAAATACGTGAGGGGGGCGTATGAATTTTAACATCATTAGTTCTAAATGATTTACCATTTTACTTCTTTTTTTCGATGATTAATAACTATAACTGTCAATGTCAAAAATAAAATGTCAAAGTTAAACGACATCTAGTGGAACAATAATGAATTAAAACTTTAAATTAATTATTTTTATTTTATTCTTATTTCATTCTATTCTTATTTAATTACTTTTTAATTAATACGATTTATTTATTCTCGATTTAATTTTGAAATCGTCTCAGATATTTCATTGACTTTTACCATAATTCTCAATAAATAATTAACTTGTTGCACTTGATGTTCTAATCTACGACATTAATAATAATAATAAATAAATAATGTACTTTTTAATATATTTACTCTTGATAATCCCCGCTGAATCTTTCAAATGGATTTCGAAACATTAGCAATTCGGATTTCACCTTGAATAATAGAAGATTTATTTTCGCTTCTATTTCGTGATACAGCGTGCTTTCTATGTTAATGAAAATATCTGATTTAAACTCTTCTATTGCAGTTAAAACCGAATTCATTACTTCATCAAAGAACTCAATTTGAGCCATCTTCAACTTAGGTTAAATAAAATTTAAGTTTTAAACTATAGATGGCGGAAGGTGTATGATATATACATTTTTTATTAAAATTTTTAAATCAATTATAAATTGTTTTCTCAATCCTCTGTTTTATATAAATATTTACATAAAATTAGCATACAATTTGATTCGATTTAATTCAAATTCAATCTGGGTTTAATTAAGTTGCGCCATCTCGTAGATTAAAGATACACCAAGTTTTATTTGTCAAATATGAAAATTATTTATTCTTTTTAATTATTTAATTCTTTTATTGTTAATAAATCAATAAAATATAAAAAGTACATAAAGATCTGATTTCTTTCCGTAAATAAATTGTTTAAAATAAAAAATGTAATTTAAAGTTGTTAACGCAATCTAACCTTCAATTTTATTTCCTCTATTTATTGCATATATTAAACAGTTTAAACCGGTTTTTATATTCAAATTGATTCATTTCAACCTGATTTTAAGTACACAACAACAATTATCTTCAAGACAAGTCTTGTATCAACAACCAGGTTATATATGGTGGATAAGGTCAAAGTCTGTTTTTTCACATATTTTTAGTTTAAAACTTCATTGCAACAGTAGTTTAGCCCGAAATACGGTAACGATGGCATTCAGATTCGCTCAGGTAAGATGAAATATCTATAATTCTGTTTAAATTTAATTTCATTATTATAGGTTATCCGGTCATATAGCACGGCCCCAAAACTCAATGAAGTCGTTGTTATATCAGCTGCTAGAACCCCAATGGGATCCTTTTTGGGATCCCTTTCATCGATGTCTGCCCCACAATTAGGAGCTGTTGCGATTAAAGCAGCAATTGAACGTGCTGGAATTCCTAAAGAAGAAGTTAAAGAGGTTTATATGGGTAATGTGTGCCAAGGGGGTGTTGGTCAAGCCCCAGCGAGACAAGCTGTGATTTTTTCTGGAATGCCAAAAACTACTGTTTGCACAACTGTTAATAAAGTATGTTCATCTGGAATGAAAGCAATAATGTTAGCTTCGCAAGCTCTTCAAACTGGAAGTCAAGAATGTGTTTTAGCTGGTGGAATGGAATCAATGTCAAAGGTGCCTTATTATTTAAATAGAGGACAAACTCCTTATGGTCAAGTTAATTTAGTTGATGGAATTGTCCTGGATGGGTTAACAGACGTTTATAATAAGTTTCATATGGGGAACTGTGCCGAGAATACAGCAAAGAAATTGGGAATTACAAGACAACAACAAGATGAATTCGCAATTGATTCCTATAAACGTAGCGAAGAAGCATATAAAATCAATGCATTTGCTGATGAATTAGTTCCAGTTCCAGTACCACAAAAAAAAGGGCAACCTGATAAAATCTTTTCAGCCGATGAAGAATACAAACGAGTTAATTTCGAAAAATTCAACAAATTATCCACAGTTTTTCAAAAAGACAATGGTACAGTAACCGCCGGAAACGCTTCAACATTAAACGACGGAGCTGCTGCTTTAATTTTAACAACCCCAGAACATGCAAAACGACTCAACGCGAAACCCTTAGCGAGAATCGTGGGATTTTACGATGCAGAAATCGACCCAATTGATTTCCCTATCGCCCCAGCTCATGCTATTCCAACTTTATTAAAAAACGCAGGAGTTAACAAGGATGATATCGCAATGTGGGAAATTAACGAAGCGTTTAGCGTTGTTGTTTTAGCGAATGAGAAGATGTTGGGGATAGATCATAACAAGGTTAACATACACGGCGGTGCTGTTAGTTTAGGACATCCAATTGGAATGTCCGGAGCGAGAATTGTAACGCATTTAGTGCATGCTTTAAAACCGGGCCAAAAAGGTGTTGCTGCTATTTGTAACGGTGGTGGCGGAGCTTCGTCAATTTTAATTGAAAAATTGTAAGTTATAAGAAATTATAATAATACTATAAAAATAAGTGAGGTTATATTTTTTTATGTTTTATTAAAAATAAAACTAACTCTTGTATCGTTTTAAATTGTGAGACGTTTTATTTTTATTCCTCTTCTTTGCCCCTAAAAATAGTCTAAAAAGTGACTTTTTCTTGATCTTTGTAACCAATTTTATTTTCAGACCGGAGACTTTGCCCAAGAACGTTGTACCCAAAATTACGTTGTATACGAAAAATCCTTGTCCGTTATGCGATGAAGTCAAATTAAAATTAACCAATTACCTCGATCGTTGTGAATTAGAAATCGTCGATATTACCAAAAAAGATAATTTGAGATATTTGAGGTTATACAGAACGGAAATTCCTGTTTTATTCTTAAATGGGCAGTATTTGTGTAAACATACTTTGGATGAGGTGTTATTATTAAGGAGGTTGCGTGAAATTGAGGAGAGATTATAAGATTATTTTGTATATTTATTATAAATTTTAATTTGATTTAAATTAAAAAAAATAGTGGTGACATCTTTGAATGAATTAATTATAGAAAACTGTAATTTAGTTTAATTTAACATAAAAGAAATAACAAAATTTTTCCATTACGTAAACGCTTTTATATAAAAAGAAATTAATTTATTACTTGGATTATGTAATAATGAAATGTAATACGTGTCGCAATTAAATTGAATGTATTGAAATAAAAAAAAAATTTTGAAACTTTTAGTTAGCGCGATTAATCATTGAGGTAAGTTTGATATATTTCAATAAATTAATTTTTATTCATTTAATTCAGATATGATAAATATTTATATAGTTTAAAACAATAATAATAATATATTTTAAAAATAATAAATTTTCACTGCAATTAGTGACATCTTTGTTTAAAAACATGAAATTAGTACAATTAGAGATATTTAGTTTTGAAAAAGAAATAAAAAATCTTGATTATTATTAATTATTATCGCCAAAACGGTAAATTATTGAAATGATGTTGAAATCGCTTAAAAAGTATTAAAATAAAGAAACGTTTCCACATCAAATCACATCAAATTAAATCGGTTATAGGAACCGACTTTATCTTCAACAATGACATTGACAGATTCAATTTGAAATCTTTATTAACATTCGTAAACATTAATTTAATTCTAGTTAATAACACTGTACTTAGTACTGAATGAAATTGTGTTGTAATCATTTCGAAAGTGTTTCACTATCTAACGATCCGTTAAAATTCTCTTGGAATGCGACTTATTTAGTTTTATCATAAAGTTGTTTTAAAAACGAACCTAAGTAAAGTCTTTGTTTATGACGTAAAATACCTTTATGTATAAATATAAGTTCACGGACATTTCCGGGCAGGTACCGTGATCACCTTCTCTACCTCTATCGGTAGAGATATACCTCCTTCTAGTCCCCGGTTGTGCCCCGATGTAGACCTCCACTCCACCAACCAGTATAAACCAAGTAGTATCGGTAGAAAAGCCCGGTAGAGTGGACGTCGTCATCGTTTTGACCTCAACTTAAAAGAAAAAGACCTTTTTCGTGTCGATTCGTTTGCGAAAAGAAATCACCGTATTAATGAAGTAATTAAAATTTGAATTTATTTTATAATTTTAATTTATATTGATGAAGAAAATTTTGTGTTATACCGTGGTTTGTTGTGAGCGTCGAAGAGTTTACCTGTTACTTGGTAACATGTGACCCTGAAGCTCTATCGAACCACAAAAGCTGGGTTTCTTCTCTTGTGATGGTGTTAGTTTTCGCGTTTTAAACACGTAGTGGGTGTGTTTTCTGTTGAGGGACTTTCTCTTTTTGCCCTTTTCAAACAGTTAAAATAGAACAATTGTAAGGTTGTTAGAATTCAAGAAAAAGAAGGTAAGACTTTATCGTTACTTTTGTTTAACTTAGCAACAACATTTATAAAGAACTATTTTTAAAAATTTAAATAAAACAAACATAAATTAGTATGGTTAAACAAAAAAAATCGGAATGAATAAAGCAAACAGATAAAAATATCTTAAGTTATGTTTTTTCCTTTTTTAGCAACAAAAAAAATCTGACTCAACCTGTTTCTATATAAAGATCAATTAGTTATTTAATAATTCCTCGTTTTTATAAAAATCTTTTTAAAGATGAAAAACGTTCCCGGAAATCATTAAATTTACGTGTAGGTCATCGTTATCTCAACATTAATACATGATAAGCACCTTGTAATTACCTAGACAGATGTTGATGTGAACAGTTAATCGAATGCATTCGATTTACTAAAGAAGGCATATACAAAGCACGTTTTCATGTACAGTTAGTTTTATAAAAGAGAAAATTCCGAAACGGTGACATCTATTCTTATGAAATTGAATGAAATGAATTAAATTAAAGAAAAGGGGATTTTTTGCCTTTTTTTATAGAGGAAAAACCTTGCAGATTTTACAATAAATTAATAAACTTCGTTTGCCATTTTTAAAATTAACGCCATCTATAATTGGCTCTGTATTATCCGAGTGAACCCCATTTTTAATTGACTGAAGTCTTGTTTAAGAGATTTCGACACAATTAAAGAACTTGTCTCTACCTAAGTGTTTATTAACCCAAGGTTTAGCTTGTTTTGTAACAGTGATGAAATTCATATAGAGAATTGTTAATTAATCATAAATGTATACACAGGAATAATACTTTACTTTTGGGAATAGTGCATGCTGCTTACTTACAGCTTGGCAAATCTATCTTTGCCGGTCAGTTGCGCAGATGACATCGACGAAGATATAGTGCTCGCCAATAGTAACATGCTTCTCAGAAATACATATTAGGTAAAGTTGTAGATCTTTTGACTAGTTAAGTCGAGGTTGCTTGTGATTAGCATTATATCAACCTGAAACTGCTCATCATATTGTAACGCCTTGGCCTCGGCTTTATCAAATGGAGTTATAATTCAGTGATTAAAATTGGATTAACCTGAAACTGGTCATCATATTGTGTACAAGGAATCTGATGTATATACACTCAGCGGCATAAAAAACCCATCACCTAAAATGATGACCAGTTTCAAACTGCAATAACTTTGGAACGTATTGCTCGATTTTATTTGAAATATCTACAGAAAGATGTGACGTTTAGTGTCGTTCACTGTTGCTAGACAAGAAAAATGCCTTTAAGTCTTGTAAAAGTTGCTGAGGCAGTGGCTTTGGTGGAAGCACTCCTTATGCTGCTCGTATCTCCTCCCTACACAGTCTCTCCTCATCCTCTATTGAATATCTATAAACCTTCTCTTCGTTACCTCACCTAAATCTTATTCTGCCATTAAGTGCTTCGGTGCCCCTCTATTACAATCTCCCCGTATATCAAGTTAGTATTATTATACTAAACAAGCATTTGGGTAGAGTTATGTATAGTCAGTTATGATTATCAAGGTCAATAACCTCCAGGTAAGAAATATTGGATAAGATTAGTTTTGTTTATCTGGGTTAATGATCTGCATAATGTACTGATTAAACTAGTATTCAACTTGATATCTAAGCAAGTGAATTGCTACTTCATCGAAAATATGTCACCACGCAGGAAAGGCACTGTCACCAGCCCAGAGTACAACTTTGTGCAGTACTGTACGACAACAAATTTCTTCTTTGCTATTTCCTTTGCATTTTTGCAGCAAAATTGATTTTCCATTGACAATTGTCATGATCAAAATGGCGTATAATGAATGAGGCATATGTGACGTCAGTTATAGACTTTAAAAATTTAAGTTTTCAATGAATTAGTAAAAAAAATAATAATAGTTCTTACCATTAACTTAAAGTTCTCATTATTTAATGCTTATAATTAAATTTAAAAAGCAGTATCACACGCACTAACACAACGAAAAAAATAGAGGTTATGCTGTTAATAAAATCATATCCACTTTGTTTACATCTGTCAAATTAGCAACCAAATTATACCAACAAATTTTTTTTTTAATAAAAAATTATTTATAGAAATTTGAAGAATTAATAATAAATAATCATTGAAAATGGTTGTATTAAAATGTATATTTCCATTGTATTAAATAATAAATCTAAAAATAATATATTTACCAAGAATTGTTTTGATTACGTCATAAAACAAACCGGAATATAGAAAGCAACAAAATAATTTTTCTTAATTTTAATACAATTAACTAATTTAATAAATTTGATGAAATTATTTTTAATAATCACAATTTATTGTTTATTAATTAATTTAACCGAATAACAACAAATTTAAAAATAAATTAATTAAAAATATTGTATCGCGATTTTGACATTTACGTCAAATTAGTTACCAACTTAAAAATAATTTTTAATTTAATAAAAATTTATATTTATAAATTATAACTTTGTTATACAATTTCTTTTCTCACACAATCGCACGCGTTCTTTCTAGTTTTACGCAATTACTTCATGACCTACATTCTAAAAACCGTTTTTCTGTGCAATTCTATCACCATATAAACACATTTTCTTTATTCGCAACTTTATTTGTTTAATGAAACAATAAAACAATTAAAACTGATAACAATTTTTATTGCACACCTTAATTTTAATTTTATTTCTTTCAGAATCGTCTAAAAAATGTCTAATTTAGAAGCTTTTGAGGCGGATTTAATCGATTTCGCTGGTTCTCCACCAAATATCTCATCCCCAATCAACGAAAACATTTCAAATCTTGAAGATGATTTAACAACGGATAATTTAATCGATTCAGACGTTACAATACTCGAAAAGAAACTTCAAAATTCTATAAATAATCCAGTAAATAAAACGTTTATTGATACAATCGATGTTGAAGATATTTTAATTGATTTAGATGATGATGAGGATGATGTTAATGAGGCTGGGGATTTAAATAATTTCGTCCAAGATAGTGAAGTATTAAGTGTTTTAGAACAATTAGATAAAGTAATTAATGATTCTTTGGAAGATTGCGATGTTGTCATAGAAGAAGAAGAATTAGTAAGGATTTATCTTGAAGAATTAGATTCTTATTTAAAAAATATTGAAACGAATTGTTCTTTCATCGATTACGAAGAAGAAGGCTGCAAAGAAAATTTAGAAAGAAATCTACAAGAAATCAGTTTATGTTCAAATTCTTCGAATTCCTCAATAACTTCGCCCTCTTGTTGTGCAAATTTATTACGAAAATCATCTAGTTTTAGATTTTCATCAAGCGAATCGACGAGAAACGAAGCGTTTCGACGTTCGCACCCATATCGTTCAACCGTTTCAAGCATTTCAACATCACTTCCTCCATTAAAAATTGAAAAAAATCAACAAAATATTCCCCAAACGGCTTCTTCACATCATCAAACCCACGAGATTCAATCAGATAATACCGAAAATCAAACGGAAAATGACGAACAAGTCCAAAAATTACATTCAACGCCCGAACCGCATTGGTTAAGAAGCTCAATGCGAAGATTAAGACATTTAAGACTTCCCAGCGACACCGGAAATACACCTACAATATCAGTTTCCAATGAAAATACAACCAATGAAGTTGAAAATGTTGAAATTGTTGAAAATCGCCCAATTGAGACGAGAAATCAACGACCAACGAGCGCACCTTCGGTTTTAATCGGTGCGGAAGAACGGTCACCAGCCAGTTCGGAAACCGGAAATGAAGTTCCCCCAGGAAATAGAACCCGGATAAATTCCTCTTCGTCACGGAATAGGAGGCATACTAGTCCCTCTTCGAGCGAATCGAGTGTTGCGACTACTGTTGATAGCACACCGAGTTGTACTCCAATTCCATCACCGATCAGAGTGGGTGCTACCGATGAAGGTGGAGGAACGAATTCGAGGAGGTAAAAAAATTTTTAAACTACAAAACTTTGATATAAATGGACTAATATGGTGAAGTGAGTGCGCCCAAATTTTTAATTTGCACTAAATCCGAATGTTTCTAGTTCTAGCTCAAGTGTTAATTTTATTTCTAGCTTTAGTTGATATTCAGTGTCCTCAGAAAGAAATTAAGTTGAATTAGGATACGTTCAAAAACGTCAAAATTAAAAGAAATTTCATTGACTTTACTTTTTGTAGATAAGAAACGATTTATATCACAAATTGAAGATAAAAGATGCTATTTTCAATATCATAAAAATTGCTCGGTTAAGAAGAACAATTTAAAAAGAAAAAGTCTTTAAAAGCAATTAAGTTGAATTAGGATACGTTCGAAAACGTCAAAATATAAAGAAATTCCATTATTTTTTATTGTTAAGAAACGATTTATATCTCAAACTGAGATAAAAGATGCTATTTTCAATATCATATAAAAGTTGCTGAGTTAATAATAAAAATTAGTAGACAGTTTGTAGAGAAAGTCTTTAAAAGACTAATTTGAATTAGGTTATGTTTGAAACGTCAAAATTGTGATTTAGTGAACATCAGATTGATTCCAGGTTCATCATCACTTTCATTCTCAACCTCGTCATAATAGCTGAAAAATTCAGCATCAGATACATAACTTAAAGTAATTTTCATTATCGCATAAAAGAATTGAATTAAATTCTTAGGTTATCTTTATCAAATTGTCGAGAAGTTAGCGACAATTGAGGAAATGAACATTGAATTTTTATTTAGTTTTTAGATCGTTGCTTATTAACTCGAATTAAGTTTCTTTGCATGTTCTAAGAACATTTTTGGCTCGAATAAAAAAATCAATAAATTTCCATATATGAGTCACCCCACGTTGGAAAAGGTCAAAATACTTCATTTAATTATATAAAAATTATAAAACATTTTCATTTAACATCGATCTTCCGGTTCTTTACTCTTAACAATTTCGGGTTCATCTCCTTCTGTGGTTTTAACACTTTCCGAATCGTTCGAATCCGAATCCGGACGTCGAACAGTTCCTGGAGGACACGGAGGAGGATAACTTTCCGGTATACACATCCTTCCTAATTCCTCTAAATCCTTTTCGGATTGTTTTCGTCGCTCTTCAGCGAGTTCAGCATCTCTTTCAGCTTTTCTCCTTAAACGTTCTTCGCGAGCTTTCGATTCGATGTGGGAGTATAATATGCGCTTATTAAAGCCGTATATAATTCCTGCGATTAAAAAGCTCCATCTCCCTGCCTAAAATGCATTTTTTTGAATCAATTTTAATTAGTTTAAATTAAAATTACTCGTATTAAAGGATGCACATCAATTGAAGGTTTAAATCCATCACTCATTTTATCTTTTTTTGACGTTTTAACGATTTTTTTTTAAATCAAAATAAAATTTGATTGCTTGATTTAATTTTTTTTGAAAGTTTTGGTGCGTGCAGAATTTATCCCGTTCTTCTAGTTCTTCTCGTCTTTTCCTCTTCGTCTGTTACGGGTCACGATGACGCCGGAACTGTAACTGTTAGTCGTTCTTGTTCTTCTATAACGTACGCAAGGACCTAAATATTTAAAACTTGCTTGTGCGATGTAATTGTAGCTTTTATTAACGTTTTCTTTAAAATTATGGAATTTTTTTATTTTTTACGGTAAGTTAAAAGTAATTAAAATATAATTTTTACTTTTATATATAAAAAAAGCACATAAATAAAACGTTTTTAACTTCAAATTATAAAAATAACATCAAAAAAAAATTAAAATTTTGATCTTTTTAAATTCATTTGACGTTTTGAGGTTAGGTTTTTTTTCTTTATAACTTAACCTTAATAAATGTACAGTTTTAATTGATTCAGAACGTTCTCATACATAATTATGTGTAGGTCTACTTCCTCGCTGTTAATTCATTTTTAGTTTTTTATTAATAATAATACCTTTTTATTTTCTTTTAGGTTATGTGAAAGAGTAAGATCTGAATTGCCGGATGTAGAAAGTCCATTAGGACATTGGCCGCACAGTTTAAGTTCAATGTTAGCCTGTTTAAGCTGTTCACTAGGATTATTCAATATTTGCCGCTTTGCAATATTAAGCATACATTTCGGGGCAAATTTTATATTTCAATTTTTTATATTATCCATGGTTATTGGTTTACCAATGTTTACGTTACAATTATGTCTCGGGCAACAACTTGGAGCCGGAGTTATTGATATGTGGAGAATTTCACCTCTTTTTCAAGGCGTCGGTGTCTCATTATTAGTTTCACAAGCTTTAATTGGACTTTATAGTATAACAGGAGTTTCATGGATGTTTGTTTATTTCCGGGATAGTTTTATAACAAAAATGGATAAATATCGATGGGCAGAACCTTTCATGCAATACAGAAAAGGTAATTATGTTTTAATTAATAAAATAAACCTTACCTTGTTCTCGTTGTTATTTGAGGTTATATTCCCAATGACAACGTAAGGTTCGACAACTTAAAAAAAAGAAAATTTAAACGTCAAATATAAAATTATTTTAATTATTTTCAGATCAACCTTTAAATACATCATTTAAACTTTCGGATACAATTCCGGATTACTTAAGCGGCGTAGTTTACCAACGAACAAACTTAGTTTACGGAAACGTTTACGGAACGATAAAGTTTCAACCTGCTTTTAATTTAGCTGTTGTTTGGATGATTGTTTTCGTATCATTAAGTAAAGGTCTCAGATCTTACGGGAAAGTTGTTTTTGTATTTACGTTACTTCCTGTGTTCGCTATGTTTATTTTCTGTGCGAAATTATTGGGAATGATGCCGCCGGAATACATTCACATCGTTTTCCCTGAGACTTCGTGGGGCGAATTTTTCTTAAATTCGAAAAGTTGGGTTGCCGCCGGACAAGAAACCTTTTTAACTTGGGGTTTATTAAGCGCTGCGGTTATGCAATTGGCTTCGCATAATAAAAATAAACACTTATTGCAAAGGGATTCGAGTTTAATTGCAGTTTTAACGTTTAGCATTTTAATTTTGGTTGCTTTTTTGGCGAATACCTGTGTGCAAATTTTACATTCTTATGGATATGTTTATCAACCGAATTCTTTTGGTAATTATTTATAAAATTAATTTGAAACAAATTAAAACATTTTTTTTTTTTAGAAAAAATGTCATCTTATGGTTTTTTAAGACCGTTAAGGGATAATTTACCTGGAAATTCAGGATCAACTCCTTTAAGATATATGGGACATAATTCTTACATCCTTGGTGAGAAAGTATTAAAACCCGGGATGGATACAACAACAGAAAGCGGGTATCAAGTTTTACGATTTGCCACAGAATTGATTCCAGCAACATTTGCTTTGTTGGGTTCGGAAAAAATTTCACCGTTTTGGGCCGTTTTATTTTATTTTATCTTGATTTTATTTGGAATCGCTCAACAATTAGCTATTTGGCATTGCGTCATCACTGGAATCATGGCTATTAAAGCTAAAGTACTGAAATCGTGGGAAACAACAATTACATTTTTTAGTTGTACGTGCGGATTTGTTTTAGGATTACCAATGACTACAGAAGTATGTTAATTAACAATTAAAATTATATAATTAAAAATTGTATTTTTAGCTTGGAGTTTATGTCGTTTATTTCCTTGATGTTACAATTGGAGGACTTTGGTGGTTAATTCTCGTAATACTATTACAAATAATCGCTGTTTTTATGGTCCGAGGAAGACCTTATAGTGGAGATACTGTTGTTACAGCTCTTTTTAAACACTCATCACCTTCTTGTGTTTATAGTTGGGCCCCAGCTTTATTATCCTTCGTTTGGAACGTTATTTTACCCGTTGTTTTAATGGTAATTACTTTTATTTTCTTCTCCTGATCGTTATGACGTCAGATAAATCTTTTCCTATTTCTCTATCCACTTCTTCCACTACCTCTGGTTTCTGGCTAATTCCTTTATATCTGCTAGAATCTCTTCTTCCTAACTTCTGCTATTCTTTCCCCCCACAAATTTTGCTCAAGGCTTTTTTTCATTAGATGATATTGACTTCAAATTTTGAGAATTTCTTTATTATGATATAGTTAATAATATATTCAAAGAAAGAGTGCCATAATTGAGATAAAAAAAAATTTTCAATTAAAACTGATAACACTATTTCATTTTCTCTTGATTTTTTTTATAAAACTTGGTATTGGGGGGATCTTTTGAGGTGCTGATTAAAAATCTGGGGTCAAAAATCAAGATGGCGGATAAAATATAGAGAACTAAAATTGCAAGAAAAAGGATAATTTACGTAAAGCGTGATATCCTGAGAGTTTTTGAGGTCATTGATGGCTGATACAGGAAGCCTTCCAGCGCACACACTGTATAAGTGGACAAAGTATGTTGTTCAAGGAAGTGGGACGTGTTCCGCCGATTTTTTAAGCATGTAGATGAAGCCGCTGATAAGCTTATATATTCTTCTGGTATTTATAAAACAACTTTCTCAAATTGTTCACTAAGACAATGACAAGAAGAAAAACATTTACCAAACTGTTTGTGGCGCTATATGGCTATGAGGCATTCTGTACATTCCTAGATAAAATCCTTTTACATGACTCTTTAGCCATCAAACATGATCTTGTTCTAATAGGACAGCTTTGAGAGGAGGCACAGAAGGCAAGGAATAAGAACATGAGGTGATTCAGAGCCCAGCACACTAGAAAGTCCTCTCATATATAAAAACCTGTGAAGACTTAGTGCACATGATTTTAATATCGTTGAAGGAGCTGAGTCCTGAGGCAGTTGATGAGCAGCATAACGAAGCGGAGAAGAATTCTCCAAGCGAATTTGAAGATGATTCGGATTTAGAATTTTTTTAAAAATAGTTCTTCCTTTTACTAGAAACTAAATTAGCATTTATTTAATAATAATAATAGTTTATTGGCATAACAATACAATATAGGTAATACATTAAAATAACTAAGTATAGAGTTTGCCAAAGGGTATTTCCATCAGAAAGCCAAATTATGGCGTCCTGGTCTTCCTGGAAATCCCATACACAAAAAAAAAGAAATATATAAAAAAAAACAAAATAAAGTAATAACAAATCAAAATTAAATTCAACCTGAAACAATTATCGTGGCCGATAAGTAAAAAACGAAAAAAATATAAAAAATGAGGAGCCTCAACAAATAAAAATTAATAAATATCCCTAACAAACTAAAAAGAAAAAATATATATATATATATACACTAATTCGAGTTGAAGGTAGAACGACGCGCTAGTCATTAAGCAATTTAAGACGCAGAGACTCTTTAAAAGTGCGAAACGATGGTTGAGCAAAAAGCAGACTGTACTTATTCAAAATACATGCCGCGTTATAACTAAAAGACCTCTTGAACAATTGGGTACGGTGACGAGGAATGTCAATGAGGTCCTTACGCCGTACATTAATATTATGAATATCCGTTCTGTAAGTAATTTTGTTTGTGAGGTAAGGTGGTAGTTTACTTGACACAACTTTATAAAGAAAACAACCAAAATGTAACCGACGACGACTTGACATACTCAGCCACTTCAACTCCCCCAGCTTATACGATACTCTCTGACGTCGGCGTATACCAAATATAAAACGAATACAAGAATTCTGAACTACCTGAATACGTCGCGCATCATCAGTCAACAGGCAGTGGCCGTAAATTGTGTCACAGTATGTAAAGTTGGATAAAATTACAGACTCGCAAAGATTCTTTTTAATATCGGCGTTCAAGACTTGCCTATGAGCAAACAGCATTTTCAATTTTGCGTAAGCACGCCTGATCAGTTCACTTGTGTTCCGTGTAAACCTTAAGCTGTCGTCAATGTAAAGACCAAGATCCTTGACACAGACCTTCCTCTCCAATTCAATTCCATCTATAAAGATATGGGCCATATTGCTGACAAGCGCTTTGGATTCCCTACCCCCGAACACCATATAGACCGATTTATTCTCATTTAACAAAAGACCATGTTTCTTAGTAATATTTAAAAATTTATCTAGATCATTGTTTACATCTGCAACAGACTCTAGCACATTATTTGAGCTAAAGCTGTGGTAAAGTTGTGTGTCATCCGCATAGATATGAAATTTTGAGCAAAAGCGGTCAAAGATCAACATTTGAGACGTATAGATTGTGAACAAAAGGGGACCCAATGTAGAGCCCTGCGGCACACCAGACCTCAATACGGCAGGATCCGACACATCATTATCAATAACCACATACTGACTTCTCCCGCACAGATAATTATTAAAAAAATTTAAGGCTGTATTATTGAACCCAATATAAAGAAGAATTGCTAAGAGAAGTTGATGATTAATAGTGTCAAACGCTTTAGAGAAGTCAAGTAAAACCAAAACAGTAGCCGCGCCATTGTCCGTTGCAGACATAACATCATCAATAATTGTCGAAAGTGCGGTTGCACAACTATACCCAGGCCTAAATCCTGATTGGATGGAGGATTTAATCGTTCCATTTTATTTTATACTATTTTTTTCATAAAAAATATGTGAAAAGCCTCAAAATTTTGTTCTGAGAACTAAAACACCTACTTTTTCCTTTATATATATATTTTTTTATTATTTTTTTAAGCTATTCTAGCCCTTGTTAAGCCCATAAAATAATTTTGCCCAGCTAGAACTGGGATTCAGCCCAATGTGCGCCACAAACGTATATTTATCTTACCTCCTCTGATTCCACATAGTGTTGCCAATCAATCCTCCCCCCTTGTGTATATCATTACCTCACATTCCAGTCTTCCATTTTATAATGGGATTTATAAGGAGATTACTTCCTCTTCTTGTTCTCTGGATTTATCAAAGGTTTTCTGCAGACTTGAGTAAAAATATAATCACCTTTTCGTTTAGGTCAATTCCCAATTCCAGAATTCATGAACTTGCTGGTGTATACTCTTTTATTTAGTTCCTCTGTTATAATTATTCCTACTCCCTTCTTGCTCCATGTATTTTCTTGGACTTCTGAAAAATATAGACTGTTCTTTTTCGCTTCACTAATTCCCATTATTCCTATCCCAAACCTCTTTATCTCCATTATTTCCCTTTCGTTTTCCGTTAAAGTTGTAATATTGTAGCTTTCCCTTGTGTTTATCCACTTTCATCCCCAGTAAATTTTTTTGAATTTATAGAGTAATTACTTTTATAATAACCAAATTTTTATTACGTTTTATTTTTGAACAGATTTTTTGCGTGGCTTTTTTTAAAAATGGTAATTTCCGGGAACTCTTTATATGGCACCATGCCCCAACCGATGAATATTGGCCTCTTTGGGCGCGCCAAATTGGTTCCATCATCCAACTTTTACCAGTTTTGTGTATTCCGATAATTGCAGTCATTCAAAGTTATCGATATTTAAATAATGGACCACCAGATATCTTAGACGTAAGTGTATTAATACTTTAAATCGTTTTATTAACAAATAACGTTGCTTCCTATGCATATCTTAAGGATTATCCCGACGATGATGCAGATTATGTCAGTATTTTAATTTTTAATAACACACGTGTTAATTGCGTTTATTTTTGAATTTTGTTTTTATTTTTTAGCGAATACAATATTTATACCGTCCCCCACTTGGAGAACACATGGATTCTTTGGCTATACAAGAAATCGCTTCAACCATTTTGGCAACATCCGTTGTTGTACCGGAAGTAGTCCGCTCGGAAGATCCTCCACCAAAATATACTCCCCCACCATCTTATACCACCGCAACCGGTGCCCGAATCGCAAAATTCCTTCGGCAAAGTATTCGAAGGAGCGTTCGAAGAATAGCAAACGCTTTAGGTGAAGGAAGTTCACGACAAACCTCCTCAAACATCCCCGAATCATCAAGCACAGTCGTGGTGGTACCTCCACCTGATTATAACGCCGTTTTAGTTGAAATGAATAACCAAACTGGTTCAGAGAATGTTAATCAAGTTTCGGTTTACGTGACGAACGCCTCGAACACGACAACGGATGGTTTAACAGCGGCTCAAGTAGCGAATATTTTAAGGGGGAGTTTTAGAAGAAACGAAACTGGAACTGCTTCTTTAAGTGCGGAAAATTTGGTTGATTCAGCTGTTCCTATCGGGGAATCTTCCCTTGTAACTGACGATAAAACTATATGTGATACTGTGATATAGTTTATTAAGAATTTTTTTAACACGTTTTATTCTGTGCCATTTTTTTTGCTGCAATCTCTTATATTTTCGTTCTTCCCACTTTGAAAGTCATTAATTTTAGATGTAAATATGATTTAAAATAATCGACAATTAATCTCACATTATTTTAAATCAAAGATGTGTAAATTAATGTAAATATTTATTGAAAAACCAAAACTATAAAGACTTGTGAAAGCTTAAAATTGGTAAATAGTTATAATTATATTAGGAATATTTAAGACGCAATTTTTCTCAATAAATTTTTTTTAAATGTTGATTATCCTAAAATCTTAATCCCTGACCTTTGAGGTCAAATCTGTTATCATTTCAATTGAGCCGTAACAATAAATAAGGTCAAATAACACCGTACCATTCATTTCATTTCATCTTTAGTAATACATTTAATTCTTTTTCTTTGGCCAACTTGGGTTAATATACCCACTAAAACCTCTGGTATCGAATGGTTCATTTTTTACTGCTTTAAGTATAGATTTCTTAGCTGTTAAATCATTATCTTTCTCTTTTTCTAATTTATTCTCCAAAACAGGATATTCAAATTCCGATTTATCCTGATCCTCCTCGATAATAACAATTGTAAATGTTTTACTCGGTTCATCTTCTTGATAAATAACAAAACAATCAGCCGGAACTACAGTTAATTTCATTTCGTTCGTTTTACGATTACGATAGCCCAACAACAATTCATTTGGTTCTGTTTCATCATCAACTATTGCGGCCATTTTTGGTAAAGACTGTGTGCTTAAAAGGTAAGAAAGAATTTTTCCCGAATCAGCAACGCTTATTTTTGATGATTTTTTTGCTGTTGATGGTAATGAGTCGTATTTATAATTTGTTCTGGAAGATGAAGAAAGTGATGGATCGTCTGGTTCATTTATTGTTACTAAATGTCCCCTTTGGGCTGGAATATTATTTGTGTTAATGTTTTCAAAACAAGATGGTTTCCTTTTTTCATCCTCGCAAATTTTAGCAGCATGTATTGTTTCTTCGGATATTAAATACGATAAAAGTGACATACTCGAACGTTGGTTTTTAAACTCGGATCGTTTCCGAGATGAACGTTTTTGTTGTTTTAACATTAACTCTTCTTTTCTTAATTTACTTATATTCTTTTTTGGACTAATAATACGTTCTATTGATGTATTTTGAATCGCGGGTGAGCTATTAGGCCTTTCATTTTTATTTTCCAATTTTTTGTTTTTGTTATCATCGTTATTTTCTTCGTTTTCATTTGAATGTTTATTTTTTTTATCATTTTTATTAACCATTTTTTTTTTATAAATAAACAACTTATTATTCAATCTATTTTGAGTGTGTTCTCTTTTCACGAGTGAATGATTTAATACTCAATGCCACTTCTGTGTAATTTGCACGTTACTCACTCGTTTTATTCAGTTATAAACTAACTGCGGTCGTGGTGATTTTACTTCTGAAATGTAATCTTTGTGCTTTATAATAAAAATGAGTGCTTTAATAAACCATTTTTGTTCATATTTCGTATTAATTTTTCTATTTTATCATGTTGAAGGTAAGACTTTCTTTTACGCGTTTATTAAAATCATTTGAATAATTATATAACCGTTTATTTCTTCATTATTAACTAAAAGTTTTAATACTTAAAATTTTGATTTTTAATGACCAAACTGACAATTTCAAATAAAACGCAAAAAAGTTTTCTGTAGCAATCAGCTTTCCCGTTTGACCTCTTATTTATAATACAAAGGCAGAAATTTCTAATTTTACGTAACTTTTATGTTAAAGTTATTCCTTATATTCTCAATTGCGATAACAATCTTTATTTAACAAACTGAGTTTGTTGTTATTAAAACGATATTAAAAATGACGCATTTAAAACTTTTTGAGGTTATGTTACTTGTCAAATTAAATTAATAATTTTTATATTTATTATACAGGAATTTCAAATAACTCGCAATATATGTATGCAGCAACCATAGCTACGAATGCAACATATGTAGCATAATAGTACTATTGCTAGTTATTTGAAATTCCTGTATAATAAATAATAAATATAAAAATTATTAATTTCGTTTGACAAGTAACATAACCTCAAAAAGTTTTAAATGCATTTAAAATGAATGATTCTAGTTCTAGGTCTTGTGTCAGTTCTAGTTTTAGTGCACTAAAAAACTGCAACATAGCGATATCTTATGCTAACTAGAGCTGCCTATCACTGTCACCAGAACAAGCATTAAACCTATAGTTCGTTTTTTTTCTATAATACTTGTCAATGTAAATTATTTAGAGTTTCTGTTGGTATTATCTAGGACCCTTATAAAATTTATGTTGTTTTCCTGATTTTTAGTAACATTTTCAGTAACTAAATAGTTGAGGTTAAAATACTAATAAATTTTTAGATAAATACGATTTTAACGAAGTACATATTTGTTGTAAAAACGTGCTACAAAGTAATTAAATAGAACAAAACACCTTTTCTAGGTAAATAAATGGCAAATAAACACCCCACAACATTTTTTATGCACCTTTTCTTTTTGAATAACGAAAGCTCAAACGTCAATGTGACATATTTACTTCAAAACATGATAAAACAAAACTCCCTGTTAATTTTGCCAACTTTACAACAATTTGACAGGTATTATAGAAAAAAAATGAACTATAGAACTAGTAACGTCAGGATTTAGGTCTCTCAAGACGTCTAAACCCGAATGATTCTAGTTCTAGGATCTATTGTTAGTTCTAATGCTAGTCTAGTTTTATTTGTTATTATTTGCATTTTCACTGTAGCACAGAATATTCTGTGACTGTAGAAACGTTACGTTGGCCAACTTTTAAATAAATAAAATATTAATTTCTATAAATATAAATTTAAATCTAAAATAAACCTAACATTCCAATTTTTACTTTAATATAATCATTTAGATTAAATCTGAAATTAATGGATAAATATCGCTAAAATCTACTTAAAATGCACAAAATATAAAAAGTTCATAAAAAAGCGCCCTCTATACATTAAAAGCAACACATTCTAACCCTACTTTTCTCAAGTACTGAATAAATTTTCTTTATTTCTAATTATCTTTTTGATTATAAAAAAAATCGTTCTTATATTCGTTTCTCTTTTTAGCAATTTCTAAATGTGGAAAAGTTTTTATAACAATATCTTCATTCGAAGCTGGTTTTATCGAATTAAATTGGGTTACAAATTGCGATTCCCTCGATGATTATCCATCAAGAATCGAATTATTCACTTATAATCCAAAAACTGTGGTAAAAAGCACAATATTTTTGAATTAATTTTATTAATACGCTTTTATTTAGATGGGTGAACGTCCCTTAGTATCAATAAACGCACACATTTATCCCGAAGGTTATTACATGACTAAAATTAAATTTAATCCACCTTGGTTGCCTGGGGATTGGGATTACTATGAAGGGATTAATATAACAAGCCCTGGATCGCATTGTTTTCCCTATTATATCGCTTCTTTTAGAGGTAATGGCCTTTTAGATTCGGATTGTTTAAAGATACAACCAACGTGGATGTCCGACAATAGGTATTGAAGGTATCAAAATAATAATAAAAATCATTTTCATTCTATTTCTTTTTTTAATGTGGTTTTGTAGGAAAATTTTGGGACAAAAGCGTATCGGAACGATTTTAATACCAGGTACACATAACTCTGGAGCTTACGGATTTATTCCCGGTTTTTTACAACATTACGTTTTAAACCAAGATAAAGATATTTGGACCCAATTGGTTTTCGGAATAAGATATTTAGATTTTCGAGTTGGTTATTATCCCAACGAAGGCTTCTTTATCAACCATGATTTGATGAGAATTACTAAATTAGAACCTTTATTAAAAGAAATAACAAGTTTTATGCGATTAGCACCGAAAGAAATCATTATTCTAGATTTTCATCGATTTCCTTACCCCACTAAATTCGAAGACAAACTTCATCGTCAGTTAATTAATATTATTCAGAAAGAATTGGGGCATTTAGCTTTACCACCAAACGGTCTCCAAGTTGGTAAAGGACCAACATTAGATGAAATTTGGCAACGCAATAAAACGTTGATTATTTGTTATGGACATCGTAACATAGCAAAAGAATTTTCTTGGTTATGGACACCTTTGCATCAATATTGGGGTGATAAACGTAAAGTCGATGAATTAAAGGAGTATTTGAGGAGGTCAATAAAGAATCATAATAGTATTTCTAATCCGTTATGGGCTTTAATGGCCGAATTAACGATTAGCCCTATTGATGTTTTCTTTGTACGGACAACAAATAGAAAATTAGCTCAAGAAACGAATAAAGAATTAAGTAAATGGTTTCGGGATGAATGGGGAAAAGAATCTAACATTGTTGCAACAGATTTTTTCTTAGGGAATGATATGATTAATGTTGCTATTGAGACAAATACGGGAAATTAAAAAATTATTGAACTCGAATAAGGATTAAAAATGATAATTTAAGTGATTTAATTATAACGAAATAAAAGTAAATACTAAAAGTTTATTGTTTATTTTATTTATTTATTTAAAATTGTTAATCATATTTCAATAATATAATTAATAGATGGTGCTGTTATAATGACAATTTAAAGTCCATGATGAAATTAGTCACAAATTCGATATAATAAAAAAATATTGACTTTTATTTATAATTATCAATAAAAAATTAGAAGTGAAACAGTTTTCGTTGTTTTCTATTTTATATAAATAATAAATAAATTAAAAATGAATGTTTTTGCAATAATCTCAAAAACACACCGTTACGTCATAAACTCAGAAGCAAAGATGGCTGCCATTTTTACTACTTGACGCTTCCCGCAATAAAACCAGAAAATAAATTGATTACACATTCAAATATCAATAAATAACGGATAATTCTGGATAATTTCTCAACGATGGACGCCGTAAAATCGTTTAATTCGGAGGTAAGTCCTGTTTTGTAGCCGTAATTGAAATCGGCGCTGATTAACGTCAACGTTTTTTGGGTGTATCTATCCACAAAACGCTAACATGGATTTTTAATGTTTTTTATTCTTTTCGTAGTTATCCTCGTTGTACGAGGTGAGGCCCCCGATATCAAAAGCGAAAATGACTGCAATCACTAGAGGAGCAATTAAGGCTATCAAATTTTACAAGCATGTTGTGCAAAGCGTTGAAAAATTTATATTGAAATGTAAATCGGAGTACAAAGTACCAGGTTTATATGTTATTGATTCAATTGTGAGGCAGTCTCGGCATCAATTTGGGACCGATAAGGACGTTTTTGCTCCTAGATTTGCGAAAAATATGCAACAAACGTTTGTTAATTTATATAAATGTCCACCTGAAGATAAAGTAAGTAAAAAAAGGATATTTTTCTTTATTCATTTTCTTTGTGATCTTAATATGATGGCATTTTTTAATAGCGCCATCTCTTGATTAATTTAATCTTGTTTTAGTAGCGCCATCTTTTGATTAAATTAATTAAACGTAATTATTTCTAATTTAAGTTTAAATTTTTGCAGAGTAAAGTTATAAGAGTGTTAAATTTATGGCAAAAAAATCAAGTGTTTGCCCCGGAAGTAATTCAACCGCTATTTGATTTGGCCGACCCAAACCATCCCATCTATAAAGAAATTAACCAGAATAATGGAACGATCGGAAATATAAGTGGGACTACTAGTCTACCAAAAGGTAGGTGAACATTTTTATTTTTCTTATTATGTTTATAATTTAGTTAAGGTAAAATCTACAATCAAAAATTAAATGATAACTTGTATAATGATGATTAATTTAAAATTTTTTTAAAATTCAATTTTTTTTTGTTTGTCACGATACTTATCTAAAAACGTTTTTCCTAACCAGGTTCACCGGCGCTCCAGAAGACGCCTACGAAGGTCACACAACAAGGAACTGATCAGGCAAACGCCGTACCCCACAGCGTTAATGCAACGGTACTAAAACGCTTCAATTAAAACAAAGTTAAAAATTAAAATAAAATTAAAAAGGGAAAAACGTTTTTATGAAAAGTATCAAATTCTAATTTAAGCCTTTTGTGTGGTTCATTGAATTATTATTAACTAAAAGGAGGTTAATTTTTTTTAGGCGACCCCAACTCTCGACCCAGCAACTTTAGCTCAACTCCAACAGCTGCATAAATTATTATATCAAGGGGGTGCAGGAAAATCTGATGGGCAACCAGTTCATTTCGATAGGAAATTATTAGACTTCGATTACGGCGATGACGAAGATGAAGACCCAAATAATCCATCTCCAAAAAATACAAATACTAATAATACATCAATTGATTCAGTTGGAAAGTTAGTATTTAATTTATTTTTTGTTAAATTATTTAACTTATTTTATTTCATAGTTTATTATCAAACCCGGAAGTGTTAAAACAACTTCAAACCCTCCAAAATTCGATGTTGCAACATGGACAACATCAAGAAATTGACTTAGAAAAGCTTCGAAAATTGCATGAAATGAAACAACAAGAAGATGAATTCGATAAACATCTTGCTCAAACCGTACCAGTTAGTTTAAAATTTGAAATATTATTTCAATTAAGTTAATCCAATTTTTTTTTTAAGCATTTACCATTTGCTTCCGAATGTGAGTTTAAACCCAGCAATAATTCTCCAGCCGTCCCATCAAATTATTTCCTCCCAATGACCACAGACATGTCTCAACCACCGCCCGGTTACAAAACAACCCAACAACCACCCGGAGTCGGTTATATAACTCAAAATCAAGATCAAGATGGTACGGTTAGTTCCGAAGTGGAATTTGTGGGTGCCGGAACTGATAATGACGTCGAAGTGATCACGGTAGACCACGGCGATTCCCGAAGCGTATCTCCGGATCGTTATGGGAGTTCGCGTAGACGTGGAAGGAGTCGAAGTCGTTCGCGCGATCGCGGACGAGATCGTCGTTCGAGACGCTCGTCGAGATCAAGATCGCATTCGCGGTCGCGCAGACGAAGATCGAGATCGCGTGATCGCGAAAAGGATAGAGAAAGGGAAAAGGAACGTGAAAAGGATAAGGAGAGGAAAAAGAGGGGGTTACCGCCAATTAAAAAAGATCATTTAAGCGTGTGTAGTACCACGTTGTGGGTGGGGCATCTTTCCAAGTTGGTTCATCAAGAAGATTTATCAGATACTTTTGGGGAATTTGGAGGGATTATTAGTATCGATTTGATTATACCAAGGGGATGCGCTTTTATTGTGATGGATCGGAGACAAGATGCTGCCAAATGTTTAACGAAATTGAAAAATTATAAATTACATGGGAAAGCATTAACTTTAGCTTGGGCTCCTGGGAAAGGAGTTAAAGGTAAAAACACTTAAGATAATATTGATATAAGAGTTTTTATTGTTAACTAAACGTTTTCAATTTTCTGTACAAAACATGACAAATCAAACTTAACTTCCTTCATCCATCCCCTGCCTTTTCCCCCTCTTCCAGAATCTGCCACCGATTCCTTTCTTCTTCTCCCCTCTCCACATCATCCGCCCTGTATAGTTTCCGATATTTCTGGTGGTTTTTATGACCCTCAGAAACAGTAGTCGCAATAATTATCACCCTGAAAAAGTACCTGGACGTGATTTATGATAGATCCTCCTAGCGAACTAGGTCCAGGGACACACTTCTTTTTTTATTTCATTTTAAATTCAACAAAATAAAACAGAAATGTAGTAAAGAATATAAATTTACTTATGCTTAAATGATTTTACAAAAAAAAAAAACAAGTAATAATTAATAATATAAAAATTATTAACGGGATATTAATTGTTTAGACTTTAAAAATATAAATTTGAAATAAATTGTTATAATTTTACAAAGTAATGGTATTTAAGTTTTTAAATATTATGTTTTTGTAATTTCCGTTAATGCGGACCTGAACAACTCACGCCAGAGTTTGGGGTTCCTAAAGTACCTGTTTACAACTCCGTTTTTGTTCGTTATATGACTGCAATTAAGTCATAAAAACCACTAGAAATATCGGAAACTATACCTGTTCACTCTCTCTAATAGCCATGCGTAACTCAGCAAAATTTGCTGCGCTGACACACTGATACTGGCGCACCTAAGTGAGTTAGCGCAATGTATCAACTCAATTGCGCCATAACGCAGTTGCTGATGCATCATATCTATCAGCGGTATCATATACGCCGGCGCAGCTAGCCTGATATCTCGTTCCAAGTTCTAGCAAATGCAGGTTTTATACGTGACTAAGGGCTAGAATTTTCACCTACATATCTGCAAATTCTTAATAGCTATTTGAGAGATCTGCAAGATTTTTAGCCCTGTTAAACTCCTCAAAATGAGAATATGTTACGGTGGCGGTATACAGGGTGGTTCAAATTCGATGTCCGAATAGGCTAACTCGGAAACTATAAGAGTTAGAAAAAAAGTAGCTTACATGTCATGATCTCGTTTTTCGAGAAACTGCTAATGCCGAAAACCTCATAGCGCTATCGTCTTTTGTTTTTCCCCTAGAGGCCAAAATTGGAAATATCGTAAAACCAGCAAGTGCAATTATCTTCGTTATTATTATAGGTGGAGTATTATAACTAAGACATTATATGGACACTTTTTTATAGAGAATTGGATGACGTAGTCAAAAAAATTTTTTCGGTTTTAGATTTTGAGATATCATCACAATTTTCGTTTTTTTAAATGGAAACAACCACTGATTATTCGCTTATTAAATTCGTTATTTTTTTCTGATTACAAAAATATAGGGTTCGACAGGTCTATTTCTTATTGTTTTAGAATAAAGCCAAAAATAAACTTTTTTTTTAAATTTCCATCTAGTGTCATCGACGAAATTAAATTTACAGTTTCCTGTAAATTATGGTACTATAACTAAAAATTAAAAAAACAAATTTCTGATGTTTGAAACAAATAAATTTGTTGAACTATTTAATTTATATATGTTTTACACAAAAGTTGGAATAGATTGCATTATTTCACATTTTTTATTAATATTTAATATTATTATTAAATGACTTAATAAATTATTGATAGATGGCGCTCATATATTTTTCTTTTGAATTCAAATAAACATAGCAACATTTGTTTGTATTCAAAAAGTGTCACTTTAAAAATCCTGTAATAATATTAAATATTAATAAAAAATGTGAAATAATGCAATCTATTCCAACTTTTGTGTAAAACATATATAAATTAAATAGTTCAACAAATTTATTTGTTTCAAACATCAGAAATTTGTTTTTTTAATTTTTAGTTATAGTACCATAATTTACAGGAAACTGTAAATTTAATTTCGTCGATGACACTAGATGGAAATTTAAAAAAAAAGTTTATTTTTGGCTTTATTCTAAAACAATAAGAAATAGACCTGTCGAACCCTATATTTTTGTAATCAGAAAAAAATAACGAATTTAATAAGCGAATAATCAGTGGTTGTTTCCATTTAAAAAAACGAAAATTGTCATGATATCTCAAAATCTAAAACCGAAAAAATTTTTTTGACTACGTCATCCAATTCTCTATAAAAAAGTGTCCATATAATGTCTTAGTTATAATACTCCACCTATAATAATAACGAAGATAATTGCACTTGCTGGTTTTACGATATTTCCAATTTTGGCCTCTAGGGGAAAAACAAAAGACGATAGCGCTATGAGGTTTTCGGCATTAGCAGTTTCTCGAAAAACGAGATCATGACATGTAAGCTACTTTTTTTCTAACTCTTATAGTTTCCGAGTTAGCCTATTTGGACATCGAATTTGAACCACCCTGTACAGAACGTGAATATAAAGAGTATATGGCGCGTTTTGTACAATGTCGCCATTATATTTGCTCATTTGAAGGGCTATAATAGGGTGATAAATCTGACAGATCTGTTGTATACCTATTGAGGACTTTATAGATAGTTGAAAATACCAGCCCTAAGTCTTATGCTGCCTGCGCCATAGCGGTTGTGCGTTAAACTTTAGGTCTACCAGTGTGTTGCACCCATCTAGTAAGCCACACCAGCGTACGCTACTACGCCAAAGGTGGCGCAATTGAGTTGACTCATTTTAAAGTTGGGTATCAGCGCACGTAACACACTGTACTGAGTTAACTCAATTGCGCCGCGCAGCGCAGTGTTACACATCTCTAATATCTAATCATCTCCTCCCTAACTTCCTTCCAACTCTCCCCCAGGGTAATTACTCTTCTGTCCGCTCCACCTTCACTTCCTCCCTCACAATATACACCGGGGTCTCTCTCGCCAGACCCAGTACCGATTCTGTACATCCTCCAGAATATCCACCCTGTTCCATCCCCAACTTCCCCGCCGTACATCATTGCCCTCCTCACCAACCCATGAAACATGATCTTTCTCTTTCTGATGTCCTTTCCAAACACTCTTTCTTCCCAGAGCTGCTCCATCACCTTAGTTGCCCTTTTAGCCATCTCCTCACATGCGCCTCCATGCGTCCTTGCTATCCTCCTATGAACCTGTATCCCAGATACGTGAATTCTCTCACCTCTTCTTCAATCTCTTTTCCTTCCCATCTCCATTCCTCCCTCTTTCTTCTCCTCCCCCCTTTGTAGATCTTCATCCTCTTCGTCTTTACTACATTCACCTTAAACACTTTCGCCCTGAAATACCCCTCCAAGTATCTCATCATCCCTCTCATTTCCGTCGCATCCCTCGCCACAACCACCATGTCATTCGTATACGCTAGCACGTGAACATTTCTCCCTCGTACCACCACTCCTTTCATTTGCCCCTTCTCCACGGGTTCATAACCATTAAACGTTGTTCTAAATGGTTAAAATTAAGATCTGGTTCATAACAAAACGAAATTCTTTGAAATGATTAAAAACAAGCTGGAAATTATTGAAAGTGTGTCCTAAATGATTAAAAACTGGTTGATTATCATTGAAAACTTGGCGATATCATTAAGAGCTGGTTTTTAGCTATGCCAAGTTGTTAAATAAGTTACTAAATGCTTAAAAACTAGCAGGTTATCACTGATAACTTGTGTATACTATTGAAAACTGGTTCCTAGCTATGCCAGGTTGACCAAAAGGATTAACAATAAGTTCAAAATACTCATAATGTGGTTGAAAAGTTGTCTAAATGATTGAGATTTGGCTCCTAACAATATCAGGTTGTTAAAAATGATTAAAAACTAATTGGCAATCCTTGAACGATTGTAAAAATGATTGAAAACATGTCTTGATGATTGGTAAAAACTTACAAGCTATGCTAGGTTGTTTCAAATGAATGAAATTAAGTAGTCATTTATACCCATTCTCCAACCGTTCGGAAACCATTCCCCCTCCACACATTGTTCAACGTCTCCAACAGCTTCCCTCTCACCTCTCTTGTCGCCTCCAACCATGCCTCGTTCAGTACACCATCCTCACCCAACCTCAATCGTCTCCTCCTCCTCGACCGCCTGCCTCTTTTCTACCCCTCCTAACAAATTCATAAAGTGACTCCTCCATTCCGCCATCTGTATATTCCATTCCTTCCCATCTTATCTCCTTAATTTTTGCTGCCTCCTTCAACCTCAACGCTCTTTTCTTTGCCCAACATACTTCTTTGTACCTTCTGCTTACTTACTTATAACTGTACACCAGAACCTTTCCTCTCCGCCACTGCCTCAATCTTCACCTTGCTTCCCTTTTCGCCTCCCTGCATTCTCCATCCTCTTTCCCGGAATACGTCCCCGACGCATCACTCACCACCTCCATCAAATCTTCCAGTCGCCAGCTTGTAAAAATTCCCCTGTATTCCCCTTATTTTACTTCATCCTCCTCTCCTTCTCCACTTAAGATAATATTTTTATTAAATTAATTTAAATTGTTTTTAAAGGTAAAGATCTTAAAGATTATTGGGAAGGTGATTTAGGAGTTTCTTATATTCCTTACGGCAAATTAAAACCGGATATGGATACGGAATTATTAGAAGATGGTGGTGTTATTGATGAAGAAACGATGCCGCAATGGATGAAGTCTAAATTGAATCAAAAACCGCTTGAAAATCAATCTGTGAGTGATTTATCGAATCTTGCTGCAACTTTAACATCAGTTTCATCGGCTACTTTGGATACATCTCAACCTCCGCCGGTACCGGGAAATCTTTTGTCAGCGCCACCCATCGCCTTATCACTAGTTCCACCGTTCCAATTAAACAGAAACTTATTAAACGCCGTCGGCATGAATTTACAAACAAGTTTAATGACGAACGTCCCTATTGGTGTGCCTCCACCGAATTTAGCAAATGCTCTCCTGCCGAATCAACTTTTAGGGATTAATTCACCATTCGGGCAAGCGCCACCAAGTTTGTTACAAACTCCCAATGTTCCTCAAATGTCGGTTGCGGCTCCTACAGTAGCAGTTGCCGGAAACGCAGGAGATAATAGTCAAGATTCGGTTAATGATAACGGATTACTTCCGTTACCAATACAAACACAACCAAACACCGGATTTGGAATAGTACATCATGCCGATGATAATATGGATGTTGAAATGGAAGACGCTGATAAAATGGATAGGCCTGCATTAAGTGACCAATTATTAGCAACGATGGGGTCCTATAATAGTTCGGGGGAGGTTAATTTAAGTGCTGTTGTTAATCGGTTTAATCGACATGATGAGATGGATGATGGAAGAAGAGATCGAAGAGATAATAGAGGAGGAGGTAAAATAAATATCCTTTGTCCACGACTACCTTGTAATATATACTTTATAAATGAGTTTTTTAAAAGAAAAGGATAGTAATCAACTTGACAGACTAATAATAATTATTTGAAACGTCAAAATTTCAAAAAACGTCAATTTAACTTAATTTTTTAGTACTTTCTAAAGGTTTGACATTAAAAAAAGCGTAAACAAATTCCTTTTTTCGTATGATTTAAGTATAAATAAATTAATATTCGTAAAAAAAAAACATTTAAAAAAATGACGTTTAATTTTGACAAATCGTTGTGAAGTTGGTTACAGTTGGTAACATTGAATTTGTGTCACATTGACGTTTAAACTTTATTCAAAAATTTAGAAAAGTAAATTTATGGAATCAATTTCAATAGTAGTCGTGGACTTAGTGAATAATAGCCCTCATTATTTGCTTATATAATAATATACTATTATTTATCGTTGCCATGGCAACCACGTTATAAATCGAAAGTAAAAATGCAAGAATTTAATTTTATTAAATTTTTTAGGTAGAAATCGTAGTAGAGATCGCGATAGAGCCGATCGAAATCGTGATAGAAGTCGAAGGGGTGGTAGTTATGATAGAAATCGCGATAATAGAAATAACCCGGATAATCGGCGTGGTGAAAATCGTCGTGATAATCGCGGAGGTGGCGGTATCAATCGTTGGTCAGATCGCGATGATTCGCGAAGTGTTGAACTAGACAGACGAGAGCGCGAAAAACGCTTAAACGATCGCCTCAGAGAAATGGCAAATGACGGGTCTTTCACGGCTCGTGAAACCCAAGATCCCGAAAGACACCTTTACCCACCTCCGGCTAGTTATGGTGGCGAAAATTTAGGTCCTCTTGAAAATAATTTACCACCAATGGATACTCATGATGATTACGATCGTCCAGGACCGAGAATGTGTCGACCCCCGATGGGTCCCGAATTTGATTATCCTCCTGATTTCGATGGGCCCCCATTACCGCATATGGAGTTATTGGACGATAGGTTTTTGAGGAGGGATCGTTATGTAGAGGAAATTGATGAGTATGAAAGATTTAGTAGAGGACCTGAATTTTATCCGCCACATAGAGGTGACGTTTTTGGACCAAGGGGTGGGCATCCCCCGATGAGGGGAATGCGACCTGATGGGTTCAATGGACGTGGACATTTAATGGGGCCTCCTAGAGGTGGAATGTTTCATCCTAGGGGGCCACCTCATTTGGGGCATATACGTGGACCTCGAATAGGTTAATTATTTTTTAATTTAATTAATTTTTTAAATCATTTATTAAATATTGTAGGACCATGGATGGATGGAGTTGGAATAAGACCAAATTTTTGTCCACCACCACGGTTCGAAGGCCCTCCAGGATTTCGAGGTCACTTTGAAGATCACGGCCACCACCCCCCACCGAGACATCGTGGACAATTCGATAGACGCGGTGGTGGGAGATTTAATAAATACGATCAACAAGAACCTACACATGAAGGTGAGAATAAATCGGTTGATTTCGAACGATCAGAACGAAAGAGTCGGTGGAGTATGGCGAATTCGCCATCGCGACAAGAAGAAAATAATTCTAATCGGAGAAATAGTTTTAATAAAAATGAAAACGACGATGATATAGTTGAGCAAAATCAGGAAAATGATGTTGCCGATAATAATAATGATTTGGTTAATAACGTCGAAGAAGATGTGAGTGATAATCAAGGAGTTGTTGAAGAGGAAGCAGCGGGAAATACAACTCCGTTAAGAGATGAACATCTCGAAGAATTTGAGGATAAAAAAGTCGTAGAGGAAGATGATGCGGGTGAGGATCAAATTATAGAAAATAATGATGAGGAAGTGGAGGCTGAGGACGGTTAAAAATAACGCAAAGATAGGACTCTTTAGTTTAAACGACATTTTTTAGTTTCTTTTTAGATATTTCCGTGTGTTGCAAATATGTTAAGACTAAATAATAAAAACGAGGGCTGTGATAGTGATGAGGAACACAGGTGACCTATGTAATTTTTTTCTATACATAGATATATATTTTTCTTTTTGTACACCGATTTTTCGAGATACAAACGTCGCGTATTAAGTATATAGTAATAATGAATTGAAAGAAATTTTTTACATAAAAAGGAAGAAATAAACGATTGCTAAATGTTTTTAAAAAAAAATGTTGCGATTGTATTTTATAACAATTAACCTAAAACGTTCAAATTCGATAAAATTCAACAAATTTAAGTTGAGAGTGAAGGAACGAAAGCGAGTTTATGACATCGGAAAAGGTAGGTCCATCCTGTGTTCTACTTCGCATCACGGAGGAACCAGCGTTGGCACTCAAACTGAGCGATCAATGCAAGGTACTGTGACACACATTCTATATTTTCAAGAAATTCATTTGGTTAAAGATTAAACGAGACATGTTTGCAGTACAATTTAACAAGATTTAAAAATAAATCAAAAAATTTCTTTTGTAATGGAGATGTATAGAATTAAATTTTTCGAAGGTTTTCAAAATAAATGTTTAATTTGTTTAATCGGTGTTATTAAGAATGTACAAACTTATAGTTGTTCTATAAGATTATGCAATTCAATATTATTATAACGCAATTTATGTTTTTGGATACTTCCAATGATTATTTTATTTTTTTGACGAGAAATAGATGGTAGCACTGTCAATCATTTCAAGGTCACCTACATGAACTGTCAAAACACTTTGGCAGCATTGTTGTGTGATAACTTTTTATGAAATGAATAAATTAATCTGCGTTTTATTTTTATTTAACTTATTTTGTGTAACATATTTTAATTTAATATTATTACAAGCTCAAGTTAATTATTATAACTTCAATATTTAGTTATAACAACCTAATTGTTATTAAGTAGTACTAAGTTTGTGCAAAAATTTCAAGTTTCGATAAGTTTTCTAATTAAAGCATATTATGTGCGCATTATTGTCATTCTTTTAGCAAACAATGATAAAAGATTTCGACAAAGCTAACCAAAAGGAAGTGCTACCACCACTTTCTTCGCAAATAAATTTGTACATATTTAATGAAATGTTTGTTATTTTTTAACACATCTAATTTCTCTTAGTAATTATAATCTTTGATACAGGCCCGGTTTTATAAACGTTTACTCAAGTTGATCAAAATAAGTTAAGCGGTTTCACATTTAACGTTGATTGAGCTTTATTAAACTGGGTACTCAATATGTTACTACAATATTTTTATGCAGTATACTCTATTTTTTTAATTCGGAGGAGTGTTTTCAAATTGAAGCGCCAAAAAGAAGGGTTGCTATTGGTTAGTTTTAAGCAAAAAGTACACTTTGCGTTGTCTGCCGTCTAGAAGCATAAGGGTTTAGCCCTACGTCTCTCAGTATGGCTAAGCCCGAATGATTAGTGTTAACTAGCGCTATCTATCACTGCCACTAGAACTAACACAAGATCTAGAACTAGACTCATTCGGGTTTAGCCGTCTTAAGAGACGTGCGGCTAAACCCGAATGTTTCTAGTTCTAGGTCTTTTGTTAGTTCTAGTGACAGTGCTAATGCAATACTAGAATTAATACTAGACCGAGAACTAGAAATATTCGGCAACATAGTGATATTTTATGCTAACTAGATCTACTCTAGTTCTAGTATTAGACCAGTTTTATTTATTATTCAGCGCTAGATTATTGTATATTATTATTGAGCTATAACTCTGGTTTTAAAACTCCTACCAAAAAATAACTTTAAAAAATTACACTGTGTAAATGTAACTTTTCATTTTACTCCTCCGAATTAAAAAATAGTGTATAATTGTTATTAAATACTACTAAAAATTTCAAATTTCGATAAGTTTCCTAATTAAAGCATATTATGTGAGTGTTATTGTCATCTTTTTAGCAAAGAATGATAAAAGATCAAGATCAAAAGATCAATCGACAAAGCTAACTAAAAGTAAGCAAATAAATTTGTGCATATTTAATCAAATGTTTGTTAATATTTTTTTAAATATCTAATTATTTCTCTTAGTAATTATAATCTTTGATACAGGCCTGGTTTTATAAACGTTTACTCAACTTGATCAAAATAAATTAATCGGTTTCACATTTAACGTTGATTGAGCTTTATTAAACTGGGTACTCAATATGTTACTACAATATTTTTTTGCACTAATAACCTTTAAAGAAACTAACATTAAATTGTAGACGCCGTATGTTAATATAAAATTAATTAAATTGAGATTAAAAAAGAAAATTGATTTTTTATTAGATAGTGGTTGTAATTTTAACATTATATGGAATTCATTTAATGTTAATTATGAAAGAGCTAGGAACTGTTTTGCAGAGGACCAGAAAAAACCATTATGGATTCTCATATGATTTGCAAAAATTATAAGCGAAATATGTACTTATACAACTTGGGTTTCCATAATGACTATGTCAAGATCTATGTATGGGAGGAAACTACAGCTTCAAGAGATGCAGGGAGTAGCATCATGCATTTTAGCGCATATGGAGGATATAACTACTCAAAAACACGTAACAGCTTATAGTGATGCTTATTTAGGCCAAAATCGTAACATTAAAATAGCATTGACATGAATGAAAATTGCTCAGTCATCAAATAATAATATTGAAATGGACCACAAATTTTTGGTATTCCTTTCTACTGAATGATCGTGATTTTGGGTTGATAGAAATGAAAATAAACAAAACAAATTACTTATATAACCCTGAGCATTATTTATTTCTCTTGGCTGCAAATTCAATGAATGAGATTCTTGAAAAATGAACCTTATAAAACTTCTTTAGATGATTCTAAATTACACGTTTTGGATTTTTTACCTAAACGAGGAAGACCAAAAATATACGGAAATATGAAATTACTTCCATTATACACCACCACTAGACCAGTAACGGAAGAAAAACATAAAGATATTGTGTTTACTACCATACATCCCTCATACATATAATAATAATAATTTATTAATAAGTTGCAAAAATTTGCGAATTTATTAATTCATCAGTTGTCATTGTAATATGTCAGTTTGCTGTAAGGTTTAATTATACCATATAAGAAGAAACTCAAAATGTACGCTTATAGTACTGAAGAGTATGCTGATATAATTCTCGTGTGTGGTTGTTGCAATGGAAATGCTCGACAATCAGTACGAGAATATCAAGAAAGATTCCCACAACCTCGTTTGCCATATTATTCAGTTTTTAGCGATTCTTTCAGAAGACTTCCAGAAACAGGTAATCCTGCAAAAGCTATTCGACCGCATGTAGTTAATGTAGAGGACGAAGAAGCTGTAATTAATGCTGTCATTGATAATCCTTCCATCAGCACTCGAAGAACAGCACACAACATACAAGTAAGTCAAAATTTTGCATGGCGCGTATTGAACCGCGAAGTCCTTCATCCGTATCGTAAAGAAAATGTTCAAGCTCTACAGCCAGGAGATAATCAGCAACGGTTAGCATTTTGTGAATGGTTATTGCAGCAACATGCCCAGAATGATGACTTCATTTCAAATGTTCTTGAGACAGATAAATCATGCTTTGCACGAGATGGTATAAATAATTACCATAATGAACATATCTTTGCATTACAAAATCCGCATGCGTTTAGACCAAGCAAATTTCAACAACGTTTCAGCATCAACGTTTGGGGTGGAATATTTAACAACAATTTACTAGGTTTGCATGTACTTGATGGACGTTTGAACGCCGTAAATTACAGATTTTTTCTGAACAATACACTTTTTGACTTCCAGACAAGTGAATTTGGTAATAATGGTCCATTTGGCCACCTAGATCCCCCGACCTTAATCCATTGGATTTCTACTTATGGGGTCAAATGAAACAAATTGTGTATCAAGTGGAAGTTAACACACGAGAACAGTTATTAAACAGAATACAAATGGCTGCTACTGAAATAAGAAATCAACCAGACATTTTCATTCGGCTGAAGAACTCTTTAATTCGTCGTGGTGAAGCAATTTTGAAGCATATTTGTAATATGTATCTGTTTTAAAAAATACGTAGCACTTAATTATGACATAAAAATTAAAACTTTAAAGTGTTATAATTTCGTAAATAATTGGAACACTACATATGTTCATTAAATTTTTTTTTTTTTTGGTAATTGGATTAGCTATCATATGTCAAAGATTGATGGTGAGCTAATAAATCACCCTGTATATACTTATAATATATTTAATATAAACTCGAAATGATAAAAATGGATTACTTTTTAAAAATAATTAATAAATGTTGATAAATTATTTCATAAAAGTTATTGTTTCAAATAAAACTCATAGTTCTTTATTGCTTTAAGTCATTTATAGGAGATTCAGTTAATTTTGAAAATGGTCTAAGTCAATTCAAACTTTAAAAACAACATTTTCGTATGAAACTGACATAAAATTTCATATTCATAATAAATTTCCATTAATCAAGACTTATAAAATTATAAATTAAAATGTCGCATCATGTAAAAATTCATTAACCCTTTTTAGAGCAGAGGTGATATTTTTACCACCATAATTTTTTTAAGTTTTTTTTAAGAAAATAATCAAATTTAATTTTCTTTTGTAAGTTGGCAACTTATTTAGTGATCTGTCAATAATATGACGTGAAGAAATGCATAACTGTCATAACATTGTCTTTTTGCTGTCACCTGTTGAATGTTCAAAAATAATGTTTTTTCCTACCAAATTTTGTATAACGGTCTATTTTGTAGATCTTCGAGATTTTGAGGTAAGTTTTTTTATATTATATTGGATTTGTCCTAAGTATTTTGACACATATTTTTATCTTTGGGTATCCTGGTTTTTCAAATAAATTGCTTTTTGTGGTGGGAAGCATATTCCCTCTGCCTGCGAGTGGCTGCTATATTTTTTGCTTTGCTTTGGCAGATGAGTGCAAAAAGTGGCTTAGACAAAGGTTTATCAGAATTCGAAATAGAGCATGCGCTTGAAGAGCTTTTTGGGTTGCCTGATGACCCAGAAGTGTCTGACGATAACCTGGAAGCCGAAGAGGAAGAAGCTCCGTACAGCACCGCTCGGCTTCAAAAAATACTGGAAAATCCCGATGATCCGTCAATGTCTCCGCACCTCCTGCATAATCAGACCAGCCTACAATCATCAGAAATTATGGATACTGAAGCCATTCCACCAGCTGATTTACAAAGTGAAGACCTGTCCGTGTATGTAAGTCAACAAATTGAAAATAGTAGCTCAATTACTGTAAGGCCGGCTAGGCGGTTGACGCGATCTCGATATTCAACTTCCGAACTCAGTACCTCACCTGACGACACTGATGATTCTGATCTCGAAGAAGAGACATGGAAAAAAACATATTGGACTTCTCGGCCCGTTGCTGAAGATTTTGACAAGATTCCTTTGACTACTAAGCAAAGCTTCAATCCTAAAACTAGGCCCATCCGCTTTTTTGAAAAGTTTTTTACAAATGAAGCTATAGAACTTATTGTGTCGCAAACAAACTTATATGCCGACCAAATGAAAATAAAAGAGTGGACGCCCGTGACTACTGATGAAATAAAAGCCTTTTTAGGCATTCTCATAATAATGGGCTATAAAGTTCTGCCCATGATAGACCTGTATTGGTCGTCTGATCCAGGTTTTCGAGAAAATGACATAGCAGAAATAATGCCAGTAAAAAGGTTCAAGAAAATTATGCGCAGCCTACACTTGAATGATAACGCGCGACAACCTGAAAGAAATAGTCCCGAATACGATAGGTTGTTCAAACTGAGGCCATTGATAAATATTATTAACGAATCCTGTAAAAATAATGTCAAACGATGGTGGCTTCGCCTTTTTTACTTTCTCCTTGATGCTAGCATCATTAACGGTTTTATTATGAGCAAGATAAGTAAAGTAAATCTGACGCATTTGGAGTTTCGCGTAGCCCTAGCTCGAGGGCTTATTGGTGTATACTCCAGTCGAAAAAGACGATCCCACCTACGTGATCAGAAAAAAGTTGATACAGGCCGACACTCGCCAGAAAGCCATTCATGTGGTTGCTGATGAAGTACGATTCTCGAATGTTGGAGATCATTTACCTTGTCCGTCGGAGACATATAAACGATGCAGACTTTGCAGTACGAAAACAAACGATAAACGCACTAAAATAATGTGCGAAAGATGTGCAGTACCTCTCTGCGTTGTCCCTTGCTTTACTGCATTTCACAGGCAGTAGGTAATTATTATTAATCAATATAATAATCAAGGATAAGCTATGTGTGTTATATATATATATATATGCGAATAAATATGTTTTTTTTGTAAGTACTTTAGTTATTACTATGGAGGTAGTTGCACAGGCAAAGGGAATATAATTCCCACCATAGAAATAATAATAATAATAATAAAATATATGTATATTTTGGTTTCTTATCTCATAATGTAACTAAATCCAGGATTAGTTTTAAATTATCGCCTTTAAATCATTATACCCTATAAAGGGTTAAATATCACGATACAACAAAATATATGACATAGACCACTTTCATAATTATGGGCACAATTGACTTAAACATTTTTATTTAATTTATTTTTGTGTGTGTGTACCGTACATACGAATGTATAAACAAGATCCATACAATTTTATTACAATTGGCTCCCCCAATTTTATTCAATTTCATTTTTAATCCCCCTTCTTTTCGTTATTTAGTACTTTTCGATCCCACGCCGATTCCAATCCCGTTATGATAACCAAGCGTTCCTCTTCCAATCGAAATACCAGGCTACAATGGAAAGCCATATTCGCCGTAGCCACTACATACTCGCAAAAAGCGAATCTACTAAATGCTAAATCGTGACACAACAATCGATGCTCCGCAAAAAAAACAATCATTCCAATTGTGCAGACCATCGACGTCAATAAAAGACACTTTTTTATAAATATCTCTTTGTCGAATGTGTGGAAATCACTTCGAGTCTCCGCTATCAATTGTAAAGCTTTTATTGATGCTAACATATGACCCAAACTTGTAAACATAAATGTTATAAATAATTTTTCATGGATCGCTACAAACAAAAACAGTTAATACTACTAATCGATAATAAAATAACATTATAATTACGGTAATTTTCAATATTGGAAATGTACGTAACTCCGGCTAATGCACTAACTTCTACTATATTTAAAACATGGGCAATTGAGAGCCATCTGTGGATTCTTTTTTTAGTCTAAAATTTGTTTGATACAATAACAATCAAACATTTTTAATAAATTTACCTCTAAAGTTGCTAAAGAGCTGATTAAACCATGCAAATATCTCTTGTATGCTGTTGCAATAACGTATCTTGGAGTAATATGTAAAGCAACGCTTAATCTCCATAAATATCGTTGGGGACTTACCCCCGTTATGGCACTAATTGATGGAATAACATTATAAACCTAAAAAAAAATGAATTTATTTCAAAGAATTAAGTTTTAATTAATAACTTACTCTACAATGTGTTTCGTGTACCTCATCCGGTTGGAAAATAACAGCAGTAACGAGACAGATAACAAGTGCGAGAAATGGAAAAGCCGCTGTAAGTACACAAAGTTTCCTTAAACTAAGTGAATAGTGTACGGCGACCGAACGGGGTGCGTCGCCCCCCGGCACAAGGGGTGGCTCAATTTTCGTCATTTCGACAACACTACCACCACAACGCCGATATCGAAATTTTGCGATAGGTCATCGTTGCGGACTAAAAATAACCGCACGCTGGAAGTCGCCCCGCGTAGAGATCCCGCGATATTCACGAAATGACGAAAATACAAGCAACGCCAATGACATTTGAATGGGGCGCGAACTCGACGCCACTGCACCAAAACATTTCCACGGAAAAAAAAATATAACGAAAATTAATGATTTTCCTTTAAATCACAATCTATTTACCCCCTTTGACCTGTCAAAAAGAAAACTCAAAATGCATTTTTAAAATAACCTATTTACGCGATTATTTTGAGTTAATTTTGAATTTTTCGATTTTAAATAAGAAGAATTAGAAAATGTAAGGAAGTTTAAAGAAAATTAAAAGAAAGAGGTGAAATTTAAAATAGAAAACTATCAAGTTAAATATCCGATAGATGGCGCTAATGTTTAATTGTTCATATATTTATTACAATTCTCCTTTAAATTAATATGTATTTACTATCTCAAAAGAAAATTCAAAATAAATAATTAAATTAATGATTTTCCTTCAAATCACAATCTATTTAGTATTTATCCCCTTTGACCTGTCAAAAAGAAAACTCAAAATGCATTTTTAAAATAACATATTTTCACAATTATTTTAAGTTAATATTGAATTTTTCGATTTTAAATAAAAAGAATTAAAAAATATAAGGAAATTTAAAGAAAATTAAAAGAAAGGTGAAATTTAAAATATAAAACTATAAAGTTAATTATCCGATAGATGGCGCTAATGTTGATTTATGTATTTATTACAATTTTCCTTTAAATTAAGATGTATTTACTGTCTCAAAAGAAAATTCAAAACAAATAGTTAAATTAATGATTTTCCTTCAAATCGCAATCTATTTAACCCCTTTGACCTGTAAAAAAGAAAACTCAATGAGCATTTTGAAAATACATTAATTCAACTATTTATTTTGAATTTTCTTTCGAAATAGTAAATACATAGTAATTTAAAGGAAAATTATGATAAATAGTTAATTTTGAATTTTCCGATTTTAAACTTACAGAATATAAGGAATTTTAAAGAAAATAAAAAGTTAGAAAGGAAATTTAAAACAGAATACTATGAAATTAATTATTCGATAGATGGCGTTTGTTGCTGCGTAATGTTTAATTGTTGATTAAGTTGCAATAAACACCATATATTTATCATAATTTTCCTTTAAATGACTATGTATTTACTATCTCGAAAGAAAACTCAAAATAAATAGTTAAAATAATGTATTTTCATGATCATTTCTATAATAAAAATGATTTTTATTTGGTTTAAATTCTTTTTTAATTGCCGTCATCGATTCGGAGTTTAAATTAGAGAATAAATATATTATTTATATTAAAGATAAATAAATTTTAACTAAACTAAACGGGAAATTTTAATATATTTAATTATATGATTTTAAAATAAAAGATAACTGTAAAACATTTCAAAATTAAATCAATAGATGTCTTAAACCTTATGGTCGGCCATTTTGAGCATGCGTATTATTATTTGATGGCGGTGGGGCTCGGGGGGCAAACTCGCTGTGGAGCGCTTACCATGCGCACGTCAGGTGCGCCGTAGCGCTCGCGTTGTCCAGATTCTTTGTGCCATTCTTCGCATACCAATAACCGACGGACGGCGAGTGTTTTTGGGACGAAAACCAACTGGTGAAGCGAAAAACCCTTCAGAACGAGCGGATCCAACGGCTGGGGTGAGTACGGACCCGTTTCCGGGCCGAATCCATACAGTTCGCGCCGGCTTTCCGCGAAAAACCGCCGCAGAATGTCAGTTATGCGTCCACAATTCCAACAATACTTTACATACTTGACGTGCTTGCGCCGTATAGACGTCGCTAGTGTCGCGACCGAAACCCAAATCCCCGAAAACGCGTTTTCAGTAAAGTTTTTTTATTACCCTTTTTCCACGTTATAATAACTATATCATTTCTTTATGTTGGTTTGAATCGGTCGTTTATCGAATTGATTCTTCGACCGTTTGCCCCAAGCACAGTGAAAACCAGTGGTCAGTGGCTTGCGATGCTATGGCTGTCGCGAAGTAAATAAATAAGCAGTGATGTGCGTTTACCCTCAACAATAATAATAATGTGATGTTGTAATATTATACCAATATTGTGTGGTTACCTTTATCGTACACAGGTACAAAATGATCTTAAATAGGTAGGGAATCATTTAATAATTATCTATAATAATATTTATTATATTACAAAGTACAAAATAAAAATTGATTCATTAATGTATCAAGTTTTCTTGTTGAGGTTATGTCACCCATTTTTTCGTAGTGTTATTGTTGTCATTATTTTTAACTTTATTATTATTCTTTATTTACTTAAACTAATTCAAGTATTCTTATAAAAAAGGATTGTTATTTAAAAAAATAAAAAGATTTGTTGTTAAAACGTCATTTAATAACCTAAAATTAAGAAATGTCAAATATGACAAAAAAATATAAACAATCTTTTTCTAGGAAATTTTATGATTAAACCTAACTTATTTATACATTACCTTAAAATAAACATGTTTTCCTTTAATTTAGTTAAATTATAAAGTAATTCAAGAAAACGCAATTTTTAAATTTTTTATTAACATCAAATGTCAAATTTTTTAAGACGTCATTTACATCTAAAAATTATTTCATCTAATTTTAGATGAAATGTCACAATCCAATAATTATAATTTAATTTAGAAAATTTTCCGTAACCTGTTGCTTTTTGAACCGCATTTCCCGTCGGATATCTATCTCCCCTTTTCTCTCATTTTCAAGTACCTAGGGATTTGTTTGTCGTTTATTTTGCACTTGGAAAATACGCGCGCTCTATCGACACTACGAGGATCCTAATTTTAGATCGGATAGAAATAGAGTTTGTTCGCGCTATAAGAGAACCTCCTCTCCGAGAGTCTTCCATACTCTAAAATGTCAAAGTCACATTGAATAAAAAAATAATAATAAAACTAACGTAAAGTAGACATACAGTTGTTCACAAACAACTATACATATAGACATACAGTTGAGTATACATACAGGGGAATGGAGGATATGTAGATAATTGTGAATCTTTCAAATAGTTATTAATTTATTTTAAAGGATGTGATGTATAAAACATATTTCCATAGAAATCAGGGCGTACCTACTTACTTTGTCCCATATAAAATGAAACATGTCTGAATGTTTCTGGTTGTAGGAGGTGTTGTTAGTTCTAGTGAAGTGGTAGGTAGCGCTAGTTAACATAAAATATCACTATGATGTTCTATATTTTTATTGAACTAACACTATACCTAGAACTCGAAACATTCAGGTTTAGCCGTCTTGAGAGACGCACGGCTAAACCCGAATGTTTCTGGTTCTAGGTCTAGTGTTAGTTCTACTATTTGTTAAAAATATACCACAATCTAATGCTAAATAACAATTAAAACTAGAATTAACACTAGACCTAAAACTAGAAACATTTGGGTTTAACCGCTTATCTCTCAAGACGGCTAAACCCGAATGATTCTAGGTCTTGTGTTAGTTCTAGTGATAATGCTAGTGTAAAACTAGAACTAACACTAGACCCAGAACTAGAAACATTCGGGTTCAGCCGCATATCTCTTAAAATGGCTAAACCCGAATGATTCTAGTTCTAGGTCTTACGTTAGTGTTAGTGACAGGGCTAATGCAAAACTAGAACTAACACTAGACCCAGAACTGGTCTTGTGTTAGATCTAGTGATAATGCTAGTGTAAAACTAGAACTAACACTAGACCCAGAACTAGAAACATTCGGGTTCAGCCGCATATCTCTCAAAATGGCTAAACCCGAATAATTCTAGTTCTAGGTCTTACGTTAGTTTTAGTGATAGTGCTGGTGTAAAACTAGAACTAACACGAGACCTAGAACTGGAAAGTTCTAGTGATAGTGTAAAACTAGAGCTAACACGAGACCTAGAACTAGATAGTATGGGGTTTAGCCGTGCGTCTCTCAAGACGATTAAACCCGAATGTTTCGAGTTCTAGGTCTAGTGTTAGTTCAATAGAAATATAGAACATAGTGATATCTGATGTTAACTAGCGCTACCTACCACGTTACTAGAACTAACAATACCTCCTACAACCAGAAACATTCAGACATGTTGCATTTGCACGGCGAAAACTCAACCTTCCGACTGTGTTCTGTTTCCAACAAGATAATGATCCTAAACATACTTCATTCCTTGTGAAGGAATGGTTATTATACTACTTCAAAACAACTAAAAACACCACCACAGTCTCCGGATTTTCTATTGAACATTTATGGAGAGAAGTTAAGTTTCAGTTAAAAAATAGCAAGTTCCGAAACAATAGTGAATTGAAAATCCACCAAAAAGTTAGTGGACTCTATGCCATGGCGAATGCAGGCGAGAATTGACGCCAATAGAGGGCCTAGTGCATATTAAAACAATACCAACCTAATCTTGATCACATTTGCTTAACTGCTTTGCACAAACTTTAAAATAAATTAATAATTATTTGAAATATTCACAATTATCTACCTTCCATTCTCCTATATTCTCAATTTTGTGAACAAGTGTAAGTTGTTTTTAGAATACGTTGTTATTAAAAAAAAAGTATTCAATCAATTTCAAACAATAACAAGTAGTCCTACCGGTAAATAAACGATAACGTCCTTAATAAAACGTGAATCGGCTCAAAACCTATTCTTATCGTTCCTCAGTAACCGATAAGATATAGTCGGAGTAGTGAAGGTCGTGAGTCACCTTTGATATAATAAGAACAGGTGATAAAGATTAATTGAGAAAAAAAAATATAAATAATTTAATCTTTTTTATAAAAACTTTCTTCTTTGCATTAAATGTTATGATGGAGAAGTTTATATAGGGAATGATAAAAAGTGCAATATCGATTGAAATGGGGGATTTGGGGGGGTGGAGTACAAACGGGACGGGTTGGGAACGCAAAACCCCGGTTCGGGAATTCCAGGTGAAATGCCAAAGTTATACTCACGTTTGCCGGATGTTGTGAATTATTCCGGCCGAAAACTAGAAATTAAATTCGTTGCCCGTCGAACATCTCTTTCGAAACGACCCAGGAATTTGTTAAATTAATCCGACGCTTATCCCTCTATTCCGATTGTGATTTCATTTAGAAATCAAAATCAAAACGTTGTTAACAGAAATAAAAAGACATACATATCTAATTTAATGTGATCTTTTAAAAATTAAACGTTTCTAGTTTAAAAATGACGTTTCCGAAATGTCAAATTGCTGTCAAATTGACGTATAGATAAAAATTTGCAAACTTTAGGGGTTATTTGTTTAAAATAACAGTACACATCTTTATGTGTAACTATGTTGACACTTTTAAAATTGACATTTCTGATGGACCAAGTGATATTTTTATTGACTGCATTAAATAATAAATAATAACTTGAAACATGACATTTTAAAAATTGAAAATGACACTTTTAACTTCAAGAATGAACCTTAAAAATTACTATTCTAATATGAGGACGTCGATTCAAACTTGTTAAATGCCGTTTAATCTTTAAAAAGGCATTAAAAGGTGACGTTTTAACCTTAACCATAAAATTTTCATTTTGAAAATGACATTTCTTATTTGACGTTTAAGTAAAAAAAGTTAAAAAATGACATTTCAAACTTGATATGTGACATTTCAAATAAAAAATCGCTTTTTATACCTTGAAATAGTATGACATAAAACATAAAAAACGCTACTTCTTATTTGACAGATGGCATTTAATTCTTAAATATAACTTTCTCATTTGAAAATGACATTTCAAACATGACAGGTGGCGTTTAACCACTATACTAGATTGAAAGTGACATTTGAATTTTAAACATAATTTGTGACTGTGACTTTATTAAATTAAAAATGTCATTTCGGATTTGACAGATGACATTTAAATCGTAACTATTCTAATTTGAAAATGATTAATCTGATTTTAAAAATATGAAATGACATTTCTAACCTGACATCTTGACGTTTTAAAAATAAAAATGACATTTTAAAATTGACATGTGACAATTTTGAAGTTGACAGATGACATTTAATTCTTAAGTATAATTTTTCTGATTAGAAAATGACATTTCAAGCATGACAGGTGACGTTTAAACTTTAAGCATAACATTTCATTTCAAAATGACGTTTCAAATCTGACAAGTGACGTTTAAAAATAAAAAATGACATTTAAATGACAAAAAAATCGTTTATGTATTATATTTAAGACTGTTTATTATTAAAAAAGTGCTTTTTTAACATGCATAAAATGATCGGATTATGATTAGAAAAGATCGCCTGAGGTGAGATGAAATAAAGGGCGCGGTTCGAGAGAGTCTCGGACGGTTAACGGTACAGGCGCCTACTGCTACGGAGTCTCTACGTTTTGCCTGTCGTCGTCGTCTGGATCAAATCCTTCCTTCAACGGCGGCGGCGGAGGCTGAACCGTTCGAAATGAGCTACTTGTTGAATGGCGCCCGTTCGGAGAGTTCCCGTTTTCCTATTTCCTCTTCATCCCACACCCTTTAAAAACACCTGTTAATGTAATATTTTATTTTAAAAGACTTTAAAATTTATATAATATTAGTTATTTCTATGTAAATGGGTAAACGAAGAAAGGGCTTTCGTCGTAGATTGGAACGATTAAAAGAAAGAGAAAAAGACGATGGAATAACCGCAATGTCCAGTCGATCAGAACGGGCCTCCGTGTTTAATAATAACCCAACGCGGTTTATTTATTCCCCCCGTTTAAACTTATTTCTCGATATTAGTAGTAATAGTAAACGGTGTCCCGTAAACGGGCGATTGTGTTCGCTAATTACGACCGTATGACGCATTTAAACCGGGAGACCGTTTCGCGACCCGAGACCACTTTCTAACGGTGGGAAACAGACATTGCACTAAAAACGGTTAAAACCTTTTTATTCTATTATCGATTATTTTTTCTCTTTTCATTTTCAATTTTCAATTAACCGTTAGATTATAACTTTATAACAGGGCAATTAATGTTTTTTTTTTTTTTTTAATTTAACCATGCTTTCTTATACACGTGGTTAAAATCGCGGTTCATAATAAATCCAATAATAAAATTGTAGGTAATAATATCGTGTGACTCACTGGTTTAAACCATAAACGAGAAAGAGACGGAAAGAAAAGTACATTTTCTTAAAAATTAATACAGTAAAACCTCGCTTAAATGTTACATGTCAAGTTTCAAATATCATTTTTTAATTTTAAACGTCACTTGTCAAATTAGAAATGTCATTTTCAAATTAGAAAAATTGTGTTTATCATTCAAATGCGATGTGTCAAGTTGAAAATTTCGATTTTATATATAAAATGTCACCTATCAAGTCAGAAATGTCATTCTCAATCTAATATAGTTATGATTTAAATCTAAATGTCATCTATCTGTCAAATAAGATTTGTTGTCATTTTTATATTTTGTCATATTATATCCAGGTATAAATAGCGGTTTTTTATTTTTATTTTTAAAACGTCACATACATATCAACTTAGAAACGTCATTATCAAAGTAGAAAAGTAACGTTTAAGGTTTAAATATCATATAATGACGTAGAAATAATGATTTAATTTTTTAAATGGCACACTTCAAGTTTGAAATGTAATTTTTTGTACTTAAACGTCAAATGTCATATATGAAATGCCGTTTTGATAATAAAAAATGTTATGGTTAAAGTTTAAACGTCACCTGTCATGTTTGTAATGTCATTTTCAAATTAGAAAGTTATGTTTAATAATTAAATGACATCTGTCAAATAAGAAATAGGTGTTTTATGTTTTATGTCATACTATTTCAAGGTATAAAAAGCGATTTTTTATTTGAAATGTCACATATCAAGTTTGAAATGTCAGTTTTTATTTTAAAACGTCACATATCAACTTAGAAACGTCATTACCAAAGTAAAAAAATAGCGTTTAAGGTTTAAATGTCATATATTGACGTAGAAATAACGATTTAATTTTTTAAATGTCACACGTCACGTTTGAAATGTAACTTTTATATTTAAACGTCAAATGTCAGATTAGAAATGTCATTTTGAAAATAAAAATGTTATGGTTAAGGTTTAAACGTCACCTGTCACGTTTGAAATGTCATTTTCAAATTAGAAAGTTGTATTTAAGAATTAAATGCCATCTGTCAAATAAGAAATAGGGCTTTTATGTTTCATGTCCTACTGTATCAAGGTATAAATAACGATTTTTTATTTAAAATGTCAAATATCAAGTTTGAAGTGAAATTTTTTATTTTTAAAACGTCACATATCAACTCAGAAACGTCATTATCAAAGTAAAAAAGTTGCGTTTAACGTTTAAATGTCATATATTGACGTAAAAATAACGATTTCATTTTTTAAATGTCACATGTCAAGTTTGAAATATAATTTTTTATACTTAAACGTCAAATGTCATATATGAAATGTCGATTTGATAATAAAAAATGTTATGGTTAAGGTTTAAACGTCACCTGTCATGTTTGTAATGTCATTTTCAAATTAGAAAGTTATATTTAATAATTAAATGACATCTGTCAAATAAGAAATAGGTGTTTTATGTTTTATGTCATACTATTTCAAGGTATAAAAAGCGATTTTTTTATTTGAAATGTCACATATCAAGTTTGAAATGTCAGTTTTTATTTTAAAACGTCACATATCAACTTAGAAACGTCATTACCAAAGTAAAAAAATAGCGTTTAAGGTTTAAATGTCATATATTGACGTAGAAATAACGATTTAATTTTTTAAATGTCACACGTCACGTTTGAAATGTAACTTTTATATTTAAACGTCAAATGTCAGATTAGAAATGTCATTTTGAAAATAAAAATGTTATGGTTAAGGTTTAAACGTCACCTGTCACGTTTGAAATGTCATTTTCAAATTAGAAAGTTGTATTTAAGAATTAAATGCCATCTGTCAAATAAGAAATAGGGCTTTTATGTTTCATGTCGTACTGTGTCAAGGTATAAATAACGATTTTTTATTTAAAATGTCACATGTCAAGTTTGAAGTGACATTTTTTATTTTTAAAACGTCACATATCAACTCAGAAACGTCATTATCAAAGTAAAAAAGTTGCGTTTAACGTTTAAATGTCATATATTGACGTAGAAATAACGATTTCATTTTTTAAATGTCACATGTCAAGTTTGAAAGATAATTTTTAATACTTAAACGTCAAATGTCATATATGAAATGTCAATTTGATAATAAAAAATGTTATGGTTAAGGTTTAAACGTGACCTGTCATGTTTGAAATGTCATATTCAAATTAGAAAGTTTAAGAAATGTCATTTTGATAATAAAAACTGCTATGGTCAAGGTTTAAACGTCACCTGTCATGTTTGTAATGTTATTTTCGAATTAGAAACGTTAAGTTTAAGTATTAAATGTCATCTGTCAAGTTTGACACGTCATTTTTTATTGCTAAATGTCACATGTCAAGTTAGAATGTCATTTTTAAATTAGAAAAGTTATGTTTACGGTTTACATGACAACTGGAAAGTTTAAAATGGAAAAAATAATTTTGCTGTTTATTCTATCTTGTCCATACAAGTCCATTATATCGAGGTTTTGCTGTACTTTAATGATTTATATTTTTTGCACTCGTTTTAATTTTTTATCGTTCAAAAAAAAGAATGCGAACTATTGGAATTTAATAAAAATATTTTGCGCGTTATCGTTTTAATTGAATTTCTGGAACGTTCGTTATTTTTTTAATTTTTTCATAAGTTTTTTATGTTCATACTGACAATTTTGAAATTTTTATTTATTGATATTTTGTTACAGCGATCTAAGGCGGAAAGAGAAACAGCAACTTTGGGAGGAAACGTGACATGAGCGCACCCTTCCTCGAGAAAGGTCAGTTTATTAATTATGCTTATTATTTGCTTAAAAAGGAGCTTTTTGTTGTTATAAGGTACTTGCAACAATTTAACGCGTTTTTACGATAAGAAAACTCGGGTAATGATAAGAGAAAAATTTCGATGTTGCAAGTTACAGTAACAGAATAATATTTTTTGCTCTATTTTCCAACAATTTTAAATAAATAGAAAAAAAAAGTTATTTTCTAAAGAATTTATTTTTTTAACTTTAAGAAATCAATAAAATAGTTCATTAAACACAAAATGACGGTGAAAATCGCTCGTTCACTTACTTTACTTCCCGATTTATACTAATTAACCAAATTAACCTTAAACTGGTTTTAAAAATGATTACAACTCGATTTCCGTTTTGCGGAGAGACACTTTCACATGCATTTACCGTCGGTTGATATTAATTCATTTGATTTACGAAAAGAGCATTGGGGGGGTTATTGAAACGAGGGGCTTGGAGGGACCACAACGACGGAACGAGGAACGTCAGGAATGAGGGCCCCGTTCAGGTGCTGCAGGAGTCCGGAGGCTCCGGCATTCGATCGCCGACCATAATTAATACGAACAAACAATACGGGGCCGAATGCCAATCGCCGCGCTGCGCGGCTCCGGTCCCTTTGTTTTTGTCCCGACGACCAAAGGGCCCCCCTTACACATCTCCTGTCCCCTCAACAAACCCACAAGAGAAACAGATTCAAAAACAAACAGATTCATAGTTTCAATTTTATTATTTTCACTGTAACGGTTAGTAATATAAGAATAAAGAATCAATTTTATGACAGATTTTTTTCATTTTAGTTGGGACATCATCTTGTTTTCTTCTTGGAGCGTGCATACAGTTCTAAAATTAAAAAAAGAACATTAAAACAAGTTGTTTCGCAGTTAAGTCTTCAAGATTTCGTTTACAATGTAATTTATCTGAAATAAATGTCTCGATAAAGCATTTTGTCTTTATTGTATTTAGACAGTTAAAACGGGGCCGAGGTGCTACAATTGATAACACGTTAATACAAAGTTGATGTGATGTAGCGCTTCGGATTAATCGTTAAGGAGCGTACAATCTTTGTCGTTAGTTAAGCCGAAGTGTTATAATTAATACCATATTGACAACAAATTAGTTAACATACAGGGTGTCTCAGCGAGACCGGTCATTAGACGTTTCTGGGGTTCTAGCCAAACAAAAAATTTGGGAATGCAGACTTAAGTATTATCAATTATGTTCTCTTCATCTAAAATATTTTCAGATTTCTGGCACTTCCGGTTATACCGGAAGTCGCCACCTACTTTATTTTTTTAAATGGAACACCCTGTATATTTTTACATCTTTGGATTTGTCTGTTTTGAAGGTTTATAAATAACTTTACTTTTTGCAATTTGAACCAGCAATTCTCGAGTTATTCGAATTTTTCTAGAAAAATTTGCTCCAGCGGACATTTGTTCAAAAAATCATAGAGCACTCAATTTTTGAGATATCAATTTAGGATTGAGAACATGCTTAAACAACATGATGGAGTATGTTTTGGTGCCGAGAACGGCTGTCTAGATCGTTTGGTCACTTTACTATGACACGTTAACTTTTCGAAATTTGGAAGCACCATAACTTCATTTTTTTAAATGGCACCCCCCATATTTTATTACTTAGTCGTCTTCGGCGTCTCATTTTACATCTTTTATATTCCATATGTCCTATGCCTAACATTAATAGTTTGAGAAATAATTAGGGTTTTTTGAAAAATGCTCACATATCATATGGATATTAACCTAGTGTGCCATGGAAAACAAATGTTTAATGACTTATTGATAAACGTCAAAGTCTAATTTAGGTTGTTTGATGCTTGTGAGTCTAAAACCAGTTAAAATGGATATTAATAACGTAAATAATGTTTATACAAATGAAGAAATCCATAATTTATTTTTTGTGCACGAAAAGTGCGACAAAGTTCTTAGTAGAACTTGCAGAATGTTTAATGAAAATTATCCACATTTATCTCCGATGACAAAAGGTAAATTTAGAGGAATAGAAGCAAATTTTTTGCATTTTGGACGAATTAATCACGTGTTAAACTGACCAAAAAATGTAGTAGATAATGCAACGGAAGAGGTGAATACCTTGGCTTATTTCGAGCCCAGTCCCAACACCTCAATTCGAGCTGCCAAAGAAGATCTGGGAATCATACTACGAACTTTGTCGCGCTTTTCATGCAAAAAAAATAAATTAAGAATTTCTTGATTTGTGTAAATATTACTTTCGTTATTGTTATCGATTTTAACTCGTTTCAGTACTAATATTAAGGGACATAACAGATAATTATTAGCTCACATGCATCAAGTGACGTAAACAAGTGAGTCTTTGACAAGAACTCATTGAGAAGGCTTGTTTTTCATGGCACACTAGGCTAAATATCCATATGATATGTGTGCATTTTTCAAAAAACCCTAATTATCTCCCAAACTATTAATATTAGGTATGGGCCATATGGGATATAAAAGATGTAGAATGAGACACCGAAGACGACTAAAAAATAAAATATGGGGGGTGCCATTTAAAAAAATGAAGTTATGGTACTTCCAAATTTTGAAAAGTTAACGTGCCATAGTAAAGTGATCAAACGTTCTAGACCGCAGTTCTCGGCACCAAAACATACTCCATCATGTTGCTTAAGCATGTTCTCAATCCTAAATTGATATCCCAAAAATTGAGTGTTTTCTGATTTTTTGAACAAATGTCTGCTGGAGCAGATTTTTCTAGAAAAATTCGAATAACTCGAGAACGACCGAATCAAATTGCAAAAAGTAAAGTTATTTATAAACCTTGAAAACAGACAAATCCAAATATGTAAAAATATACAGGGTGTTCCATTTAAAAAAATTAAGTTGGTGGCGACTTCCGGTATAACCGGAAGTGCAAGAAATCTGAAAATATTTTAGACGAAGAGATCGTAATTGATAATACATAAGTTTGAATTCTCAAATTTTTATTTTCGCCAGAACCCCAGAAACGTCTAATGACCGGTCTCGCTGAGACACCCTGTATAATGTAGCGCCTCAGCCGTAATATAAATGAACGGATGCTTATGAAGCCGAGGTCGCTTGCGGCCGAGGCAGTATAGTATATGTTACAATGTTGTACCTATATGGTGTTAATGTGCACGCAATATACAATGTGGCTGAAGTTAGATTCATATTCGAATCTGTACCAGATTCAGATTCATAAAATTACAGTTGACCAGACAAGTATTGAACATATCAATTGAAAAATCGTTTTCTGAAACTACAGAAGTTGTAGCAATCTGCGACTACCCTGGATAATTCGAATAGACCCTCTAGTATGTTCCCTGTCTACCCTCACCCTCAGATTTGCCGTAGGGGCCGAG